CGTGCGAGCCGCAGCAGTTCAGCGAGGCAGTCGTCATACACTGCTCACACGTGTTCCAGGGCATTAACTGACCTCATGCGGCCCATCTATTTTTTTATTTGTTCCATATCCAGTTTTGTCTTTTAACTTCCTTTGGTGTTAACTAGCTTACAACCAGCTCAGCTAACATAATGTGTATAGTAGCAGTACATTTGATTTTTCTACGCTGAAAAATTGCAAGAGTACTGATCAGTACGACAATGCAGGTTATCATTAATAACTTAACTATATCAGCTGATTTTTGTTTTTATTTGGAAGCTCATTTTAATGATTGTAATGTATAACATATATTTAATTGATAGTATAATTTGAAATAATTAGCACTGTCATTATTTAACACAAATATAAACACATTGACCAGTCACCATGACAGAAGACCAGCACTGTGTGGAAGAACTGACCGCCACTGTGTAGATAGCGGTCGACATTTGTCAGACTGAGAGTAGAAAATCTCTTATTTTCTTCCAGCTCTGGCTGTCCTTCATGCTGTAAACGTCGACTGTGTGCCTGCTTGTGGAGGACCTGATCAATAGAGTTAAGATATATTATGGACCTGAGTCAGGACATGGGAATAGAAAGATTAGAGTATTCTAATGCCTCCACCTGGTTGCACAATACCAAAAAGTAGCAATCATGAGGTGTTACTATAATGAAATAACTACTTTGCTGCATCAAATGCATTAAAGTGTAAATCCCATTGTGGCCTTTGGAAGAAATTCCTGTTCGTGCTGTTGTTAAGCAGCTTGTAGCCTACGGTGTGCAGGTGTGCAGCTCGTTAATTGACAAGAATGTGTTCCACAAGCCGAAAACAAGCCTTCACAGTGTCAGAGGAGGGAGGAGGAATGTTGACAGTGTGAGGACGGTGTTTGATATTTTGCTCTGTGACATCACAGGACACTGTATGCACTCTTCTGTCACGCACCACCACCACCACCACCACCACCCATCTGGAGGAAAGGGAGGCAGAGCTGGAGCTGCAGAGGCTGGATAAGAAGGATGAGCCAGGAGAGGCGGCCTCTGAGAGGTAATAACATTTTCAGCTTGAACCAAGTTCTGTCGTAAACACGTGTTTTTGCCTCCAGCATGTGTGTTGAAGTGACAAGGGTGTGTTTTGCAGGAGTTGGCAGGCAGAGTCAGTGGACAGTGGCTGCAGCAACAGCACAGCGTTCACAGCTGCCTGCTCTGAGGGCCTGTGTGCAGAGGGCATTTGCAACACCACTGGAGGGCGCTGTGATCAGACAACCAGCAAACTGTCTACAACAGTAAAGGTAAAGTCTGCAGCAGTGGTAGTGTGTACTGTATCTGCGTTTCCACTGACACAACAGGAGTAGGGTGACCAGGTGTCCCGCTTTATGTAGGACTGCATGGCATTTTTATCCTCATGAGGCAATGTCCCACATTTTGATTGGCTCTAGTTTTCAATAGTTAAATCACTGCAGGACATAAATCTGTTTTTCATCCAGTGGCTGAGAAGAAGGCAGAGACGGCTGCCATCACAGGGATGTTTGATGTCAATCGCACACATGGGTCAAGTGCCGGTTAACCTGTTACAGTGTTTGCTTCGCTACGCCCAACAGAGAATATTGAGTCATAGCAAATTAATGCAGACTCAGGCAGAATATCACAGAACAGAGGCAGGGAAACTACTCATAACTAGTTGAAGTTGGTGGAAGTGGAAGTATGCAGCATAAGACCATATGAACTGAAACTTTTGCTTCCTTTTATGTTTAATGTATTGACTTAGTGTGGGAGTTGGAAAGTCCTTCACAGGCCTAACGTGTAACCTGCATAGTTTATTGTGTGTTACTGAATTAGGGCAAAGCTTAGAGACGTTACAAGCTAAGGTTCTTTTTTAAGCTAGATAGAAATTCTATGAAGACTTTGAACTACCTCTCAGCATGAGCCACTGAAGAGTCTGTGGCACAGATGCATTAGAGTGCTGTTGATTTGTTGTTGCAGGTGGAGAAGGCCACCATGACAGAAGGCCTGTTCCCAGAGCCGGTACGGGTCCGGCCCAAAGAGAGGGGGGGTCGCTGGGGTCACGCCTCGCCATTCATGCGTGGCAGCACCATTGTTCGCTCTCAGACCTTCTCTCCTGGCGCTCGCAGTCAGTATGTCTGCAGGGTGAGTTATTGCAAACGTACAAAAAGGAATATTTTTTACAATCTCCCTGAGAGTCATGTGGCTCGGTTGTTAGTGTTTCTGTCTTGACAGCCCTGTGTAAATTCTTTCTCTTCATAAGTTGACTGATTTTACCTTTTAGTTGTATCGCAGCGACAGTGACAGCTCAACTCTACCAAAGAAATCACCCTTTGTCAGGAACACGTTGGAAAGACGAACGTTGCGATATAAACAGGTACAGCCACATCATTTTTCCTCAAGCTTGCACATGTCAGAGTGATAGTATCTAGTTTCTGAGGTGTGTGTGTCTGTGTGTGTGCCTCTGCTAGCAGCAGTCATACCGCTCCTCCCTGGCCGAGCAGCCGACACGCACCTCCCTGGACCTGGAGCTGGATCTCCAGGCCTGCAGGACACGTCAGAGGCAGCTGATGGAGGAGCTGAGCGCCCTGAGGGAGCTGAAGCTGCGACTGGAGGAACCGCAAGCCAGGGAGGACACCGAGCTCCCCCACTGGGCCCTGAGGGACGAGCGCTTCCGCTGCCTGCTCAGAGAGGCCCAGAGACAGGTGAGACTGGAAGTAGAGTGCTACAGTTAAACTTCACTAGCTACGTGATGTCCGTCCTCGCCCAGCAGCAGTTTGACTGTTTTGTCTGCTACAGGCCAGCCAAAGCAAGCAGGAGCAGCGGCAGGAGGAGGCGGCAGAGAGGAGACTGAGGAAGGCTTCCAAAGAGGTTCTGCAGATGAGGGGGCAGAGCCAGAAGGAGCCCCTGCCTGTGCAGACATTCAGGTTGGGATTGTGCTTTCACAGTGTTACTGTCACTGACTCAACTCACAGTGAAAGAGTCGGAGCTTCAGTAGTGTGACATATTTCCAAGTGAAGCAGAATATAAGCTGTCAGCTGTTTTTACCCCTATTACTGAATATAACATTTTTCAGACTTTTTTCAGTGTTTTTGAGCTCCTGCTTGTGTGACACTGGTAATTCTCTGCAATGTTTCTCTGTATTAAAGACATCAGAAGATGCTTTGGGTTCATTTTCACTAGTCAGAAATGTATTTTATGCTTGCATGCAGTTCTTCTTTCAAGCCTTTGTGGCTTTTCCTGACACATTACCATTGGCAGGGCTCTGTATTGTGTCACCTGGCATTGTGCGTGCGATTGAGAACAAACAAAACGGGACCAACTTGGAAAAACATTACTCGTATTTCAACTCCACAGTGCACCTTTAAGGTTAAAAAGCTGGGGGTGACTAGATTACTGGTAGGAAGAGAAATTGGATTTTAGAAATATATTTATTTCTATGTATTTGGCTTATACCAAGAGATAACTGGACATTTCACATTGGGGACAAAAGTTTAGGACCTGGAACATATATTTTTTTATTTGACTGAAATAAAATGTGTGTGAAAGTAAGTTTTGTTTTCTTTGTCTGCAGAGAGAAGATGGCTTTTTTCACTAGACCAAGGTTCAACATACCTCCTTTGCCAGCTGACGACGTATGAGAGCTTGCATCTGTATTATGTGACTAAACATGAAGTATTTGTCAAATTTTCTGAGCTCATGAAGTACAAAGTTCTTTCTACCAAGGACGCGGGGCAGAGCGACACACAGATGATGTTGAAGATTAGAAGGTTTCACGTTTTCAGAAGTGTTTGTGCGGCTATTTTAAACATGAACACAGTAGACACGCAGTTATCGACAGCAGCAGCATGGCTGTTCATTTCGTTTCTGGAGATGACGCCTCTCATAAGGACACAGTATCTCTTTACTCCTGTATGAGTTACTCCTGTTGTTTGTGCTTACAAAAGGCTGGAAGACGGGAACAAAAGTCGGTTTGGACAAATTCACTGTACTGTAACTTATTTTATAGTACTTTTCCTTGAAGGAAATTTAAAAAAACGCTTCCTGCTTCTTAAGTGTATTTTGTAGCTTTGAACAAATAGCACTTCAATGTTTTTACATACAGTTAAATGGAACTATTGTCTGATTTTGTTTTCTGTTACCTAATTCTTAAGAGTTATTTACATAAAATGTCACTTTGTAATCCACTTTTATTACAGATGCCATTGTCCTTTTGTTGTTATGTTATTAAAATTAATATTATTTCATGTACTTTTCAATATATGGATGAATATATGAAACACTGTATTCAGATTTTTTTATGATGTCTATATGAACATCTGCAGTGTTACCTCTTGTGAAGATAAAACCATTAAACCACATTGTGACGCTCGGCTTTTTAATTAGTTGTTTCAGACGCAGGTAATAAACAGGATTTATTTCACCTCTGCTGGGATGAAGAAACCATTATATTCTGCGCACACAAACATTTTCTTTAAATGTGTCACAATGTTACACGTGATTGTTCTCTAACCACAAACCGGTTGTGATGACCCATTTGAGTCTAAAGTTGCCGATTCTTTGGAAGCTCTACCACACAGCAGGCAGGCAGCTGTGTCAGCTTCTTATCTTGATTCAACATCCTGTTTGAGCCGTTTCACACAAGCCACTACAAACTGGGGAGAGGCAGAAAGTAAATCTACTGTAGCTCTACTTCTCTGCTCTCATGCTAAATTCCTCCTGAGAGAAATGAGACGAGCAGCTCGGCTGGATTCCTGAGGGAGTGTGAACTCAAGCTTGTAGAGCTGTAGTAAATAGAATCCCACTCTTAGACCTCCACATTCTCGTGCCTTGTTCCCACACAGAAAAATGCACATAACGCTTCAGGCAAACCAGTCCCAGGTCTCTGCTTGTCTCAGTAAACTGTCAAGTTTGGGGCCACGTTTACAAACACTGAGGAGATGTCAGTGTAGGGAAGAGTCTGATCATCTGCATACACACCATGCAGTTCAACAGTTTTAATTATTGGACATTTTTTTGCATTTTCAGTTTCATAATGAATCCACCAAGAATGATTACAGTGCAGAGACACCAATTTAAAAATGTAACAAACCACTTCTGACCATTTTATCATGCAACCATGTAACCTGGTTTTTGCTTGTTTTTTATATAAACAAATGATGTATGATTCCTGTAACTACATGTTGTTCTAGGTTGGTGATTGAGTAAGACTGAGTAAGTAAGGTTTTAGTAAGCTATGATGATCAACTTGCAGAGACCATAGACTTAAATTAGGTAATCTGTCAGTGAACACCACAGCTGCTCTTGTGGTAAACCAGTGTGCTGTGACATGTAGTAAAAGGACAAAAATGTGCAAAAACAACGTGGTGCTGTAAGCATTCAGAAAGTCAGTGCCTTGTTTACCAGTAAAAAACATTTTTTTATGAGAAAAAGACATTTCAAATAATGCTGAAAGAAATCTACCTCCTCTTTGAACAATATTTACCCAGTGCCGTAAAAATCAAAATACAACAGTAACTCCATCCAGCTGGCCAGCTGTTTGCATTAGATAAACACTGCAATAAAAAAGACAATATGGCTGATGCAGTGTGTACCGGGGGCATATGTGTCACTGTTTACTCCTCATAAATTAAATTTCTACTGATCTATTCTGCAAATATACAGTCATCAGACTATTTATACTATCTGTCATATATTTAATTATACAAGACGTGCACACGCGAGTCCCAATAAAATATGACGCATCTTTCATTTACGAGGGAAGGTGTAAAAATTCTAAGAACCATGGATTTTAAATTGTGTTTAAAACTAAACATTGTACTTGTTAAGCTGTAAAAGTAATTAACTCGGAGTAGCACCAGTAAACATTACTCATTGTGTTGCAGCAGGTGGAACATTAAAGCATGCAGTGTGATGCACATTCACAAGCTGCAGAGACCAAACAGCTGTTCACATCAGTACTGGCACTTCTTCTGTGCGATATTTTATGCAATATATCCCAGGGGGATAGCACCCTCAACATCACATAACTTAAAATGCAAATTGAGGTAAAAAAGACAAACATTCTGCACACGTATGCCTGTTAACCTCAACAATGATCAGTAGTTCCACAAAGCAAGTTGCTTCAAAGATTTCAGTCCAATCTGTGTGTTCAGGTCAGAGGTCACTATAAGGGGATGGACACAATGGTCGGTAGAGGCCCAATAGGAGGTGGATTGTACTTCTCGACCCTCATCAGCCGCCGCAGGATGTCATCCCGATCGCGTGGCCAACCGTAAACGTGCGTGTTTTGAAGCCAGTTGGGGACGTGACACTGTGATGATAAAAACAAACACAGCAGAGAAAGACTACTGAGACTGCTGAGGTTTCGAGGTTCAGTTATGACACAGATAACAATGCAAAGCAAGTTGATGTGGTATTGTACAAATGTATGGTATGTGTTTACTAGTACAGGGAATTGCACAATAACATATTTTAAACTTATGTAAAAGAAGGGAGACACATGAGAGTCTACATGCATTAAAACATACCTTTTTAGCCCCAGGAAACATGATAGGAATGAACCTGAAATTCTTGCTTCCATTCTGGATGAACTCATTCTGGAGCTACACAGAAAAAATACTATTAAAATAATAAAAAAGCTCAACAGACTTCAAAGTGAATATTTCAGTCTTAGCTGTGAACCTGTTTATGTATGTAGACGGTGTTGAAGGTCCTCTCGTCGTTCTCCAGGCCAACAGGGGAGGCTGTCACCGTCTCATAGTACTTGGGACTGATGATGATGATGATCAAATACTCTTTCTGGGTTAGGAAACAACATAACTCTGATGTGATTGTTTTCATCCTCGTTTCACTGTTTCTGTGCTTGATAAAACATGTTTACTCTTGCAGAAAGATGGTGCCGATTCAAAGATCAAAGCCTGTTTTTATCCATTTGTATTCATTTAGAAAGATCTGATTGTTTTTACCTCACTGAGGTACCGCTCCATGAAGTCTATCTTGCTTATACTCCTGAACTGCTGTTCGAAAATATCAATCTGAAACAAATAAAGACATCAGTCAGAAAGTGTACGACACAAAACGCATAACACCTAAATTTAGTCATTTATTTTGCCATATAGCTTTTTTTAATCCTGTAAATGTATAAAACTGCCTGTTAACTGTGCAGTTATAGCAAAACACAGCAAAAAACAAACATCAACTAGACAGCTAAAGCAAGAGAGATAAATCACTGGAGCCAGAGATAGCTACAGCTACCCTTAACCAAATGCTTTTATAACTGTATCCATTACAGCAAACTATCATCTTGGTTATTTCTTTTGATGTCCCACGTAAGTAAATCCAGTCATGGAGAATATAAACGGGTAGCTTACCTAATGTTAGCTTAGCAGAATAGCATTAAAGGACCAGTGTGTAGGAATAAGTGGCATGTTGCAGTATAGTTGCAGATTGCAGCTCCCTCACTTCATCCTCCCCTTCAGAGCACAAAGGAGGAACTATATTGTTTATAGTTATGAATATTATATTACATTTCTGCCAATAGATCCTCCTAAATATTACACACAAGCTATTTAATTGCCAGGTCAAATTTTTACTCAAATGGAATTCACAATTTGGTGTCGAATTACAATAAGAAAGTTAATTTAATATATTAACTTCAAGTTAATTAATATTAAAAAGAAATTGTAGATGTTAGCTGAAAGAACTAATTTTGTTTGATTTCCCCCCAAAGCTTATGTCGTTTTTTATTTATTTGGTTAAATAATTCTAAAGTCCAAAAATATGTAAAAATAAATGCATTACATCCTCTGTCTGTATGTTACAGTTTCCAAACATTAAACAAAACCTGTACATACGTGCGTATCAAAGCCGTTGTGTCGCAGCAGAGCAACAAAGTTGATTATCTCATTGACGTGCTTGTCGTTGTCTGCTTCATAAGTGACAAAGACCCTCCCTGTGTTCAAGAGCAATAAATAGGTAATGAAAGCAGTGTACAGCAGCTCCGTCAATAATGTGATTATCTGCACACTTACTCTGCTCCAGAGAGAGCGGTGTGCTGTGAGAAGGGTTCTTCTCTTTAGCTGGAGCGTTGTGGCCACTGCATGGAGATAAAGATCATTTTTAATCACAGTTAGAAACGTGCAACATGAAGTGAGAGGCTGTAATACGTCTTAAAACTCACATTCGTGTGTATCCAGCTCCAGGAAGTCTGCAGTCACCGGGATCTAAAGCAGTAAAGACAGAATAAACAAAAAAATCCCTTAAAGGCTTACTGCTTCAGATACTGTAGCAGGAGGAAAAGATTACTAATTTACTGCTCCTGGCACAAACTATGTGCCCTAGGTGGATAAACAGAGTAGCTGACTTACAGTACGGGCCGTAAGCTGGGTGATACTGAGGCCAGAGGGGTTTGTTGGCCACAGGCCCCCTGTTAAAGGCGTCTGCAGGGCACTGCGCGCAACAGGCAGCTCCCTGGGGCGAGCACGAGTACGGAGGCAACGTATGGTGATACAAGTTGGCTGAAGGCGGGTTGGAGCACAGAGAGAACGGCTGCTCTAAGCTACTCATACAGGTGCTGTGCCTGCCAGGGAGGGACATAGACTTGCACCCCGAGAGGCAGCTGTCTTCAGTACAGCTGGAGTAATCTTTCTGGCTCAGAGAGGACGGCAGGCTGTTGGGGTACCCCGACCAGCTGCTGGCAAAGCTCGGGTGGAGCCAGGTGCCGTTGGCCTGGCTTGGGAACGGAGTGGGTTGGCCATACCCGGCAGGCAAGCTGCGGGTCGGATGGTACGAGAAGTAACTCGGGCCAGGTTGAGGTTGAGTGTGGCTGTGTTTGTGCTCCGGCTCCTTGTCCAGCCCCTGCCTGCCAAACAGGGAGTCATTGGTGAAGGTGGCGTGCTCTGGAAAGGGGCGGTGGCCATCGGGGTTAGGGGTGGAGTCTAGCTGGTGGACAACGCGGGCTTCTCGCTCCTCCGTGCTCATGGTCTCATCGTCCTCTTCAGGCGTGTTGTGTTGACTGTTGAGGTACCGGCTCAGCTGGCTGACGTGACTGTGAGCAGGAAACAGAGTTACTAACATTAATTAACTGTGCACCTGTCTCTCTCTGTCTGTCTGTCTCTGTCTATCCGTCTCTGTTTCTCTCTCTCTCTCTCTCTCTCTCACCCCAACTGGTCGAGACAGACGACCACCCACCTAGAGCCGAAGGATCTGTCCTAGGTTTCTGCCTTTTAACAGGCAGTTTTTCCTTGCCCTTGTCGCCAAGTGCTTGCTCATGGTGGTACTGTTGGGTCTCTGTAATTAATGTTATAAAGAGTTTGGTCTAGACCTGCTCTATTTGAAAAGTGTCCTGAGTTAACTTCTGTTATGAATTGGCGCTATACAAATAAAATTGAATTGAATTGAATTGAATTAATTTAGATGAATATTGTTCAAGATCTGGAGGAGCTTCTATTTCACACTTTTTGCACTGTGTGTCGGATTTGATCATTTCTTATCAAAGTGAGATATCTCCTGCGGCTGGTTAAAGCAACATCCGTCTTAATTTTCATATAAACAGTCAAAAGGCAGGATGTTGGGTTGTGTTCATCATACTTGTTGTCATGCTCACCTATTTGGTGCTGTAGCTGAGTGGATTGAAGTGGGCATCATCATTGGGCCTCTTCCTCCTGACATCCATGTGTGTCTGGTTGAAACCGCACCTGAAATTCTGTTGGGGACAGGAAGCATTTGAAAGAAAAAACTGTCCAGGCAAAATATCTGATTGAAAGTACAGCATTTGGGCATATTAACACACACTTAAATGTCATTCAGGAGATTGCGTTTTATATCAGAGGCTTCACTTCTGATGGTGTCATTTTGATTTGCATGAGAACACAGTTCAGTGCATGACTGCGTGTCTCCCACACAGGGGACTTTTTTATGAATGTTTGGTGGTTGAGACCCAGGAGACAGATGAACTCAGATGTGGGAATGAGGAAATTATGCCTGTCACGGACAGAAACAAGACTCAGATGGAAAAATCAAACCACAAGAGAGAAAAAAAAATGTTTCTCTGGATTTCTGAGTAATGACACGTTTGATTCACAACTGGATCCCCACTTTTAGATATCATTAATGACAACCACACACCAAAAGACTACACTGCCCACACAAACACATAGAAAGAGTGTTTTCAGTCAAGTAATTGGAAATTACTTTACATATGCCAATTTAAAGTAACAAACCTCCTCCACATACAACTGAGAATAACACAACGCTGCTGAATGTGAATGTAGGGCTGTAAACCCTCCGTTTAGGTGGGTTTACCTTCCAATACGCCCCTGATCATTCCTGTAAATGTAAATACACTCATTAAAGGGCTGTGGTCGCACACACACAATGCTGTTTGTACTTTCCACTGAAGCTGACCCAGATATTTCTCCGTCTGCTTACTTTTTATACCATGCTGACTTCAAGCACTTTACCATATAGGTGAAACAAACCAACCATTACAGCTATTACCGCGGTCTTATAAACGGTAGCATAAGTCGTATTCAGACAGAGGCATCTTTTCACCTGTTATCCAGAAGTTAAAGCTTATAAATGTGTTAAAAATGGTTTTATTTTACTTATATTACTGTATGTAAACCTTTCTTCTGTTAAAAGTAAGCCTTAAACTGCGTAGTTAATACAACTTACATGTCAAAGTACACAAACAGGTAACAAGTTTTAGAGTAATTACTTCACGTCACTTACCGTCGCTGCTTCAGCCTCACGAGCCTCCTTCAGGTAACTCCTCCGTCTGGTTTACCGCCACAAGAGTTACCGTAAAAAGGTGAAAACACCTCACGACTCTGAGGTAAATATGAACGTATAGTTGTACTCTAATGTCGGCTCCCCAAGAGAGATGTACAATATTGGCACATAACATGAATTTGGTCTTTACTTTGCCGTAGAACAGCACCGCCCCGCCGGCAGACCCCACCTCCCTCTGCGCATGCGTGTGCGCGCCACTTCCTCCACACACACACACACACACACACACACACACACAGGATTGATTACACACATCCTGGTGTTTCCAACTGTGACCCAACACAATTGTCAGACAGAAGTGTTTATTTATTCACTCCTCATGTCACTCATAAATAAATGATTGTTTATCTATGTAGTTAATTCAAGCTTCATACAAAGGGATCGTTTTAAAAAAGAAATAACCAGGATTGAAAAACAATGGGTGTTATCAGAGCAGATGCAGGAACGGTGCCGTGTTGACTTTTCGCTGTTTGGAGAGGCAGGACTCGAGCCAGTCCTTCTGCACTGGGACAGCCTGAGTGTACTGACGCAGCAGACCCTGGAGCTCCTGTTCACACAAATCATAACAGTACAATTAAAAATTACAGCTGCTGTCACATACTGTCTATCCGTGCTTTTATCTTATCCTCAGCTTTTAGCCTGTAAATCTATCATGGTTTGAAGCTACCTCTAAATATCAGGGGAAACACTGTTATAAGTCATGAGTTCAGATTACTCAGTGAACCGTATACTAACCCGTGTGTGGAAGCTGTTCTCCACCTCTGCGACTATGTGGGTGACCTCTGGACTCATTATCTCCTCCTCATCTCCATCATAAGTGCACTGCAGCTAAGGAGTGGTGACATTTTGACATTACACTATAATCATTTGTGGGAGTGGGGGTTTTTAATGTTTTTCAGACCCTCTGCACAAAACCACAATTATTCACCCAAACTGCTGCAGATGTTCAGCATTTCATAACTGGTTTCTGATAACTGATGAGTCATCATTTCAAGACAATGACTATCCTGGAAAGATGTCTTTAAATTAAATGTGCTTTGACATTAACTGTAAGTATAAAACAGCACAATACAGTGATGAAGGATATGTGATGAGGTAGCGGGCCAGCCTCTTTCTCTCTGATGCAGACAGGTTGTAGAAGAACACACGGACTCCCCTCATGAAACAGGGGAGCTCTGCGGGGCCGGGGCTCCGGAGAGGAGCCGGGGGGCCGGGGGTGTCTGCCTCTGTCTCGTCAGTCGACCTGCTTGAGTTATGAAACTGTGGTGGAGGGGAGGATGTTGTCGTCGCAGAGGTGGATGCCTGATTGGTGTTCTTTGCTGCTCTGCTGTGATAGTATCTGTCAGTCAAGTTAAGGGAAAATGGCTCTGACCTTTCAGATTCTGACAGATGTCACTTTTGTTTTTTTAATCTAATGATAGGTTGGAAAGATACATGAATGTGGGAATGCCTCTGGAAGCCAGGTGTTTCCTGATGAGCCTCTCTGTGCCGTACCAGTTGAAGCTTTTGGTGGAGTGGCCGATGCGAGGAAGATGTACACTCGCTTCGAAGGAAAAAACACAAATATAATTAAGAGACACTGTCGGTGAGGATCAGCATAACTGCAACCTGTGTTAGATTTATGATAGCTGTCACCAGAAGGTTTTGAAGTTGAGAATTCAGTTCAGTTCTTTTGTGCAGAACAACCTGAGGGAAATCAAGCTCTCATTGTTCTCCAGTAATTGTGTTGTCAAGAACTTGTCTGTGTGCATACACACTGACGCCAACAAAGACAGCAAACACACACAGTATGTCCTGCAGATCTTGTCAGTCCAGTCCAACAATAATTACATCTTGCTCCTCCTTTCTTTTCCTCCTCACAGAGGCTTAATTATCAGCACGTGTTATCGGTAAGTGATATACTCATTTAAGCACAGATGACTTGACTTGAACAGATTACAATAAAAGACTCAGTTCTTGTGAAAAAACAAAAAAAAAGGAACAACAGCTCCTCCGTTAGATGTTTAAAATGTATGACTCCCTCAATCATACCTTTGGTATTGTGAGAAAATTAGAAAGAAAACACTGAAAGATGGATTTCAAGAACTTGTATTGTGAAGTTGCATTCTCACTAATGATCTGTAGTATATACAGTGTATGTTTGTGTGGGTGGAGATGCATTTGAGTAATGTGACTGTATGGTGCTGACAGATGAGCAATCAAACAAGGTCAAATTATGTAACATATTGAAATGTATTGTATTCAGACTCTCTCACTCAATTAAAAAATACATATTTTTTTAACGACTTGAATATTCGGTGCTTGGCTGTACCCTTATTCCTTTTGGCTGCTGCGTAAATCTTCTTCAGACCTTCGTCCAGAGCACTTAGAAAGATCCCGGACAAGTTGTTGGCTCTGTCTCTTCGCTGTGCCACTACCAGGGCCAACTGACGTGACAGGAATGAGATCGAAACAGGTTAAAGCAGCATCTTATCAGTTGCCACCCTGCCACAACTTTGCAATCCGGTCACCACACATATACCTGCACCCAGTATCACACTGCTCATCACTACTACAGCAGCATTTATAACCAACAAGAGCATTTCCAGGCAGCAGAGCTTGTTTTGTGCAGCGTGGGTTTCATTTCAACAGAACCTACCTGATCCTGGCCATCTAGTCTGGACTGTTTGTCATCTATGGCAAAGAGCAGCACATGTCCAAGATCCAAATCTGAAATAAATAATGGGGCTTTATTCTCAAACAGACTTTATAATTAAAGATGTTAAATGTAGTGAGTAATCACTTTCTTTGCACTCGTGATTAGTCTTACCTTTCATCCTGCCTGCCAACTCATACTGCTTTCGTGGTTCGTCTGATCTCACCTCTAGAGCTGTAAACAAGCCTCCCCTGCCCCACCGGCCTGAGTCATCTACACAAACGCAATGGTAGGAGAAGTGCTGAGGAGGCACTGCCTTTCTTTCAATCACTATCACTCTAAATGACATGTTGCTCTGGTAACGATAAGGTAATACAGGTCTCATACCAACACAGTGGACGATGATAGCATCTCCCTGAGCAGCGTGAGGATGAGTAACATCCCCCAGAACATAGTGGATGGCTGTGCTGTCAGAGTCTGTGGAGCACATGCTGCTGTCATCCTCCTCCTCCTCTTCTTCTTCTTCATCTTCTTCACTGTCCACAGACGGCAGGCACCGTGATCTGTAGCCGCACGACTCCCACCATGCCATTCTGCATGAAATAAAATCACCAAATAAAAGAAAACAAACGTGTCGGAGCTTAGTGGTTGGCGACACTGAGAGCTAAAAAAACATGAACTTGTTGAATGAATGAATCTTAACCTTTTCTTGTATTTCTGCTCTTGTTGCCTCTTCTTCTCGTCCTCCTGAATTTTGGCTCTCTTAGCTGCAGCCTCCTCCCTTCTCTGGCGCCTCAGCTCCAGCTCAGCCTCAGTAAGAGGTTTCCTCTTCCTCGTCGGGATCCCAAAAGCTATCGACAGTGAAGCCTGGGAGCACACAGGGAAGATCAGTCATATTATATATAAATATATACACAAATATGTAGACAGAACATTATGACCACCTGGACACCCTGGTGGTCATAATGTTCTGCAGCCCCATACCAACAGACTGTGATGCACTGTGTGATTCCCAATAATCTTTCAATCCTAGATAAGCCTTGCCACAAATCTGACCACTACTGCACAGCAAACCACCTCTAACGTTGTCTGATATGGCCTAAAAATCTTGATGCATTTGTCCATTCATTCTGGTTGCTGACAACGCTGTCAATTTCTCTGTGAAAAAAAAAACAGCTGCACTGAGACCTGCACTTTAGGAGGGGACTCATTTTGTGGCAGAGGTTATTTTTCCAGCATGGAATAAAAGACCATGTTCTTTGATTGCAATGTAATATAAAATGTCAGATGTTGACATTATGGGTCCGTGTGGGCTGGACACATGTATGTGCATAACACAGTAAATAACATAACTAAATAACTGTAACACTGAACCATAAACACACTAGAACAATGTGCAAATCTGCGTACCAAGGGAGCAAAACTACAGGTATGAGTCAGTGGTTTTTACACCAACCATCATCATGCCCTGAATACAGGATGGAGTGACAAAAACTGAAAGATAATCATCTACACAACGTTTCAGGCAAATATCAGAAGCTGAACCAAGCGTGAAGGCTGAGATCAGTGAGAATAATCATCAATATTCAATATTCAATAATGAATAAACAAAATAAAGCCCAACATACAACATACAGTACAACATGCACATTGAAATGATACAACAATATTGAGCACAAAGGTTTTAAATGATTTGATAACACTACCCTTTCTTCAGAATACCAAACCACAACCTACCCAGTGCACCCTGGCTTTTCACAAATAAATTCATTGTTGTAAATTTGAATAAAGATTAAAACATGTTCCCATCAGTTGGGAGGAAAGGAGACAGTATCTTACTCCAGCTTTGTGTCGTAGAGCTCGACCCTCTCCTGCAGCGCTCTGGAACTCGTCCAGCTGCTCCTCCAGCAAACGGTCAAAGCTCTTCTGGTCTTCAGAGCTGGGGTCCTTGCTGTAGTCTTTCCCCTCAAAGTAGTACATGTGGTCTGAGGGACGGGACAGCGTGATCGTGAGTGTAATTATTCACCACTAGCAGAGTAATGTACGGAGGCACTGAGAGGCAGGTTAGGAACAAAGAAATCTGGTGATCAATTTTCAAGTCTGATCTAAATTGTTTTGTCTCCTGTGTTCATGACTTTAAAACAGGTGTAAAGGATTTTTTCTTCTTTTCAGTGAATACAGGTAGAAGTGGTGAGTTGTAAGTGGAAAAAAGTGCTTTCTTCCGGGCGAGTTTTAATTTTTCCATATACTCTAACCACAAGGTACCTATATAGTGTGTTGGCAAGTTATGTAACATTAGTTTAGAGTAGAGAAATTCTGGCCAAAAGGATGAATGATTTAGTCATTAAAACATCAGGTAGTGGTGCACTTCAGCCTCTTGTGGCAAAATTAGTATTACAACAACACACACTCTTATGCTGACAATAAAAAATTGACACAACAGAAATATTTTCCACCTGTTTCACAGGAATTTAGAAAGATTATCCTGGTAAAACCTTTTTTTTTTCTTAAGTCACAAACACAAGAGAGAAAACTGGATGGAAAATGGATCACAGATTTTTTTTCCCTCACTTGCCTCTCAGGGCTTACGCATTCATTTCTACTGATACTTGCAACAGTAAATATGAATCCAATAGATGAGATCTGTGGTGTTGAGTATTTTCATGTGTGGTATGTTTGCATGGTGAGAACCAAAAGTGAAAGTGACATGTTTATATGCCAGAACAACCTGTTCAAAACATACTCTGCCTGTCAGATTCAGAGCTGCTCTCTTCCTCCTCGTCTTCCTCTCTGACTGAGGTGAAGTCTTCATCATCCACCCACTGACCATCACGTGATGGACCGAGGATCTTCTCCAGTTTCACATCCTGTACAGAGCTCTCCTCTGATGACAAAAGCTTATCTACCCCAAACTTCAAGATCTCACTTAGCTGTAGGGGACAGGAAACACGAGTACTGACTTTAAATGGGGCAAACAAAGACAGCTGGAGGGGATTCGTATTAAAGTGGACACAGACACAGGAACTGGTGCCCTGGGGGGGACTGCAGGATTTAAAGAATATAGAAAACAGTCTCATTTTTTGTTTACGTGAGTTCACAAACCTGCAGTCCTGCAGCAGCTGACTGTGCTTGGTCCAGCAAAGAGAAGCGTCCTTCTTCAATAACAGTGTTAGTGAGGTGCAACTTGGAGACAGCACGAGAGTACATGATTTCCTCCACAGTGTCTCTTGCCAGAAGGCGGACCACTTTCACAGGTCTGTAATATTCCAAAGTAAGAATGCGTGGAATAAAAAAAGACGAGATCACTTTCCATTGTGAGTCTGACAATGTTATAGAAGAATGATGCTAAATCAAGCTAGCTACAAACTCCAGATAACCCTAATGACATCACCAGGTTATTCTCCATGATGAGTGAACTGACCTTTATAAGTGGGGGCATGCCTCTTTAACAACCAGCACTAAGTACAGTAAATTGATCAGAATATAGCAATGTTGCCAGCTTGGTATCATTTTTCATTCACGTCACCTGTTCTGACCAATCCGATGGCAGCGTGCAGCGGCCTGCAAGTCATTTTGAGGGTTGAAGTCACTGTCCATGAAAATGACCGTGTCAGCAGCTGTAAGGTTCAAGCCCACTCCCCCTGCAAAGACAGACTGTTAGGAAGCCCTTACAGTGAATTTGCACACTAATATTTCACATGCTTATTTACTCATATGGCCTCAAGAGTTATGCACAGAAAGTGAAAATTTGTGACAGGAAACTCTCTTCTGCATTAAATTAGTAAGACAAGTCGCTGGCCTTATTTACACCAATGTGTCATCCTGCCACAGCTCTTATCTCTGTGTGATCTGTCCCCTTTCCTCTCTCAGACACTTCTATGAACCCAGCTGTAGATAGATAAGCAGAAAGGCTTGCAAGTTCAATGCATTCAATGTTGATTTATCATACTGAGAGATTCTCTTATCTACACACTTGTTTAGAAGATGCAGTAGCTAGAACAGAAACTCAGTGTATATGAGCAATTTATGTAACAAAAGTGGCTTCAAAAGGCAACAGGCTCCATATATTTATAGGATATTTCGCCATAAATTTTGTTCAAATTTAAATAGTATAAAAAAATGTAAAAAGCAAATACTGTTTCCAATATCCTGCATCCCTGATACATTAAAAAGCACATATGAACATTATTAATAACTGATGATCAGTTTAATCCAACACAAGGCAAGAACACAATCTGCCTTCCTGTTTAGGGTTTCAGTCACCGGCTTTAGTGCTGAGTAGAAACACAAAGATATCTTTGCTGCTGAAGTTCTTCACTGCTAGATTTCGTTCCTCTCCTCGGACGGACCCATCCAGACGTTCGTAGCTATAGCCTGGAGGAAAAAAAAAAGCTCAATTTAGGACCCATTTTTGGAGTCACACAGTTAAAAGTGCAAGGGTCTCAATTGTTACAGAGCCTAGGCATCCCACCTCTGTACTCCATATAATCCTGAAGTATGTCCAGCATCCTCGTCATCTGAGAGAACAGCAGGATCCGGTGGCCCCTTCAACAACAAACATGAGGTCAGAAATAAAGTAAGATATTCTTCATGGAGGAGTATGTGACTTAAAGAAAAGCACTACAATTATATAGCGGCAGGCAGTTGGAGTGAGTCTAAGCTGCCACCAGGTGGAGCCCTATACCAAGTAAGGTGACTAACCCTTTGTGAAGGTAAGTCAGCATGCTGTCCAAAAGGCAAAGTTTCCCACTGGCTTCAACGAGATGCTGCCCCATCTCAAAAGGCTCCGGTTCCACCCCTACCCAAGAAACAGGGACTAACAATGAAGTATAACATGTGCTTCTATCGGCCATTTGCACTCACTAAGACCGGTGTTGTTGAGCATTTAATTATCACTGAGTACGTCTCACCATCAAACAAATACGGGTGATCGACACACTTTCTCAGGTTCATCAAGATGTTCAGCAGCCGGTTCTTGTTGCCCTGCTCATTTCCAAAAGCCTCTGAAAAAATAAGAAGGGCTCACGATGATTTATGCCCCAAAAAACAGCATTCTGCTAAGGTTTACAATAGCGCACCACTCTAGAGCTGTAAAAGACTTGCAAAAGGAATTGGCCAGGCGTATATATTGGCCATTATTAGTTAACTGCAGATACAGGGGGTTCAGTATAACTAGAAACTGCAGTGCAGACACAACAACCCTGGTAAACAGTGTCACCACTACATAGTTTTTCTACTAGAGAGCCCTGAAAAGTAGATTTTTAACTGTAAAATGTCCCACCCTCTATGTATCTTGGTTTCAATTCTTTAAAAAACAAATTAATTTGCTTAGCTTAAGTATTTATTTATTCTAAAAATTACTATTTGCCGATGTATTGTTCTCTATATATACCAATAGTAGCCAGGCTATACATCACAGTGCAGAAGTCTCACCCAGATCCTTCATCAGAAAGGCTTTGTAGTATCTTTTCTGCAGAGCCGACATGCCGTGGTACACCACCAGCTCGGTCTTCTTTGGCAGATCTACGGCCACTTCTGACTTGACTCTACGGAGCAGGAAAGGCTCCAGGATACTCTGCAGCTCAGCAGCTGGGAACAGAAGCACAGTATGAGGGACACAGTGTGCCAGCGTTGATCTAATGAGCAATTACCAGGGCTTTATTACAACAAGTACAGTACATCAAATACATACCAAATTATGCAACTAATATATTTCTGACACAGAGACCATCATACCCAGGGCAGGCTGACTTTGTACGTTAGAGTACGAGTTGACAAAATCGTCCGTCTCATCCTCTGTAAAGATGCTGGGCTGAATGAAGCTCAACAAGGAGTAGAGCTCCTGCAGGTTGTTCTGTATCGGGGTTCCTGTCAGCAGGACTTTGAAGCCAACTGAGAACTGCACAATAAAAACACACAGGTAAAAGTAAAAAAAAACCAATGCTAATAGTGGGAATGATGAAGAAATGAAGACTTGGCGGCCCAAACCAGGCGCCGCTAAGTACCTGTGTCAAGGTTTTGTGCAACAGTGAATTCTGATTCTTCAGTCTGTGAGCTTCATCTACCACAAGCACCTTCCACTTCCACCTGAGGAGCAGAGTGAAGTAGTGAAACGAGGAATTAATGAATGAAAACTGATTATTATAGCTTCAACATTATTCCTTATGATGAGATCCATTTCACACTCACCGTCTCAAGAATGAAGCATCTTTAAGACACAGCTGAAAATGAAAAAAGCACGTCAGTTTCAACATAAATTAACCTTTAGGTCATTTTGTTCTTATAAAATAGCCACAGACCTCATATGTAGTGAGCAGAACATGAAAGTCCTGTGTGTCTGTTTCCCTCTGAAGCTCAGCCCGTCTCTCTTTGTCTCCGTTGTAACACAGAACAGTCAGAGAGGGCGCGAAGCTGTGACCAAGTAAAACACAGTTTAGGAGTTATTTACAGTCTGTGATGGATTGTGTTATGAGTGGATTATAGAAAATGTATGTAGATTCATATATAACTGTGACTGTACCCTTCCAACTCCCTTCTCCAGTTCTCCATGACAGAGAGCGGGCTCAGCACCAAGAACGGACCTTTCTTCCCAAGACCTCCTGACATGTACATCAACAGAGAGATTGTCTGAAGGGACAAATTATGATTATGAATTCATGACATACAAAAATATTTTTACACAGCAGTTTACAGTGCCTGCGTCATTTATGAGGCACAAACTCTACTGTGACGAGTCTCAGTTAAGGAAACAAGTTACATTTGCATGATTTATCTGTACTGTGTAATATTTGCTAAGAATATGTTACTGGTGTACAGCACAAACCAACATCAAATTATAGCCAAAGTTTTTGTTAAATTGAGTGAATCAAGTGTGCCAGTGAGTCAGCATACACAGTGCACTACATACAGCCATTACTGCGGTGCATTTCCTATTATAAGATGTGAAAAAAAATCCAAAAACCCACCTGGCGATGTCATCATATTGCTTGTTGTGTCCACAACCTAAAGTTATTGCATTCACTATCATATAAGACAGTAAAGCAGCAAATCTGCATAACTGAAAAGCTGAAACTTATTTTGTTTTGGCTTGAAACTAAATATTTAAATTAATTTACTATATATAGGGTATCAAAATAATGTGTAAATATATTTATTGATATAAATCTGAGCAGGTACTGAGATTCTTTATCCCTGAGCCCATTTTGACAGGTCACGGTAGGAAAAGAACAGGTTTAAATATTACAATTGATAATGGCTTAATTCCATTTAGCTGCTTCAGGGTCAATGCCCTAGTATTGTTCATGCTGGCTCACTGTCACGGCTTACTAGAAATCATTCATATTAAGCATTACATTATTATTATATTAGCATAATATCCACACTAAACTGGAGAGGGCTGGTGAAAGTATTGTAATTAAATAAATAAAAACCTGACCACTGAAATACTCTTATCTGTATAAAAACATGCATCACTAATATCAGTTATAAAGAAGGCTGATTGATCCAACACCTGGCATGTTTTCCCCAAACCCATCTCGTCTCCCAGAATGCATCCCTGCTGGTTCTTCAGGCACTGAGTTAACCACTGCACACCATCCAGCTGGTAAGGTCTCAGCTGTATCCCTGTGAGGAGGAGACAACCGCTCATCACTGCTGGGTCTGCTTCATAACTTATAAACACTGTCAGTCACAATGTAAACAACATCAACCCTTCAATGGAAACAACATCAACCCTTCAATGTAAACAACATCAACCCTTCAATGTAAACAAAATCAACCCTTCAATGTAAACAAATCAACGCTTCAATGTAAACAAATCAACCCTTCAATGTAAACAACATCAACTCTTCAATGTAAACAAAATCAAACCTTCAATGTAAACAACATCAACCCTTCAATGTAAACAACATCAACCCTTCAATGGAAACAACATCAACCCTTCAATGTAAACAAAATCAACCCTTCAATGTAAACAAAATCAACCCTTCAATGTAAACAACATCAACCCTTCAATGTAAACAACATCAACCCTTCAATGTAAACAACATCAACCCTTCAATGTAAACAACATCAACCCTTCAATGTAAACAAAATCAACCTTCAATGTAAACAACATCAGGTCGAACAGTAGTAACGTTATTAGTCTGAGACAAACAAACAACAAAACAAATACGGCTTTAAGCTACTTTAAATACGGTGTAAACAGTAAACAGTAGAAGGAGCAAAGTTCATAAATGAATAAAGTTTAATGAACTTTTAGTCTCGCGACCACGTCAGCAGTCCTCCATACCTCTTAAACCCCACTTCTGTAGGTCGCTATGGGCAACGGCCGTCTTCTGTTTCTCTGCTACGTTGCTTTTTATTTTTAATAAAATGTCTGTCATGTTTCCACACCGACTGGGCTAACACATATACTCAACTTCTGTTGACACAGACATGTACAGAGTAGAGAGAGTCTTCAGTGTTAAACTACACTTCCTGAATGGGTCACGTGAGGCGGGAGAAAAGGCGCGTCACAAATCCGCGCGCCTGTTAAGAATATGGTAGATAAATTAAAATATTAAAAAATGTGATATATATATATAAAATATGATATTAATATAGTAGGCTATATTAAAACATGCAAGAAGTTAACTTGTATTTGCAATAACTTTAACAGTATAAAGATTTTAAATACTGTTAAGAAGAATAACATCACATAGATACAGTCAGGAGAAGTATTGAGATCTTTAAAGGTTAAAGTCTTAAGCTAATTAAAATTTCTTTATATAGGCTACTGATTGCTTCATATTTGAGAAGCTACTCATAGTCTTTGTATGTAAAATATTCATATAATCAGGCTTGGGGAGTAACTGATTACATGTAACTGTGTTATGTAATCAGGATACAAAAAAAGTAACTGTAATCCACTTCACTCAGGAAAAAATCAGTTTTTCTTTAAAAATACACTGAGCAGGGCGCCCGGTAAACTCAGTTAGTCCAGTTCGAGTCCAACCTGCGGCCCTTTGCTGCGTGTCATCCCCACACTCTCTGTCCCCATTTCCCGTCTACCTTCGGCTGTCTCTATAAATTAAAAAAAAGGCAATAAATAGCCCAAAAATATATATATATATAAAAAAAATACACTGAGCAGACACATTTTTCCATTTTTTACGTTTCCATTTTCTTTTCAAAGGTTATCAATACTTCTTATTGATATTTCTTTTTCTTGTCTTTTTTTTTGCGTTGGCTTAATATTTGATGTTGAGATTAAACCAAAAAATAATCAACTAAGTAAGTAAAGTGATATCACTTTAATATTGTGATACTATTACTGACTATCTATATTGTTTAACTGGTAGTTAGTAATTGTATCAGATTACATTTTTAAAGTAACCCTCCCAACCCTGTATATATTAACGTTCATCACTACAGCTGTCAGCGGCAACATGAGGTGAAAGTGGAGTACAATTATCCTCTGAACTGTAATGAAGTAGAAGGGTGAAATAGCATAAACTTTATAAGAGAAAATACACTACTAGATTAAATACTGTAAAGTTACTTTTCACCACTGACACTGTGCATATGGAAAATATTTGAATAAAAATGTTGTATAAATTCACGTCCACCCTGCACCACACAAAGATGAACCCAATTATCTCATGGCTAAAAGATGACACAGATATGTCTGTGTAATCTTTAATGTTTACCACAACCAGATTAAATGATTATATTTCTGCACAGACATCTGTGGTGGCTCCACAGGGATGCTTGCCCACCTTCTGTCTCCTCGTCTGCCATTCTAAAGGCTCTCTAGAGGGTAGGATATTCAGGCTCATCCAGCAGCTGGAAGTAAACCAGGTTACCCACCTCTGGAGGTTTGCAGTCATCCGAAGGTTTAACTTCCGAGCTTCATTTGTTTTGTCTGCCTCGACAGATTGGGGTTTCCACCTCTGGCAGACTGCTCTACTTCAGCATTCCAGTCCCTCTCCCTGTCCTGGTCTCAAAGTCTGCAGACTTTTTTCTGTGTGGAGGCGCTAACTCCTGATTCCCTCGGCTCACAGCATAACTCTAAAGTCTGTTCCTGCCTTTCCTCTTTCCAATCTGGTTTCTGGGTGCTCTGGTTCACTGTGTAACTGTTTCTCATCTTATCTGAGTTTCTGTATTTATTGCCTGTCTATTCACATAAACACACAATGTAACACAACCATGTACTGATGGATGTCACCATTATCTACATTACATGTAAATGTAATAGATGTCCCTTTACTCATACACTGAATAAAGATTGAATGAATAACAATAAATGCAAAACGCACTTATTCTGCTCATGTATATTTTTAATAGACTTTTTCTTTCACATTGACATGAGATTTACAAACAGCAGAAAACTGATCTTTCTGGTAATGAAAACATTGGCAAACTCAGTTGGAAACCTGCCCACCATAAACTGCTGTCTCTGTGTAAAAGTCTAAATATTTAGCACACTGTCATCAAGCCTTTTACTCACTGTGTCCATGGTGGATAAACTTAGTAACATAATAATCAGGCTAAACTGTTACATTAAACTACCTCATGAGAGAAGATTTTTAAAATTCAAGATATCTTTAAAACTGTATTTGTTTAATTAAACTGCCAAAGTCTCTATCAGATAAAGTGTTGAACCTCTTACGATATACTTCTAAATATAACTTCTAATAAAGCAACCTTTGTGCAGCGTTACACTTGAGACCAAAATAACACAAAACATTCAAGGAATGAATATCTGTCAACTATGTTTGTGTTTCACAGAAATATCACTTTCTTATCTCTTCTTATCACTATCTATCTTACAGATATAATCAGGATCAATAAATACATGTTTTATATTGTTACAGACCCACAAAATAAAGTGACATTTAAACTGTTAATAAAAGATACCTTCCAGGCACCAAAAACATCATTAAATGATGGAGGCAACTGTATTTCATATTGCCCCTCTCTGATCTTTCTGGCTCAAGTGTTCAGGCTGTGCCACACTTACATTTAATCCTTTAAATCATTTAAATAATGACACTTTCATGTGTTCATTTACAAAAACATTAGTACATTCATTTATTACAAATATTTACACATATTACAAACCAAGCCCAGGCTCATTAAAATTGGTATAAGTAATCAATACGTACCAAAAATCAATCTGCTCAATGAATGAAGCGGAAAGAAGAAAAAGATCATTGGAGATAAAATGTGTGTATGTGCAGCAGGAAGAGTCACAGACCGTCTGTTTCAGTAACTTCAATAAGAGACCTGCCCCTTTCTTTAACACTTCATCCAGACAGAATCCTTCGTAAAAAGATCTCATGTTGGCCTCACTTCAGGCACATCGCCACAATCTTCATTATTGCATCCCTGGAAAGAAACTCACACAAATCAGACATCCAGACAGGCGTACACATTTTGATTCTGAACATTTGATTGCAGCCGATTTGAATAAATGGAGTTTAAATGACAAACCTCACAAACGGGATGTACGACAGACTGTACCTGCAAACAAAACACATTTTATGTTATATATAACATTCATATACACAATTTAATTTTCCTTTCAGACTAAAATCCACAGAGAGAAATTGTGACTCACCAGGTAAAAGACAAGACTTGCAAGATGCAAAATAACAAAGCCAGTCCAAAGTTCTTCCACTGTAAGAAATAAACAATAAAACTGCTGACAGAGAGAATCAGACTTAATAAACACTGTATCATTAGTTAGAAGTGATCATAACTCACCCAGAAGGCTGCGCAGAGAGTCAACACAAGGCAGGTCTAGAGTAATGAAAGGGACAAATGTAAACAACAATATGTTTTTTAACTGGTTGAATATTGGCTTACATCCTTTATCAGTGATGACAGTAAGTTCTGAATTTCAGGCTGTGACACAGTGAACTTACTCCCCTTAAAAACTGATTTCAGCTAAAATGAATTCCTTTGAAATCTACATGTGGTTGTTTTTGAGTAGCCTACATTTAAATAAAAAGTCAGTTTTCTATCCGGGTTAATACCGTCATATTTTCCTTATTAAGTTCCCTGTAGAGCTCTGTAGACTGACAGTGAATTATAGCCAAGAAACAGAGTAAAAGGAAAAGTCAGCAGCTACTTTTGTGCACTCACAATCATTATAGTAGTGGCCAGCGCTCTTGTTTTGTCACACATCCTCTTCAGCTGCTTCAGTGGGCCCATCAGGAACATAGTGCTGTTAGACATCATAGAATAAGACATTCAATGTGTATACAGTGCCCATGAATGAAAACTACTGGTCATATAATACAAATCAAACCATAACTTCTTATTGTTGTCGGACACTGACCTGCACAGAGCACATAGGTTTCCAAAAGTGTAGAACACAATGAAGAGAGTGAGCCCAATCCTGGGGAGGAACAGCATGCACACTCCCTGCAACACACACATGAAGACAGGTGGTTTGTGGCTTTTTGGCTTTGTGGGTCACAGATAAACTTTGGTCTGTGAGCTGCAGTTGGCACTTTAAGGCAGGGCTGCTTAGTGAAATGAATGAGCATCACATCTTCCACATTCCTCAGAGCAAGAAGAACCAGTAGGGCCACTTCAGCCCTCCCTGCGCTCTTCCTTATTGCGAAGAGCACAACATCACAAATAGCATATTATTATAGAAATCATTATAGATCCTTACCAAAATCGTACACACGCCCCCAACCACGAAACAGGCGACGAATCCCTTCACACGTGTGCCCCAGCCCAACGTGGAGGCTTCATTGACAGTCTGCATTGACAGAGTTTCATTGATTAATAGCTCAGCTGAGATTAACGTTTACACTGTGTAGGCTGGAGTTAGAGTTTAGTTTTACCTCTAAGACAGTTCGGTCGTCTCTGCGCGCCTCCTCACCGCTTAAAACAGACTTCAGTTTATCCATGGCTGAAGATCCTCAGAGTCGACTGGACTGGTGAATGATCCGGTCGTTTCCTGGAGCGGGAATTAAAATTTGGTGGTTTCCTCAAATCTGTGAGGATGGACAGCAAAGTCACGTGGCTGCCGGAGGAGCTGACAGGTAGTTTACCTGCACAGGTGGATGGCTTCAGGTGAGTTACTCACACCAAAGCACAGAAACAGCAGAGAGCTCTCACTCTGATCTGTATTTTCCAACAGGGAGAAGTTGACTCTAATGAGCCAGATTAAAAAGAGTTAGGCTATACAATGACTTTTGTAAATTAAGATTCAGCTCGCCAAAGAAATAGCATTTAATAATATATAATATATTTCATTTTATTTCCCATACTTAATTTACTTTATTTACTTACTTATTTCATTTTCTTTTTATTTGTTCCATCCCCTGAGGGTGGTATATTGAACCAGCATGTACATGTAACCTTACATTGCTGACTGTTACTTCAGGTCTATATAAACAGAATCCGACAGATCAATCATATTGTAACTATTATAAATTGACTGAACTGATCAGTCAATCAACAGAAAATAATCAGCAACTATTCTGATAATATTTAATATGTTTGTATAAGAAGATTTTATTGACATTTTTCACTATTTTATGACATTTTATACCTCGTTTGTTAATCAAGAAAATAATTAGCAGATTGTTTCATAATGAAAATAATTGTTAGAAGCAGGCCTAATTATATAGAATAGTTTCAGGTTTGTAGCATACCAACCAGACTACTTGTTATAACCAAAGGACATCTGATGAACGGAGTGATTGGTCCTCTTGAACACATACGATCTTTGTTGACGCGTACTGTCTGTGTTGTGCTGTCCTGACCAAAATAAGTCTGCAGGGGCAATTTATTAGCCATATTAAACTATTTATTTTCCTCCTTATTAAGTGATGAATTTTGTGTTGATGTGACTAATATAATGAGAAATTGTGAATAACATCTATCTCAGTGCCTCACAAAAGTATAAATTCTTTGGATGTTCTTATAACATTTTGAATGATATAAAAGTGTCACTATAAACGTTGTGTTAGGTACTATTGTACACGTTGAATAAATACTGCAGAAGAGCTACATAAACAACATTAGCAACCATAATATTACCTGTAATAATGTCAAATATTACAATATAAACATTTAAACAACTTTAATACAAGTCTTATTTTTGGCAGTTGTGTGTCTCACATGTGTAACAACATGAAACAAAAAAGCTACGTAAAATACTTAAAGATATGCTTTCAAGTAAAATATGCAGTACTAAGGATGATTGTTTTCACCACAAGATGGCGCTACTGAACACCAAAATGTCTGACAAGGAAAGTTTGGCAAATGAAAAGCATGCAAACCATAAAAAAAAGCTTTCCCATATGAGTTCATGTTCACTTATAGTGTGCAAAAGAATAATGAAAAAAAAGAGATATGAGATATGAAAAGTATTAGGCCACAGTAAAATAAATAGCAATTAACAATGAGAATAAGGCTGAAAGGTTTACAGATGGTTAAGTAAGGCAGAGGTAGAGATATATTTCTAAAGTAAAGCATCCAGATACCAGGTCCTTATCCCTTCTCTGTCTGCATGCTTCGCCTCTCGTCGTACTGCGGCTGGAACTGCAAACATTGTATCCCTGATTTAATTGTGATATATATGAGTCACAATGTAAGTGTACAACAGTCCTTTTCATAAAATCTCATCTTCTGACTCTGGATCCCTGTCTCTGGGCTTCAGAAGTCCCATTTCCATAGGAGGAGTCCTCTTCAATCTGGAGCGAACCACACTACGGAGAAAGCACAACAAACACCAGAGTCACACACAACATAAACTGTTTGTAGTGAGGTATTCCCAGTGTGGATGAATTTGCAAGACTGCCAGGACAAGTGAACAAGCTTAAGGGAGTCCAGGGTGGAGCAGGTTCTTACCAGCTGACAGTGCAGTAGAGCACGCCCACAACGAACATAGCGAAGGCGAGGTGCCAGGAGTAACACATGGTGATGAACATCATATTGTTATGATCCTTTAGGTCCCACTCAGGGCCATGGGGAGGATACAGCACAAAACCAATCTGTGGCCCAAGAGAGAGCAATATCAGGAGTTATAATGCGCTGCCATAAACTGTTGCTCATACATGCAGGCGTTCAGATTCACCTGCCAGAACCAGCTTCCCTGCAGGAGAGTGAGGGTGCAGCGCAGCAGCTCCAGCAGGATGTTCCCTCGGTGAAAGACCTCCAGGAAGGCAACAAAAGCATCTCCAAAGATGGCATAGAGAAGGAGCTGATGTACATGGACATCCAGCATACTCCTGCCATGGAGGTGGTAGAGGAAAAGAAATCCTACCAAAACAAAGAGACAGTCATCAGTGCAAAAATAGACGAGAAAGGTAAAAAGGCAAAAAATTTTAGTTCCATGCTGACATTTGTAAATTTGCCAAACTGTCAAATGGCATCTTGACTGCATTTTTGTTTTTCATCCAGTTATAAGCCTGCTTTCATGTGCACTTTTGTGTGTAGGATTTGGTTGCAGATTGTATTAATATAAATAGAAAATATTGTAACAAATAAAATAAAAGTGTATGATAGATTCAAATGAACACATTTGCAACCTGATGGGTGGTGTTGATGAAGTTGTAATTGATTTAATCAGATAGGGCTGTTAATGTCACATCTTGAAGGACCAGTGTATAGGATTTAGTGGCATCTAATGGTGCAGACTGCAACTATTTGAATACAGCTCAGTCTTTCTCAGTGTTTAGGAGCAACTACAATGGCAGCGAAACTCGCAAAAAATGTAGATACACTGATAAAAACATATCTATGAATATTATATTCCAATTTCTGCCAATAGATCCTCCTAAATGTTACACACTGGACCTTTAAAGAAACAGTTGGGAACCCCTGGTCTAAATAAACAATGTCAAAGTTAAGGCTGGACTCTACAGATGTCCTTTACTCACCTTCATTAAAGAAAGCAATTGCCAGCATTAACCTATCCAGTGCCAGCGGAGCAGCATCTGTGGTGTGGATGATGAGGGAAACGGTCGCAGCCAAGCTGAAGAACAGATACATGGTGGTATGCTGCCAGTTCATCAGATCTTCCCAGTGTTTCTCTGCAAAGTCATACAACTGGAGTTTCGGTCCATCTGCTAAGAACTGCTCTGCCACCATCCCTGAGGAGCACAGCGGAGGGAACACTCAGATCTCCTTAATTAAAGCGTGAATACTGTAAACGCCCTGTGTCATACTTTACTCATACAGTACACTGTCATTAAAGTTTATACATCCAAACAGCTTTGGGAACGGCGTGTGCTGTTCGTATCACTCACAGTTCAGAACAGAAACTTACCCACAAAAGAGAAGAAGAGTATGACAGAGCTTTCAATGATCTCCAGGCGGCGCTGTGAGGCTCTGCTGGCCAGCCGAGTGGAACCGATATTCTTGTTCCTGCGGGTGGCGTGCCAGAGTGAGTGCTTTCCTGTCCACCAGATCCCAGCTACCAGAAAGAAGCTTCCAGGTAGCGCGTGGCCCTTGAAGCTTCCCATGACGCCTGAACTATAGGAGGAAACAAATCTATTAGCAGTTGTGATGAATAATTGCATCACTGCAGAGTAACTATCGAGGGAAACCACGATTGCTGTCGTCTCAGTGATCTGAGAAAACTTTCTTCTTACAGGTTTATTCTCAATGCTGCCTCTATATTACATCAGCAGGGAAGGTTTCCTGCAGGTAATAAATGTACCAAAAACAAGATAATTGGCCATATATTTTATACAAAGTGTTCTTCCAGTAGATTGGGTATTATACAGTATTTTTAGCATGACTGGCAGGAGGGAAGGAATAAGAAATAGGGAGGGAAAAGGGGAGGAGTGCCTGCAATTTAGTTCAACAGCATAATCAGACATAATTAGTGTGTGTGTGCTGGAGACGGCCCTTCAGCTGACCTCAGCAGAAGTGTGTCTAGACACGGAAAGAAACCTGTTAGAGCGCCACAAGGCTCGCACCTTTACCTTTAAACATGAGAGCCTGTCTGCTTCACTGCAGTATACAAAAGAGCAGATTGTTCTGATTGGGTTGTACAGATACTCACTGCATTAATTAACACAGATGCTGTTCTTGGTAACAATTAGCCATAATTTCTTTGACAATTAAACCTACACCTAATCGATGTGATGGTGTCTGTGGGTGCAGACCAGGATGCCATCATCTGCTGTTTACCTCCACACATTTATTCTCTTAAGAGAACAAAACATATGTCAAAAACAAAGTCATGTGCTGTGCTCCCTTTTATCCACCTGTGTACCTCCCTGTGGTTTCACTGTAAATATGAAATTACATGAACACGTATAAAGAAGCTTTATAAACCAGTATGACTTCCCTTAAATAATGCTTGTAAATGAAAAGAGGAGATCAATGGTACATGGCTGTGCTCGCTTTTGTAATGGAGATGACAGACAATATTCTGCCCGGCACAAAAGGAAGCTTTTGAAGGACGACGCTCCATACAAACAGATCGTTTGAGATGTTAAACTGAGCTCATCTGTGTCCGACGGCCCTTTTGCCTGTGCAACCTCTCCAGACTGAGAAAACACTTCAGTTGCCATGGCGATCACTCCCTCATGTCTCTCCAGTGCTGCTGGAAGACTCTCCAGGTTTTGTCTGATTTACTCGCAGTATCAACAGCAACATCTGCGCAGTCTAGTTTCCAGATTCAGTGGTTCCCACACTTCTTTATGACGAGGATTTTATTAGAGTGATGGAAAGTAAATAAGTATTATTACTCAAGGATGCTACGTCATAGCACTACCCAACACTATATGCAACAGTTTAAACAGCCCTACCATGACTATTTATAACATTTAAGTGCACATGTTAGGGCATAAATAATGTTTCAGAAAGCTCATTCTACATAATGAGGACTTTTAATTTTAATACTTTAAGTACATTAATACTTTAACTTAAATACAATTTTGAATGCAGGAATTGAGTAGAGTGGGATTGCTGCTTTATTCTCACGTAAGTACTTCCTCCATCACTGATTATAGGTTACACTAAAAGTATTTAACAATTATACATGTTTGATTTAATGTTGGATCCTGAAACTTCCAATGCAGTGAGTGATAAGACTGAAACCCTTTATCACATGTATAATTTTTTCCTGCAAACCCTTTTCTGAAGATAGTGGAAAACCTGTTAAGGCAAGTCAACGGTATTTCTTTTATTTGTTGGTGACAGATGGAGATCTTTCATGGAGGTACAGATTGTCCGAACAAGGGGACAGAAATGTTGAGGCTGTAGAAATAAAAAAACAACAACCAGAGACTGAGATTGTAAAGCTGATGACTACAGACTGTATTGCCCTCTAAATAGAAAACAAAAAAAGAGTTGCTCATTAAATGTCTTAACATGAGACTTTTGAGCCGACAAGTTTGCCATCTGAGATTATTGGGTGTAAAGATTAACATAAAGTAATTAGTTTAGTGGGTTTACTGAATCTAAATGTGAACTACAGAGGCCAACATAAATTATAGGGTATATAGCCTACTTTAACAATACTCTGAGGATCTTAATGCACTTTAATGTAAAGTATAAAGGTAATAAGTGTATAGTACAATGAATGTGTGGGAAACTATAAAGTTACTGAACAGGATGCAGAATTCCTTTGCAGCAGAAAGAAAAAGGGGGGTCTTACCCAACTATGTTTCTTCCAGGAGGTGAAGTAAGTATTTAAGTATTTCCAGACAAAAAAAAATCAAAATATCCTCATTTTCTCCTCACATCATTTTCCCAGCAGCCAAAAAGAGAGATACCCTCTCTGTCCCTCGGCAAGACACGAAGTAAACATCAGCTGTCTCCTCCGAGTCCCAGCAGCCTCCTAACAGACTGTTTCACAACCTCTTTTTTCCTAATTTTTTCCGACTCCAAACAGTTTAGGCTTTTACCCCCAAATAAACTATCCCATTGGATGATAGGTGAGCTGACATCATCAGTCCGTGCTGTCATTGGCTGAAGTCCACGTCAGTCTCAGGTGTCCACGTGTGCACTTTCACTCCGCCTGCTGGTGCTCGGCACGGTCCCTCCCTGCTCGGAGGAAACCGCTACTTTCCATCCAGACAGACAGTACAGGCCGGCCCGGGACAAGACCTCCGGCACGTACACTGGGCTGGAAGACTTCCTGGTCTTCAGACCGGAGCTTTGGTCCCTCACGTTGGCTGTTTTATTCACTGCGGAGCGGCTGGCAGAGATTCACTGTTGTGTGAATGGAAGCAACAAGTGACTTCTAGTGTTAGTCAGGTTACTACAGGGCCAACAACCAGCAGAGTAAACAGAGAACAGTTTATCCATTGTCCCCCAAAGTGTTTGACAAACGCCCCTCTAACGTCCAACACATATTCTAGCCTTGTAGTTTACTACTACTGTTTGTGAAGAATTGATTTATTTGTAAAGATTCAAACAGGAGGATAGACTAGATATTCTGCTAGTAAAAGCAGGGATGAGAATAGATGAGATTTTATTGATGCCAATACCATTGTCGATTTTGCTTATCGGCCCGATTCTTTGTTGATTCCTGTACTGATTCCTGATCCATATTCTTTGTGGAAAAAAGTAGGCCACAACTGTATTATCATCTGTGAGTCTGAACACAGTGTGGAAAAAGAGCAGGTATAGTTTCTTTGTGACATGAGGCGCTTTGGACCGGTTCTTCTTCTCCACCATGACTCCTTCATGTTTCAGGTTTCTAGCAGCGAAGGGGCTTGAGTTTGACGTAATTGTTTTATAATGCCCAACAGTCAAAAAAAACATGCTGGCACTGATAAAAAGGAACTGATAAGCTTGGTGGCTTACAATGGATTAGACTATTTGGAACCGGTTCTCGATTCCCCTCTCTAAGGCTGTTTGTAGGCTGTAGCATGTGTGTTAAACCCACTATTTATAAGTCCACACTGGCAGGAATAACATTCTGGGGAATTTAAAAAAAAATCTTTATTAATATTTTAAATGACCCAAAATGTGTCACATTTAAAGGCACCCTGTGAGGTTTTCAACCACTAGTAGTGCGCTAGAGCAATGTTTTTATGAGTGTTGACCTTATCTTCTTTGTTCACATGCTAGCGTGCAGAATACACTTTCCAGCAACCTGTGGCAGAAAAGTTGAAACAGAATCAACTCTTGGAGAAATGCAGCGCTGTCGTGGCCGCTGATGAGACTGATGAAGCTGCTCCATACGTTTGTGTCTGGTGGTTGAGCGACATAGAGAGTGAATAAGAAGAGGGAGCACCAGTTGAAAGCCGGTAAATCAGATAAATAAAAAGTTATTTTCTGATTGTTCACAGGTGACAAATAAACACGCCCGCGCACGCTGCCTCTCAACCCTTTGCCAATCGCCGCAACGCCTGATTTGGTTGGAATATGTCAAAAAACGCAACAAGGCTCAAGCATTTAACGATACTTTAAAGGGAAAAATCAAAGGGTGACTTGAAACATACTGAGGTAACAGTATTTAACGGCATATAAAATGCGTATGTTTTCCCTACATTTACAGTATCTGCTGTATAATTAATTCCGTATTAACTCAGAGCAGGACGTATTGTAACAGTTAAACAGGGAATAAGCACCATCTGGACCACTTAGACATTATAATATCAAACAGGTGAAACTAATGACGTTGATATCGACTGCATTCCATTTAGTTAGGTGTGTCAGTGACAGGCCTTTGATATCGTGCAAGCTCAAAATGTCTGCTTTGAGAAAGCTCTATTATGTTGTTGCTATTGGTATTATGGGATTTGGATAACTTTGAATACTTGTTGTTATTGGCCTTGTTATGGGCTGCAGTATTATAATCTGAACAACGAAAGCATTATGAAATGAGATAACTACTGTAAATGGTACATGAAGAACAGAAAAGTGTATTTTTGTTTAAAGAAAACCACTTTAAGCAAGGGAGTGTCACGTCAGTGTGTTTTTATTTAAGAGCCACAACAGTGGAAAACAGTGCTGTGTGTCAGCAGTTTGTTCTCAGGGAAACAGTGAACGTAGCAGCTGAAGGTTCGTTGAGTGTTGATCTTCGAGTATTACTTCAGCATATTAAGTCTTGGCAGTGTGAAACTATTCTGTATTTTTGGTTCGGAGTCAAGATCTTTTAAAATGTAGGACATCAATAAAGTTTAATGTCATGTATGAAAGACAATCCAAAAGACACATTTATATTTCTCAGAGAGGACAGTAAATGTAGCTTAGTTACAATGTCATTCACTGTTTAGAGAGATTTAAAAATCACTTGGATACCTTCCAGTTATTCCATCCATTATACTGATCCTAACAAACGTCCGTGCTGCAGAAACAGATTAATTTTGGTTGGACATAATATCCCTGCAAGACCACAGCAGATTACCAGGGTTTACTGGTTAGTAAATGAATTAAGATCACATGAAATAATAGTACTGATATACATCCTGTACACGGAAAGACAACTTTTACTAACTAGAAACAAAATCACATTCACACAATTGCTTATTTTTGCGACTACATGTATATACAGGCAGTCAGATTTTGTTGGACTCTCATTTGGCAGTGTAAGATACACAACAGTGCAGAGATGACAGTGGATTAGACCTCACATGCAAAATATTTCACATGCAAAACAATATAAGCATAGATAAGGCAGGAGGGTGGAGCAGATGGAAAACGGGGTGTGACAGAGAAGCTCATTGTTTCAGGAGTTCACTTTTATAACTTCAGTGTAAAGTTTATTTACACAGGTGGGTGCACTCACTCACTTTCACATCAGCAAAGCTAGTCATCATGAAGCTGTGAGTATTTTTAGTTTATGTCCATGCTGTTATCAGATACTTCCACAAGATTTAGTTCTGGACTGAGTCTGCAATACATAAAACCAATACTGCCCACAATAAGTCTGAATATGCAAATACTGAACACACTATGGACATTCTGTTAGTAACAGTAACTTTGTTCTTGTCAGAAAAAGGAGACTAAACTAATCAAATTAAACTACGAGTTTTTTTCAACTCAGTTTAATACTAATGCCTCTATATGACGTACACAAACAAACAATCAGAAAGAAGATTATTTTTTTCTATATAGTTATTCTTACTGTCTGCCCCCGTTTCCCCTTGAACTCAATGAAATGAAGCAGTACAAACACTACTGCTTTTGTCCACAGGGGTCACCAGAATCAACACAAAATGAATATTCCTTGTAGTTGCTTTAAGTCTGTTTTCAAGATATTTGTTTTTTTCCAAAGTAAAGGTAAACCTCAGTCTTAGACATGTCAGCATCTTCTCATCTAACGCTATGTAAGAATGCCAATAAGCGCATTTCTAAAAGGGTCAAATCGTTCCTTTAAGGTAAATGAGATGTGCAAAAACGCAAAAAGAAAAAAGGAAGCAAAATAATTTGTAGAGAAATTGATAATTAAAAAATTTAATAATCTTAAAGAAATAAAAGTGCAGGTTTAATGCAGTGTCTCCAGATGTTTTTAACAAAATAAAGACAAAAAGACAAAACCTCTCATATTAGGGCGATCACAGAACAGAACATTATATTCTTATAACAGTGTGAGACCACCAAATTATAATTTCTCTCTCTAACTGAGGGCCCTCCCATGACAGAAGATGATTTAAAGTCTGCTCCTCCTAAACCCTGACCAACTGGAGCAGCGGGTGTTCATGCAGGAGGACTGAGGGTCAGTGGGTCACATGGGCATGCAGACATGGCAGGTGTGTAGGCACAGGACCGTTATGGGACTTTGGTGCGGGACGAGGACCAGTAGAGGGGCTTCAGCATGGACAGATAGACACAACATGTGGGACACATCTGTTTCTTCCACAGCCACTGCTCCATGCACTGAAAACACATTTTAAAAGAGGTGATTACATCTGTTATATCTATTTTTCAGGCAGGCTGAATGTTTATGATTTCTTCCGGTATTGATTTCCCTCACTGATGCCAGGAGGTAATTTCCAACATGCTGACATAGCATACGCACGACACCATCTGCATTGACCCTGACTCTGCGCTACGAGGACACTGTTATCACGTGTTTTACTCTGTTGTACGTTCACTCTATTGTTGAAGAAGTGCAGTTATAAAAGAGTCTAAACTGTTTCCTCTGTTTAAAAAGGTATAAAGCAGGTACAATGCAAAGTAGATAACTTGAGAATTTATTTCCTTATTGACTGTTACAACACAAAACACTAAAAACACATCTTTTGGACTCCATTAAAGCAACTTCCAAGCAATCAAAAGTCTTCCTAGTAGTCCACACACCCTACAGTATATAGCATTAATGGAAACACTAAATTACAGCGGCTGAGACAAATGAATTAGATCTACTGTAAATGCCATTGGAATATTTTTGTAGCATATTTTTTACTTTCCACACTATTAAAATTATATTGTAGTTCTGCTGAAAGGCTTGTGAATTGAAACTATTCTCTGTGTGTGATATTTAAAATCATTTGATGAATGTAAGCAGAAAGATATTGGTGAGGTTGTCACCCAGAAACAAGTCCTTACTGAGCATAAAGTAACATTATATGACCTATGAGCATCTTGACATACTTTATATACTACTATGAAGAAAATAGCTTATACGTCTCATTTAGAAAAGTGGTATTACATAGAGGCACATATTGTTTGCCAGTGTTAAAGTAGCATTATATTTCAGTACAGCAGTTGGCAGTTCAAGCAGGAAACTTCAGGTTCTGGTAATTTCTAATACTCATATAGAAATTACTTGTATAATACTCAGGTTTTTCCTAATAAGAATTTTCCATAGAAATTATTTTTCTTTATTTCAGACTTTGGGTTAGTTGGGTTATGTGTACAATTATAAAATATAATTTAAGGATTCTCCTAAATTAGTTTTTTGACACTGAGGAGAAAATGCCTCCAAGAGGGCCCACAGGACAGTTTTAGAGGACCAGGTCACACACAGGCCCTGAGATTTTATCACTTGAACATCACACCATATAGTAGTAAAAGTTCAGGAAAGGATCCTGATGTTTTTCATCTTTTCCATCGATGAGTCACCTCCTTCCACAGAATGATATCAGCGATGTCTCCGCAGGGAAAGCTGACGTCGGGGTATGTGCTGCTCTTTCTCTGTGGAGATTGGTCCATCAGCCGACTTCCTCCTCTCGTCCGAGAGTCTCCTCACCTGACAGGCTGCTGCTTCACTACCGCTGCGGGGCCGACACTGCTCTGACCTCCGAGCCGCCTTCAGCACCCACCAAACGGAGACATCATTATCAGTAAGTCCTCAGACCAGGGGGAAAGCTGTTAGAGTGCTCCATGCTTCCACAGAGATAGGTTTCAGCTGTAGGCAGGTTGTTTTCATCCCTCTTCACATCATGCATATCCAGGAATGAGCTGCTTTCATGCACCATCATCTGATCTCTGACATGCTGGGATTGGAGTGAATAAGTGGAGACTCCTTTGCTTTGGGGACATGTAAACACAGTGTAGAGGAGACATGCAATGCGTCTGACAAAAGATGTTTTACCTCTTTGTGGAAGCGGTGTGTACAGTGCAGCTCTTGGACTCCCCCTCCACTCATCCGCATGTCCTCATGACAGATCAGGCACAGCTCGTCGTCATCATTCTGTAAAAGGAGGGATATTCAGTGTTAAAAGCTGAATATTTTAAAACAGCCAATGAATATGATGTTTTTAAAACTGATGACAAAACACAACTCTGCATTTAGCCACAGATTATTCTCCAGAAATCCTCTAAATTATCTGAATAATACATGAGTAAATTATCCTGTATATTATCAACAGTAAATATACTGTATGTTCACACAATGTGGTATACAGGAAATATCTTTGCTGTCATATCAAAACTTCAAAAACTAAAACCTGATTTTTTACATTACAAGTTGTGAAAATTGAAAACAAACCATTTCAAACTAAACTAAAATACTTGAATACGCAAATACAAAATATAGCATTGACCTAGCCCTTTCATAAAATGTGAAATATCTTATTCTGGTCCTCACAGTGTTACAAGAGATACAGCACAGTTTACAATGAATAATGTGAGCTTTTGGGACATGCCATGCAGTTCAAACCTGCCTATGATCCTGTCAGCACATAAGGTAGTAAACCTTTTAATGCTTCTTAATCTTTAAGGGCTTCATGATCACCCTTCCACTGAAAGACAGAGGGCACCAAACCTGACTGACCCTGCAGCTGGTTAATCTGCAACACAGTGGGCTGGGAAAGAAAACTGTAAACTTTCATTAACTCTTCTCACCAGAGACATGGTCTTCTTATCACGGAGACAAAGTCTCCTTTCGAAGGACTCTGTGAGCTCTGGGATGGTGGTGATGCGGTTCTCTGGGATGGCTGACTTGGAGCGGCTGTTGTCGTCTGAGGAGGCACGACGAGCTCTCTGGTGGGGCCGGACCTCCCCCTTCTCCTCTCTTGTTTTGATGTGGCTCGGGGTGGCTGCCATCGCCGCTGCATGGAGCCGGTTCAACTTCATGGCATCTAATTGTGACTGTGGACCACACAGAGAAGGACAGTGTACAAAGTGTCCACAATGATTCAGTATCAGCTCAAAGGAAAACAATAGTGTTAATATTCCCATAATAAGAAGAACATTAAACCAGACCATGCTGAGCTTTTGTCTGTGAATGGGGTTCATCACTCCTAATATTCTTAAGTAACATGTCGGCAATGCACCAACCTAATAAGAGTTTGCCTCTGGACAGTCAGTTCATTGATTGTGTACACAACAGGAATAATCACATTATTACACTTATATGTTGCAAAACAGGTATATTGAGGGCAAGGTTATTATAGTTAATTAAAATCAAACTAAAAACTCCTACTAGGTGTGAAAGAAATGTTGGTTAACTGAAATAAAATAAAACTACTTACAAAAATAATATAAAAATAGATTTTAGTCTTTGTCAATTTGGTTAAATGTGTCAACAGAACAAGCATGAGACTGTGTTGTCTACATGACAACGAATCAATTGCCTTCACAGTGTTGTGTTTATATTGTTATACCTATTCTGACCGTATTAAATTTTGCCCCTGAAAAATAGCCCCAATATTTTTGTTTTAAAAAGCTAAAACTAACACTGAAACTATTAAAAATATTTTTAAACAATAAACACTAAACCTGAAAAAATATAATAACTCTGGTTGTGGGCATGGTCAAAATAAAGCAATATATTATTATTATATATTATATACATATTATTAGATATTATTACAGTATGTATATATATATATATATATATATATATATATATATATATATATATATATATATATATATATATTATAATATTCTGGTTTTGACTTGGTCCACTCTCTTGTCAGTCACTGCAGAAAATCACACATAAGAGACTCGACGCAGCAGAAGCCGAGATATTCTGACTTTCAATACCTAGCTTTGGTCAAGCTCCAAAAATGATGCATCCTACATTTCCCACAGTGCAACTTAATGGCATCTTTTAATTAGATTCTCCCTTCAGGTACATGCCCACTTCTTTAACCAATTTGTAACACAGGTTGTCTTTATTAATTTTGAAGACTTAGATGTGTAAAATCAGTGGTGACCCCCTTGAAGAACCCAACAACAAGACAAAGCTTGCTCTATTGTTCATTAACAGTGTCTAAAAAGACTGCCTTACAGTACACATCTATCTACTTATGGATTAATATTGGGGTCATTTGGCTCATTCCTCCTCTGGATCTAATGTTCAAGTCGATTTGTATTAGCAGAAGTGAGCAGAGGCTTTCACACTGAAAATAAATCAAATTTTCAGCCGAGCCATCAGAGAGGCCAATCTATATGAGCATGTGTCATCATATCTCTCATCAGCTGCTTTTGCTTCATTTAACCTGCCAGTTAACTTAGAAGATGTTCTTTGGTTCCCAAGGAATAAAACTAAAGACCTCCAAATGTAAACAAAATAATATGACTGCTAAGTACTGCTTTCATGAAAAAAAACGTAACTTTAGCTCACACACTCATCGTCATTTGTCCCCTTGAAGCATACAGTGTATATGCCTATATCCATCTTGCTTAATGCTACTTGACCATACTGAGTACCTACTGTATGAGCCACAAGTGTGCTGCCGTGCAGCTGGCATTGACCTTTGACCTCGCTGTGTAAGTAAATTCCCTTATAGCATTGAGCTTGTGTTCTCAATTTGTGTAAGAGCTCTTACATGGCTGAGACTCCCAACCAGGTCTGCTTTCATCTGAAAACTTTCTATCAATAATAGTGAAGCAATGAAATCAGCTCAGTCTAGTTAAGTCAGCATATGGTTGAACATTTTGCACATAGTACAGGAAGTTAAATAAACTCCTGTTTACTTGAGTTGCACCAGAATATAAGTCAGTCTTAAACAACAGCAACAACATCAACATCAACAACAACAACAACAACAACAACAACAACAACAACAACAACAACATATCTATCAGTGCATGTCTGTGTGTTTGTGTGTGAGCATGAGCACACATTATTGATGTGAAATTGGCATATTACAGGTCAGAACATCCTTTTCCTAAACTCTATCACAGACCTACAGAGTATTTACATGCATTCGTCTACTGTCATTAACTGCCAAAATATCCATACGATTTTTGCTTTTTCAACCTTATTTCTTGAATTTACTGTACTTAACTTTTATTTTAAATGTTTAATTTTCCATGCTGATGCATTGGATTTTGATTAATACAGTATTTTTTGGTAATTTATTTTAAAAAGTAGTAGTTTTTACAAGTTTACATCAGTTTAAAAGCACTATGTATGCTGTGGTCAGACAGATATTTAGTGTGTTGCTGCTGTTTATAGAAAGGCACATGCATGCATCCATTAAATGCTTACCACAGTCGGGAGTGATGCTCTTCGATCAGGCAGTGTTTTCGAAGGTCTTCTGAAACTGCGTTTTCTTTCCCTGGAGTGTCTGGATTCTGCTCCGTGACCCCAATAACTGCTCATCCATTTAGTGAAGTTGCCATCATCATCCTCATCATTGTCCGTTATAAAAGCAGGCAGGAGCCTGAGAGCCATGATGGAGTTGTGCAGGGAGCCTCTTGGTGCAGCAACTCCCAGTACAACAGATGAAAGTGTGATCCCAGCCGAGTGGCACGGAGGGTAAAGACAATGCTGAGCTGACCTACTAAGCCTCTGACTGGCTGCTCTACTACACAACACTGTCCCACAAAGCAAAGGTAACTTACTTCAATTAGATCCCTCTGGAGCCTCGAGCTCTGCTGCTATAGTTGTATTCTTGGATGATCCAGAAATAAACTGCAGAGCTTTTGTTCTCAAGTCTTTAAATAAGTGAATCCCCTTTAATCTAGTTATCAAGGGGCTGGGAGAAAGTAAAAGTGGAGGTGATTGGAATAAACAGGGAGGTGCGAGTCAGAGAGGAGCGGCTAGTATTTTGGCTCTGGGTGGGTGATGTGACCAGTGCTTTTAATCTTTCCATTACAGTCATGGGCCTGGGGGTAGACAACTGAAACTCCAATTTCCCCATACTTTCCACTCGCTGAGTACATCAAACCTGTCAATAATTATGGAGTGCAGGCTACCCTGTGTACTGCTGTGCGCTGACAGCCTGCGGCTTGTTTAATACAGGACACAGAGGGAGCATATGTTTTCACTGGGTACTGCTAAATCCTATTTTTTGTTTTCTTGCCTTTATTTCTTATCAAGTACAATTTGATGTGTACACAACTGGAGGAGCAACATTTGTACAAGTTGTAACCAAAATATTTATGAGCACATAATGTATGAAGATGTACAATGGGTGGAAGTGTTCCACTTCACCAAATCATTTATGGTATGTCAGTAGTTCACTCTTGATTCAATGCCATCAGTATCACAAATACAATTTATAATTTGAATAAACATTGTGCAACAGATGTTTTATGACATTATTTACTCCACACGTCAATAAATTCAAGAGAGAAAATATTATTCCAACATGAAATATGGATGATGCTATGGAGTATTGTGGAGTGTCCATTACAACAACGACACTGTTTGAGGGGTCATACTGAATGTGCTTTGTTTGCATAGGAATATGACATGGTAATGATGTATAAATCACTATCGAACATCTCCAGACATGTATTACAAACATATATAAATAGTCTGATTGGAACAATATTGTATGTCTAATATGTTTTTTCAAAATTTCCACAAATCCTTAAAAAGACATCTACTCCTTCTACCATGTTAAAAATTACAGAATCTATGTCTCCTCCTTCACTGTAAAGTCCATTCTCAGTCAATGTCCACTGGTGGCTTCAGGTTTCTACATCACACTGTACAAGTTGCATACTGGACCAGGACTGACCTCCAAACTATTTGTGATGTCACAAATCATGCTGGTAGGCCCCGCCCCTTAAAAATCAGATTCTCAATGAGCACAGAAAAACTTTCCACTTTCACCAGATGAATATGAAAACATCCTTCTAGAGCCAAACACTGCACAGACAGCATTCAAACAGCACACTGTAGGAACAAGGAGGTAAACAGATTTTTGACTAGAGGGGACTTCAAGTTTTCAGCTTCAGGAATTTCTTAAGATGAAATTTACCCTTGAACTTGAGCAAAATCCTCCTTCACAAACCGAACGGATCAAACTGCTGCTAATCATCTCAGAGACCTGAGTCTCAAAGACGAGGACTAATCTGGACAAGCAGTGTTATGAGACATTCACGCTGCCTTGTCATGTAACCTCAGATTGTTAGAGAGAACAGGATTACAGTAATCTGTTGTTTTTCTAGAGATGGGAGCCAATTAAGGTCACACCTGAACAGAAATGACCAAGAAAAATGAAAAAACAATAAACACTCTTTATATATACCCACATAATATTTGAACATACAAATATTTATTTCATGAAAATGCAAATAACCCAATATTTTTGGAAAATAAATCAGTGATCAGATTACAGATTCAGAGGGATTAGCCAAACTAACGTATTTTGAGATAACTTTAAATACTTTATAGTCCTTGTATATTATAATAAGGAACAAATGTAAAAAAGTGCAAAACAATGGAGGTAAATATTTTAAATCTAGCTGGCATACAAGAGATCAGATTTGTGAATGAAGGGACAGGAGGCTGCCGTCTAACTCTGTTAAAGCTTATTGACTACAACTGATTCAACTTTCTCTTCGGTGTGTGTGTCACAAATCTGCTAAATAGTGTTACAAAATACTTTTTGAAATCTAGACCTAATTAGCCAACAAAGAGGTCGACAAAAAGCTGTATAAATAAAATGTACCTGTATGAGCATCTGATTAATCTCATTAAATGATCTTACTGGAATCATTCAGGGTATTTACGCAGTTGGTTTGTAAAGACAAATACATTTTAAATTACATTTCCAAAGTACAATTCATCTAAACACTTGCCAGCATTATAGGAGCGTACAGGTCTCAGTGGACACAGATTTCCAAACATCTAGTGGCAGCGACTAAAACTAAGCCAGGCTGTGCTAACAATAGCAGGCACATTTAACAGGAACAACAGAGTTAGGAGTCAGGAATAGCCTGAAGATCAGACATCCTTATTGTAACCTCTGCCAGTAACCCTTTTCACCTTTCTGAAACAACAATTTATGCTGGGTCACTGTATAGACATGCCACACATTATATATATACAAGGTTATTGTGTCTCATCACGTTTTGTAGTTCAGTGGCAAAATTGATTTCATGGCTTTTCAAAACAAGCTACTGTGTCAGTGTAAAATGGATTATTTTGAGAGGCATCCACATGTTTTAAGCTACTCAACCAGGACAGATTTTCTTCATTTGGTTTAAATTGTGAATTTAAAATGCTGCTTTTTCAGTTTAATACAGCTCCAAAACTGAATGAAACAATGCACCCGACTGTGTGAATATATGACTTCAGTCCTTAAAATATGGAACACCTCATAAGGGAATAGTTGTCCTATGAAAGGTCTCTGTTGCTGCAAGGACAGGACCCCTTCATTACACAGGCTCCCCATAACCAGCTAAATACAGTTGACTTTGAAAACTTTTCAGCACTGGTTACTGTTTGAGGACAGATTGCCTCGGGTGCAGATTGAGCAATCAGGCTCCAGCAGACAGACCAGCACAGAGCTCTAAACTGGGACAGAGAGGAGACTGAACTTGGCAAAGACACAAACATACGCAGGCAGGCACGCACACTCATATGATGAATCCACATTGACCAGGATAAACTGTAGAGTGCTGGTGTTGGTGCTGAAAAACATCTGCAATTTGAAAAGAAAATAACCTTCACTGTTTATTCACAAACTATACTAGATTGCTTTTTATGACAGCAATAAGATTTGTTTTCCAACGTCTTGTAGGTGCAGACCTATGACATTTTTAGTTCAAGTGGTTATTTCTGTATAGTACAAAGAGTATGCACGCATATGGATTCATGAGCGAGTCCGCAGCACTGCCACCTGGTGGCTGCAGTCAACCTGCACACAAAATACAAATGTATTTAATCAACTTGCTGTAAACTAAAAGGTAAATCTGGTAGCTGATAGTATTCCAGGATAGGCCTACTTGTTCCCATACTGTTCATTCTGTAATGTATGTCTTTATAATGAACCTCCTCTATAAAGGGCTTCACGTGCAAACAATGTTCATTCCACTTCATTCATGATACACAGAGTGAGGTTAGTGGGTCAGTAGTAGATTTTTACCATGCAGTTCCCTAACAGATTAATTAATTAATGAATCCTCCACACTCCACCATAAACAATAGTGTTTTGTGTAGCATAAGTCACCACAGCTTGCATTTTGTTGTACAACCCTGTGTTGAAGAATGATAAATGAATAAACCTTAAACCCATTAAACATGTTTCCTGTGTGTAAATACTAATCTACATATATGACGCACATTTCAGACTAATTGTACCCTGGCCCTTCACTGCACACTACAACTGAGACCTAAAAGCATCCTCGGCACAATGAGAGAGAACTACTGAAATAGATTTACCTCATCATGATTTCACCATCATGTATCATACTTCTGTGCAGGCTTGGGGAGTAACAGATTACATGTAGCTGAGTTACGTTATCAGGATATAAAAAATGGTAACTGTAATTCGTTAGTCACAAAAAAGATGTAATCAGATTACAATTTGTTACTGGTTACTGACTACATTTTTAATACTTTTTTTTTTTTTTACATGTATAAGATTACATGTTTAAACAGGTAATTAGTACATGTATCGGACTACATGTTTAAAGTAAACCATACCCTGCTTCTCAGCTGCTCTGATGTTTGGACTACAAAATCCCACTACCGAACTACAACTACACACAGCCCCGGGGATTGTCCGCCAGTATCCCATGATTCCTCGCTGTGTCTGTGACCTCGTACAGCACGGGAAGAAGAAGCGGCGCTCGCTCACGCTTGTGGCGGTGGTACTGGCTGGCTAACTATTGCTCGGTTGTAGATTATGGCTGCTTCAAAGCCAGTCGAGCCACAGTCCGGGACTGGACTACCCCGCTGGCAGCTGGCACTGTTAGTCGGGACCCCCATAGTGCTGGGAGTGGGGGCGGTGTACCTCTGGAACCGCAGCAGGACGAAGGAGAGGAAAGGCACCGGGGAGCGGAAAACACCAGAAGGCAGCGCGAGTCCCGTGCAGGGCCAAGACGGCGCAGCACGAGCCAGCCGAGAGCAGGACACCATGGTAACCTCCCCGTTGCCTGGAGACTCCTCTTCCCCCGGTTGATAAAGTGCTGTAACATCCAAACTTTAACGGGGTTGTCCTCGGTGCACTGCGTACACTCGTCTGTCTAAACGTGTCATTGCGTAAAAGAGCCGTCAAGGACACCTGACTTTACTGTCCCTGTACTGACAGCTACCTTCACCAGAGCAAGGCCGATAGCAACCGGTTCATCGGCGGTGGATTAGCCAGGGTTAGTGTGCTAACGGTAGCTGTCTCCTAAGCTAATGTTAACGTGATAGGTTAACTAGCCCGGTCGCAAAGGTCCAAACATTGGAAAAACAAGCACGGTCGACATGCAGCTGGTACATTGTGCAATACAACTCATGTGGGAACAACTTGGCAACATATGAATTAACCAGTTAATAGCTTAGCTTTTCGTTTCGTTTTTAAGCATGCTCGCTAGCGTTATCTTCTCAGCTAGTCCAGTGGGGCGGGGATGGCTGTCATTTCACTTTGTTTTAGTTTTAGGTTGTATGGGACACTATTAAAGGCGGTCAGTTCATTTTGCTGTATCACGCATGGGAGTAATATGTAGGTAGCTCGGTGAGATGTTTTTCAGAGTGTCCTCTGCCAAAATAGTTTCAACTAAATGCAAAAATACAAGCTGCAGTAAGGCTGTAGTATAACAGGTACATTGTCAGTGTGAGGTGTGTTTGAATCATTTGAATTCTTCCTGTATTCACTGAAGAGAAAAACTGTATTTCTTCTTAATGTCATTAAAAAGCACGAGACTACCCTACAAATATTAGAACTATCTTGTAAGTATTAAGTCATTGTATCATATTTGTTAGAAAGGAAAATGTGATTTTAACATCCATCAACATTTGACAAAACAAACTGACTTATGTTATCTGAATTTGTCGTCATGTAGTCTGCAAGCATTGTGCAGGTATAATTCATCTCAAACCTAAAGATGATTTTGAGGTTATGTACAACCATGACTTTTTTGCATTACAATTGTTATCCTTAAGCCAGTGTTATTGTAGACATAGTTGCTATAGTTTCCTTTAATTTGACAATTAAATGCCATTAAATCCTTGATGCATTTGCGCAGTTGACCTGCGCAGCCTATTGCAGTGTAAGATGCTATGGGATTCTTAATTATAGAGAAAAAACACATTTAGGTTATTCAGATCCTTTAAGCAGTCCACTGAGTCGCAGGGGAGAAATTTAATCAATAATTGTTTTCTTCTGCTCTCTCATTTAGAGCCCTTTGGATCGGGCTCAAGCAGCAAAGAACAAGGGTAACAAGTACTTCAAGGCTGGAAAGTATGAGAATGCCATCCAGTGCTACACAGAGGCCATTGGTCTCTGCCCCACAGAGCAGAAGACTGATTTGTCAACGTTTTACCAGAACAGAGCAGCAGCCTACGAACAGCAGGTTGGCAACACCTTCTTTCAATCTGTGCAGAGATTGTTGTTAATATGAAAGAGTATCTTTGCAAGTGTCTTGTATGTTGCAGTACATTTCTAAATGTCCCCACTCCCCAGATATATTCACTGGGTTTAGATGCTTGTAGATGGAAAGCCATACAAGTCAATACTTTTGATTGGACCTAAATGCCTGTAGTGGCTTCTTTGCATGTTAAAGCGTCCTCCTTTTCTTCTTCTCACAACTTAAGGCCAGATGAAATGGCAGTTTCGGCAGAAAGCAGTGTTTACTCCTCTTCGGTCAATGTGTAGCAGATCATGTGGAAATCATCAACTTTCTCAAATCTTTCCACCCTCATGTTTGACTGAAGGTTTACCTCACAGAGGGTAATGTGACCTCATGAGGTTTTCTACTCACATACACTCTCAAAAAGTCAGTCAGTGGCGTTTGGCCCATTTAGACATATTTGGTTGTGAGTGTTATTATTTGAGTCATCAGTCGAAAGGACCCCAAGTCAACCCGCTGTTTGTCAGTCAAATCTCTGCCCTTTTGCTTTTTAGCTGCGTCACTACACACAGAGCGAGAGCATTACAGGCTGTAAACTCTACAACCCGGGTCTCAAAATGACCACAAAACTAATTGTAATGGAAGCAGAGTAGAGTGATAGTTGGAGGCAGTGTGACGCTAGACAGCAGAGCAGCACCTGCTTCAACACTCTACTCTGGTGATGAACCAGACGGTGGTGCAACCTCCTCTACCACTGTCCATTGGATTGACTGACAAAATTCTGAGTTGGGTACAGTGCTAAAGATTAGTCTTATTTATAGGTCTGTCAGATCTCACCGACACTGTGGGTCTCTTGGTCTTCCTACCTGTAAGCCTTCTCTGGTCAGTGGACAGACCTCTGGACCACAGATGCAGATATGTTTTGGAAGATAACCGCTTTATAACTATTATTTCAGATGAAATGGACAGAGGTGGTACAGGACTGCTCTCAGGCCGTGGAACTGAATCCACGCTATGTCAAGGCTCTGTTCAGGAGGGCTAAAGCTCTGGAAAAACTAGACAACAAGAAAGAGTGCCTAGAGGGTGAGACACTTTTTTTCTAAAAAATGTTTTTTTACAAGTTAAAAGGTGTGACTTTTATTTATGGTCATTTTCTTCTCTGTGTATCCTCCAGATGTCACAGCAGTGTGTATTCTCGAGGCCTTCCAGAACCAACAGAGCATGCTGCTAGCAGACAAGGTCCTGAAACAGCTGGGAAAAGAGAAGGCCAAAGACAAGTACAAGGTATTTGTCCACTTTTAGAGACATTTGTTTCAATTTTATTCCTTTGAATTGTCACATTAACACATTATTTTTTTAAACCCCTCTTCTGTAGAATCGTGAACCGATGATGCCCTCTCCTCAGTTCATCAAATCCTACTTCAGCTCGTTCACTGATGATATCATCTCGCAGCCCCTGCAGAAGGGCGAGAAGAAAGATGAAGACAAGGACAACGAGGGCGAGGCAGCTGAGGTCACTGGGAGGTCAGATAATGTTTACTCACTATCAACTTAAATGGCACACTCAGGTTGTAGTAGGAGGGATGGAGTAGCTGTTGGCATAGAGATCCTGGAAATTTCACTGGGATCTTTGTCCCTGTGTTGACTCGACTGGGAAAAAAAATAACTGAGCACAGGGAGTTGACAAGTAGGGCAGTTAACCTTAATGGCTTAATTGTAGTTGAATGTAATGTGAAGCACTTTTTTTTTTTTTTTTTTTAAAGGAATGAGCACAGTGAAAGCGATTAACTTGCAACATTTGTGTTTTATTGATAAAACAGTGAAAACAAGAGGGTCGAGAGAATTTGAAGCCATTCATGGATGCTCTTTATTTGAGTAAAATTCTCTTTTCCTCCATCCAAAACTGCCATTTGAACCACCGGACAGTTTGTAATTGACTTGCTAAGAGCTGATTGGCTGTTGAAACAGGTGACGTGCCTTATGTTCTAAAACCAGCCACTGGAGATTTGACAAGCTGAGTCACAGCTGATGCCATCAGCCGGCTTGCGTCAATCTAAGACGGACCAGTTCACACTGCTGCAACTTTTCCCTGCAACGTTCTAAAATGATTTTAACTCATCATGAATCTTCTGTCTGAACTGAGTTTTAGAGAATGGATCCCCATTAGCCAATGCCATGGCAGTCAGTTCATCTTCCTGGGGTCCATTCCTAACTTGCAATACATAACACATTACATAATGAACATAATATTTCGTTAATATACACAAAATTACCACCAAGCTTACATTGATATACAAAGCCAGTCAACACTACATACATTTAGATAGAATACTAATAAATAATCTATATATAGATGATGTTTAATAAGTGGAAATTATACAGCTAATACAAAATGAAAATGCTTCATACTATTGAAAACCAGCACAGAGTTAAACCTACAATTCAGACTGCCATCTGCATGCTAATCAATGTCTACATATTCTTTTTAAAGGCTGATTTATTTTTAATCGGCCCATATTCAGCTGTAAATTATTCCAGTTTGTTACGGCTCTGTAAACGATGAGTTAGTCTTTGGGCTGGATAACACAATATGACTGTTATCGGTCCTAACGCTCTTCTTGGATCAGGATTTGTTAACCAAATGTCACGGTGTTAACCATCAGATTTTGGAATCTAAAATTTTTTTTCCCTCTGTGCTTTTGTTGAGAATTTCAACAGAACAACTTGTTGGAGTAGAAATATTGACCCAAAGTGATTACAATAGATATTTGTAGAATGTGATATACTCTGAAACTGCTTTACACTGGAAATCTTTTTTTTTATTTTTTTACACCATTTCAGCTCTGGCTACCTGAAGGCCAAGCAGTACATGGAAGAGGAGAACTACGACAAAATCATCAGTGAATGCACCAAGGAGATCGAGTCAGGTGGTCGATACACTGCCGAGGCCCTCCTGCTGCGTGCCACATTCTACTTGCTGATTGGTAACGCTACTGCTGCTCAACCTGATTTGGACCGGGTAATCAACATGCAGGACGCCAATGTTAAGGTATGTCAAGGTTCAGTTGTATCTGCTGATAATCCCTGGGATTTGAGTAAATGGACTGTTCAAGACAACAATGTGGGGTGTATGTCAGTACAGTGTCTGAGAAAGATTTTTAGTTTTTTACACAAGCAAAAAGAGGCACAGGGTGGAATATATTGATTCAGTCTTGAGTTTAATGCATACCATTTTCTCCCTGTGAATCTAATTATTTGTACGCATACACAAAGATCTCTTTTATAAAGGACTTGGAAAACTACAGTCTGACAGGTTCTCTCTGTACTATCGTCTCATTTTCTACAGCTACGAGCCAATGCTTTGATCAAGCGTGGAAGCATGTACATGCAGCAGCAGCAGCCTCTGCTCTCTACACAAGATTTCAACATGGCAGCCGACATCGACACACGCAACCCTGATGTCTATCACCACAGGGGTCAGGTAGGAGTGGAGCTGAACTGGTTTCTTTAACATCAGATTGTTAGCGTGTTGGATGTCAGTTGACAGCTGTCTGTTAGCTGATATGTTATAGTGCTCCTTCTAAAGTCTCTATTTCCTCTCAGCTGAAAATCTTGCTGGACCAGGTGGATGAAGCGGTGGGAGACTTTGATGAGTGCATCCTGCTCAGGCCTGACTCTGCTCTCGCCCAGGCACAGAAATGCTTTGCTCTTGTAAGAAAATATCATTTGAAAAGCAAATGTGCTTTTATCTAATTATCTAAGCTATCTAATAGATAAACTGAATTTTCTGTAGCGTTACTGGCTGCTGAGTTTTTTTTTCTTATGTCCTGCAGTACAGACAAGCATACACTGGAAACAACCCGTCTCAAGTACAGACAGCCATGGACGGCTTTGAGGACGTTATCAGAAGGTTTCCCAAGTGTGCAGAGGGCTACGCTCTTTACGCTCAGGTACAGAATCGGAGGCTTGATTTTCTATTTTTGCCCATTTCACAGTTTAAATGTGTAAAACATTGAGTATAGTTGAGATGGAAGCAGTTATTGGGGTTTTTTGATGTGTAACACATACAACACAACTGTATTCTTCAGGCTTTGACTGATCAGCAGCAGTTTGGAAAAGCTGACGAGATGTATGACAAATGTATCGAACTGGAACCAGACAATGCTACCACATATGTCCACAAGGGGTAGGCATATATTTTCACTTTATGTAGACATATTTTAAAATAACAGGTGATTCATATGTTTAAATTAGTCATCAGTTGTTAAATGTTTAGTATGTGTCCAGTTTGTTACAGCTTCAGTGGAAACAAGACCTGGACTTGGGTCTAGAGCTCATCAGTAAGGCCATTGAAATTGACAACAAATGTGATTTTGCCTATGAAACCATGGGAACCATTGAAGTTCAAAGGTGAGATTAACAACTTGACTCGATCCAAACATTATATTACTTCTTGAAGTGCTTGAAATAACCAGAGAACTTTCCTTTCAGGGGCAATCTGGACAAGGCAATAGAAATGTTCAACAAGGCAATTAACCTAGCCAAGTCAGAGATGGAGATGGCCCATTTGTACTCGTTATGTGACGCAGCGTACGCCCAGACAGAAGTGGCAAGGAAGTATGGGCTGAAACCTCCGACACTGTAACTCGTCTGCCATCTGATCGCCAATCTCTTCATCGCTGAACCTAGCTGTGTTAAAAGTGCAACTGTCTGACTTAATTTTAAATTTGTAAAACCTGAGTACTGGATTATATGAGGAAAAAGGAAGAGCCCTAATATATACCCTGTTTACATCACATTAAAGGGGTTCGTTGACACGGAGAGAAGGATTTCTATTCACAATCAAGTCAAGGCTGTGATCCGGGCCTGGGAAGTTGGGTGGGGGGTCTTACAGGGGAAACCTCAGTATTTTTCAACCTGGAACTTGTTTTCCCATGCTTTTGTGTCAAAGTGACTAATGGGGACAACAGTTTGTGAATTTGGTCCAGTATTGAGGGGGAGAGCGCTGCAGCAGCAAAATGGGCTACGACATCACAACAGTGTACGTCAAGGGTCGCTCACAGAGAAGTCTCCTCTGTTAGCACAGCACCCACAGGACCACCACCAGTCTCCTGAGCTATACTCTGGCTCAAATAATTATAGGTGGCCGTTGAATTCAAAGGCCTCATCCACATTGTCAAAATCAGCAAAATATTCATGACATTGGAAATCTTTTACATAACACTAAGCTACGCTTTCTGTATTCCAACACAACAAACTCTTCCCAGCCGGCCCTCTTCTTTCCTCGTGTTTCCACTGTTTACTTCCTGCAACAAGGCACCTGACCTCTCACGAGATTTCACTACCAGACTTCTCGTTGAGCGTGACTCGGTTAGACGCTCAGCAGCTCAAGCAAAAGCAACAGTAAAACGTTTCTCTGTAGGGTTGTGTTGTCTGACAAAAACACGAGCCCGCCAAGAGCAAAAACAAGCACTTTTAATGGATTTACTTTGACAGTGCGCGATTGACCATAACTCAATACTGGACCAGATTTAAACTTGTTAGTCACTTTGACACAACCACATGGGAAGATGATGTTCATGTTGAAAAATATCCAAGTTACCCTTTAAAACACATCCCTTAGTTCACACTTTATTCAACCAGAACGTCGTTGTCAAACCCTGTTATTGGTCAGAATAATGAGGAAGATTGTGTCATCTAGAGAGAAAAACATACATGAAGTATCATGTATACCTGTCTAAATTAATAGTAACTGTGTAAAATGTACAAGTGTGCACAGTCTGTTGAACCAATTACTGACTTAAAGGCTTTTGTGACACTTTTCAACCTACAGAAAATACTGTGAGAGCTTTATATAGTTCTAATGGACTGCTCACTTGTTAATTTATGCTGATCTAAAGTGGTTTTGTCCAGCTCCTTTCATATTGTAACATACATTACATACATACATCAGCTCCGAATGCAAGATTAAAATTCTAGTCAAATGTGTAATGTCTGTGTTTGTAATGCTGGAATTGATCCCACGGGGCAACAGAGAGGTTAGTTAAGCATCCAAGTGTTTGATTTTTTTTTTCTAATTATGGGATTGCCTGTTTTCTTTTTTTATATACTTTGTGCAGCATGTTCACTTTATAAATAAATGTAAATGCAATGCTCGTGCTGTCTTGAACACTAGGAAACCCCAACTATAAGAGACTTTGGGCAAAACACTTTTGATTAGAAAAACTTAACTTTATGTCATTAGTTTTTGGAAATGTTTTTTTTAATTGCCTCTAGTGTCAGAAGATGTCACAAGGGATTGGATATTCTCTGTTTTTCCTAGCTTACTTTAATTAAGAAACATGATTTATTTTCTATTTTATTGTAAAATGTTTATTTTTCATGCTACATTTGGTTTCAACTTTTGACAGAGTAACCTTAAGACTGGTTTTATTTTTCTCTCCTTTTCAAAGTATATTCTCACAACCCCAAGCCTTATTGTTTCTAACCCACGTGCAGCCCTGAGGATCTCTTGGGACAGTGTATGATTTGGTTCTCCAGTAGCATCTGTACTTTGTAAAAAATAAAAGTAGCCACCACTGCTGGATGTTTCTATGTTTAGAACATTTTCTATTTTTAGAAAACTAAATTCAGATACTTCTGTTCTGTGACATTCATTCATTTAGCAGCAGTAATGGCGACATTTTATTGAGTGTGTGGTAATATCAAGGAACCAAATCATGCATTCCAGCTGCAGCTGCTGAGGACTTCTCAACAGAGATCATCTTTCTTAAACTTACAGAAGCAAACAAGAGTTAACGCAGGTAATCTTCTGATATCCACTAAACTTTGACTGATTGTTAGAAATCACGCTGACCTTCTTCATCAACGAAATGTATGGTGACCAAAGTGAAAGAGTATGAATCCTAATAAAGTTGTAATTCCTGGAATGAATTTCAAGTTTGCAAGTTTTTCTCAGGCAGTTTTATTATTTGGCATGGTAACGAATGAAATGAAGTAATTTTGATGTGTTACAAAAGGAAAACAACAGGTGTGAATAATACAATGAATGATGGCTGTTTTCCATTTAGCTCCTTTGGTTTCAGGGTCCTGGTTTTATTCATGCTGGTTCACTATCACTGTCATGGTTTACTGGGACACTTCATTGTTCATGTTATTAGTCTCACCTGTGCTTTTACAACTATGATAAGCCAAAATGCTCCAATTAACAACTGTAAATGTCCCCCAGGTTTATTGTAACCATATTCAAAAGACATAACTCAAATCACATGTTGGCTTCCTTTAGCCTCTGTGCCCCAAAATCTCAACATTTATTAAGTTAAATTAAGTTTAAAATATAAAAACCCCAAACATACACAATATGGGAAAATGAAACACGTCTGCAGAGGTGATAAGACTATACACAGTATGATAAAGAGCAGTGGCTGATCAATATCAGTGAACAGTCTTAATCCTGTCAGCACCCATGGGCTCATTAGAAAGAAGGGTTCGCTAAATAAAGACCTACAATGTCAAATACATTTATTTCTGTTACAACTCAAAACCACAAAGTTGAAACAAACATCACCCTGATCTGTGTTACATTTCTGAACAAGGACAATGGGTTGCCCCCAGCAGACAATCTCAGGTGCTCATTAATCACTCTGACAGCTTTGCGCGACACATCGGCCGCGTTGACGGCATTTGACGTGTCTGCGTCAACACAACAATGGCGGACGCCGTGGAGGAAGCTCTTCAGGGCAGCTGGTGAGACAATTTGTTAACAGACCGACATTATAGGAGACGCTTTCTCGATTGTCACACAATTGGGTCGAGTTCATCTGACAGAGTCGGACGTGTAGTCGCTACAGACGATGAGTGTGTGTAGTTACTGTGTCGGTACCGTTACTGCTCGGCAGCTAGCCAGCTAATGTTCATTAGCTGAGTTCAGGCTGAGAAATTAGCACCGAGTCACTGACACGGACTCAAATGAACCAAAGAGCTTCAGAGAAAGATCCGCCACCGTGTTTTTATTGTCCTCACACTCTGTCTCTCTTTGACAAGTCAATAAGAAAAGCCTGTTAGCATGCATGCTAACAATAACTAGCTAGTTAGTCGGGTTGTGCCTCCTTTAACCAGAACTGAGCCTTTAGCTCTTTAACTAGCTCCAGTGTGTGCCTCTCATGTAACGTGCTCAACTACAATATAATCACATTACTGTATTAAAGTAATCTTTATCAAGTTGTCAGTAGACAGTTGGACGTATGGAGATAAATAAGACCATATAAAGACTGAAATCAAACCGGAACCAACAGATCCAAGTACTTTCTTTGTTGTGATGTAATTAATTAATTGTGTAATTACTTTTCTGAAGGTTTAACGTTGATCTGTTAACTGTTGTAAATGTGTGCTGTTGGTGCTTCTTCAGGGACCAGGATCTAGCTGAGGCTCTGGACTCTGGCGGCTCTGACATGGAGCTGGAGAGAGGCATCATCCAGGTCCAGGAGAGTTCAGCTCAACACAGAGCAAAGATGTGGAAGGTGAGACACATGGCAGGAGTCTGGAAACAACTTCCTACTGCGATAAAGCAGTTTCACTCATAATGTGACTGATACTGTAGTTTAAAACCATGTAATTGTAAAAGTAGTTTATTAGCAAGGTATTCTGTATGTGTATGAACTAGAGCCAGCCATCCATTCATTCTATTATTAGCTGTAAAGGGTTGGCATTACTCTCGTCTGACACGAGTCAACAGACTGGAAAGACCAGCAGCTCAGGCTCAGATGATGTAAAGGCTATCACCTCTTTGTGACACACCCACTGTTCAGGCTTCTGTTGTTTTTAAAACCACATACCTGCATAGTATTTCTATATATGGATTATGCTGACAAATGCTCAGAGCTTCTTTTTTTTAGAAAATGATGTAACACCTCTACATTTCTACCTGTTAGTGAATAAATGTTGTGAAGATATTGAAACGTTTGTTGGCAAACTGCCGTTCTGTGAAAAGAGGCATTATCTAAGCTACTTTGAATAAGCTGTTTGAACAGCTCCATCAAAAAGGTGTTCAGCCATTGCTGTAGATCAGCCCTACCCCTTTAGACTATACAACATTCAACGTGGCCTCATTCTACTGTTTAACATTTACTTAAAGATTGATGATGTTGGTTAATTGTATTAGATGAATAGATACAGTTGGGACACATTTTAAAGGAAAATACTTGGCAGTGGAGTGATATGTGATAGTTTGATACGTGCTGAGTTTGTATAAAAAGTATAATAGTACAGTTTTGTCAAGAACACCATGCAGCATTTGTAATTTTTTTTTTCTTTTATTTGTCCCTAACTAACCCACCTATAGTGCAGCATTGTTTTTAATCATTATCATCATCATAATTTTATTTTATTTAAAAGACACTACTTGCAGAGATTGCTGTTTTTGTCTCTGTATAGTTCACAAGTAATACTACAAGTTGATAAATCAAACCATTTAGCTATATCTCTGTAGATTAGTTGTTCATTAGAGGAGCAGCAGTGGAGTCACTGATTGCAGATCAGTCTCAGTCTTTCCCATGTGACTGTCAGATGTCCCTTTATCACTCAGTATCTGCATGTTTAGCAGTGATTGCTTGTTTTGTGTTGGCAGATCGCTCTAAATGTCTCTGGGAAAGGAGACAGCCTGTCTCCGTGGGACGGCGTCCTTGATTTACCAGAACAGACCCTCATTCACAACCGCAGTCAACAGCTGATCGGTGAGTGAATTCCTTGACACAATCCTGGATTTGGAATTGTCACAACAAAACTATACAGTCAGCGCCAAAACATTGACAGAATGAATTTAGCCACTAGCTGTTTGTGCAAGTCGAGGATGTGAATCTCCCTACCAGTCACAATTTAACCAAACCATAAGATATAACAAGGTCCATGTATAAAGTAGTAATGAGAATACAATTATTAATGACTTGATATTCCCAGGATGTTGGGTTTAGAAGGGGATTGATCCTGAGTGAAAACTCTAGAGAAATTATCTGCTTTATGTCATTTACTATAAACACTTAGATACAAAAACATCCTCAGGATAGACTGTCAAATAGGACACACACACACACACACACACACACACACACAAATGCATATACCTGGAAGCAGCAGGAGAGAAGAAAGATGGGTCATGTTAATTTTGAGTCTCACAGTCTGCCAGTATGTAAAGAATATTGTCAGGATTTCAGAGGAACAAATAACTTTTTTTTGTCTGCTCTTCTGACAACGAGATCTGGTGCTGCCCAAAATAGAAAGCCTCTTTTGAGAATGATTCCAAGAAAAACTAGGCATGTCCAAAAAGTGCTCTTTTCATGTATTATTTAATCATTATTAAAGGCTTGTCATAATGATAAGCTTTCTTGTTTTTAAATGCTAAATGTGGATGCTCATATTTGTACAAGACATGTGTAGAAAAACAGTACTAACACTTCTTGCTTTGGTTCCCATGTTTAGACCAGCTGGGAGTATCAGAGGAAGAGAGGTATGATATGGTGTCTGACGTTGAGTCGGTCATCACTTTCTACTGCAAGTCCCGCAACATTTCCTTCACCCCGGAGCTGAGCTGGCCACACCTGCTCAAACCACTACTGGGGCTCCAGCTTCCCCGCAGCGACCTCTACAACTGCTTCTACGCTATCATGAACAAATACATCCCTAGGTGAGCAAACTGTTTTCTTCCCATTCCACTCACGAATAATAGGAAATAGCGGCTTGAATTGTAACTGGTGTGTACATTTCAGGGACTGTGTGCCAAAAGGCCGACCCTTCCACCTGTACAGACTACTGCTGCAGTACCATGAGCCCGAGCTCTGCTCCTTCTTGGATACCAAAAAGATCACACCTGACTCCTACGCCATCAACTGGGTACGCATTTCTTTTTCTTCACAAGTCATTCTGACATGTTGTTGCACAGTGTTTCAGATATAAAGTACATCTGTGTTTGTGTTTCCTCCATAGATGGGTAGTCTGTTTTCCAGCCACTGCCTTCCTGAAGTCACCCAGGTCTTGTGGGACTTCTACCTCCAGCAGGCTGACCCCTTCCTCATCTTCTTCCTCATGCTCATCATCCTCGTCAATGCCAAGTAGGCAGCATCTAGTGGAAGCTGTGCAGAAACATGATCACACTAAGGAGCCCTAGATGTATATTTGATCTGTGTTTTCTTTTCCCTCAGAGAGAGCATCCTGACACAAGAAGGAGTCAGCAAAGAGGAGATCATCAGTAAGTTTGACTTGCTGTCATTTCATTAGTAGGTCTGTTTCGTGTTAAATGCTGGACTTAAACGAGGCTTTCTTTGTCACAGAAATGCTGGAAGCGTCTCCTTCTCTCCTGGAGTCTGAGGACATTGAAGATTTGTTTTCTCTGGCCCAGTACTACCAGAGCAAAACCCCTTTGTCACTCAGAAAGGTAAGGCACTGTGTACAGATAAACAGTGCATTTGAGACATATGGAGTCTTTCTGAGCAGAAACAAAACCGTGATGATAAAGCTAACTAAGAGATAAAAGCACAAGAGACAACGTTGTTTTTAAGCTAATAATCGAATTATTGTGTGTTTGCTTCTTCTGACCCGGAAGATGAACCAGAACCTGTTCGGTAGCAGCCTGGTGGCTCTGAAAGAAGAGGACACTGACCTGAGTCAGGCACTGTGTCTCCCCGTGTCTGTCCCTGAAATACTGCAGGCCAACCAGCTGCAGCAGGTCAGTAACACTCAGGTTTCTTTCAACTAAAATCAACTAAGGAATACATGATCAACCTTTTATGAGTTAGCCATGTGAGTAGAAAGAAAAAGGAGAGAATGTTTAATGTGATAAGGATGGATTTTACTTTCAGGATGGGGTACGTTTCTTTGTGGTGGATTGTCGGCCTGCAGAGCAGTACAACTCCGGGCACCTCTCCACGGCCTTCCACCTGGACTCAGACCTGGTGAGAGTACACAATATTGATTCTATGTTAAAAATGTATATGCATGTACATGGAGTTACAAATGTGTTTTCCTTTCTTCCCACAGATGCTCCAGAATCCCTCAGAGTTTGCTCTCTCTGTGAAGTCCCTCTTGGAGGCTCAGAAGCAGTCTTTGGAGTCTGGCTCCATTGCCAGCGGAGAGCACCTGTGCTTCATGGGCAGTGGGAGGGAGGAAGAGGACATGTACATGAACATGGTGCTTGCACATTTTCTGCAGGTAAGGGACGAGAAGGTAGCAGGAGGGAACACAAATTGCTACATGATCTGTATTTCCCCAATGTAAGTGATCTTTGCTGACACCGTTGCTAATTGAGGGTTTTCTGTTACAGAAAAACAAAGAATATGTCAGCATCGCTAAAGGAGGTTTCATGGGTAAGTAACAGTTAGGTGACTGGATCTAAAACATACGTATACATTGTCTGAATTATCCATTAGGTACACAAATTCTTCTGTTTGTATGTGTACATTGATTTTATATCTGGCCCCTGGTCACAAATGCAGTTTGGATATTTGTGAGAAGTGAAAACACATTGAGATTTGTGTGATTTCAGCCCTCCAAAAGCATCTGGTAGACATGAACGTGGAGGGTCTCGACTCTTCGTACGTTCACTGGATCGTCAGCACGTCAGGGTCTCACAGCAGCCTCAGTTCCGCTGATGTAAGTGGCCAGAAACATTTGAAGATGCACACATTAGTAGTCTGACTTTAAGAAAGTCACAGTGGCATTACTGTATGTTACCAGTTTGTTTTTAGATTTTGAGTACATTTTATTCCTTTTAAACAGATTATCTGTCTTTTTTTCTGATACAGGGCGATTCACTAAGTAGCCCTGGAGACAGCAAAGGCGTCAAGTCTTTGGTCAACAAAATGACGTTTGCTCTCAAGTCCAAGTCAGTAAACGTAAAGGAGAAGATGATCAGCTTCATCGAGAATACCTCCACTCCTGTAGAAAGGTGAGCTCTAAATCCCTCGCTAAGAAACCTTCACCTCTGGAACCCTAGAGCACACTCTCACCCTCTGCCTCTTCATTTCTACGAGTTAAAATCTTTACTTTTGCTACAGTTTGATTCCTCTCACAAATACAGTACTAATAATATTAAATAAAATTAAATAAAACAATAAAGCACTTGATCCAGAAAACCAATGTTCACAATAAATTCCACCAAAATTTTGTTAATAGGTGCCTCTGCTACTTATCCATTTGGGTTTAATACATATATACACCTGATTGAACACATTATCATCAGCCTGTAAAAATGTTTGAAGGCTGAAATATCACGCTGTACTCACATAAACAGTAACTGGACTATCAGATCAGAGAACTGTGGTCATTTGATGACTCTGACTGACATCTAGTTGTGCAGTTCTTTGCATTTTAAGTTCACCACCTACCTTGTGCCTTATTCCATGCTAGAATATCTTTCAATCTGCCCTGGCCAGAGAAGGTGACTCCAGATCGGTAAGAGCTCCCTGACATCGAGCTGTCTGTCCCCAGCATGTCCACTGGCTGTAGAACCGCACCGGTCCCCTGGGTTGTGGGAGCGTTAGCCTGTGTCACATTACCGCATGCTTTAGTATCAACATCTCACTCATGTAACAGCACTACACGTTCCCCATACAGTGTGGGCAGGCTGTGTACGAGATGTTTAGGATCTGTCTTTCATGCTTTCACTAACAAAACTCAGCACTGCTATTTAGTTCGCACCACTGAAGCTGCTGTGGCCTCTCAGGAAGCATCGAGCCATCTTTACATCCACAACTCACTGATGCCGTCGTCTCTTTCCAGTCTGAATAAGCGAGGTGTTTTAGGGAGAACCTCAGCTTCACTGCTGTTTGCTTGGAGATGCTCCTAACAGTCTGTCTTTCCATTTCATTGTTGTTCTTTTAGATGATAGCCAGGGCTATGCAGAAACATGAATCCACTATGAAAGATAAAAGCAACACTATGATTTTCTGCAAATAGCCCTGAATATCATACACTGACTAATCTGTAGCGCTTTTGGAGTATAAATGTCTCTTTTAACCTCTTTCTTGATATTTAACAGCATAACCTGGCCTTAGTGGCCTAAGATTTTTTTTTACTGCAGCCTGGAGCTCTTCATGCCATCTCTATTTGTGTGCAGCCTTGCTGTTATGTGTATTTAATGTGACTTTTCATCACAGGCATTAACGTGTCTTCACGTCCTTCATTCAGCACTGATGTGGCGTTTTAAGTTGACCTGTTGCTTTCCGTTTGTAGGCATGTGAGCAGCAGCGACCGCGTTGGCAAACCTTACCGAGGGGTGAAGCCCGTCTTCAGTATTGGTGATGAAGAGGAGTATGATACAGGTGAACTCCCACTGTAAATAAGGCTGAACATATTTAAAATATTTAAATAATGTGAGAACTTTTATTTTGAAAAACTGGTAACCTGTATTTAATGCCCCCGACAGATGAGATAGACAGCTCATCCATGTCAGACGATGACAGGAAGGAGATTGTCAACATTCAGACCTGGATAAACAAACCTGATGTAAAGCATCACATCCCATGTAATGAGGTTAAAGAAACTGGTCACATGTTCCCCAGGTGAGTCACTGCCTGAATCAATTTAGTAATGTGAGTAAAACTATTGCTCACATGACACCCTGACACACATCTCCCCTGACTGTCATGGGTGTCGAGGCTTGGATTGGGCAAGAAGTTGCATTTTAACTGTGACTAATCTCCACTTCCTTAAACATGAGTGAACAGAAGGCTCTGCAATAATTCAGGAATCCATGAATCCTAACAATGACTGTTAATCTGTTGCTTTCCAGCCACTTGTTGATCACAGCAACTCACATGTACTGCCTGAGGGAGATCGCCTCAAGGAAAGGCTTTGCCTACATCCAGTCCAGACAAGCACTGAACTCAGTGGTGAAGATCACATCCAAAAAGAAGCACCCAGAACTGATCACGTTCAAGTTTGGCAGCAACAACTCAGCTGGAGTGGAGATATCGGCAGTTGAGAGGTTCAAATTTAAAATCTTAATGATCAGAAAAGCATGTCATTTTAAAGCACTCTGGGCTGTTACTTGGGTTGTCCAGTAATTTGGTGTCATTTCTGAGGTTGTTTATCAGTTTGCCAACATTGCAGTATGTAAAGAAACTCCAAATTGTAACCTCAAAGGTATAATTCACTTTTTGGAAATGTGCTTATTTGCCTTTTTGATGAGCGTTAGATATATATATGCTAAATAAGAAGCTAGAGACAGCAGCTAATTTGCTTAGCTCAGCATAAAGACTGGAAGGAGGGGGAAATGGTTAGTCTGGCTCTCTAAAATGACATTGTAGAAGGGCAACAGGCTTAAGTAGACCTACATTTAGTTATCTTAGGATATAAAAACTAATGTTTATGGAAACTCTTTACAGAAGCTCGACAGAGAATATCTTTTTGTTGGTAGTTATTTGTTAATTTCACTGCGGTTTCCTCTGTTTTCTTTCCCTCCACCCTCTCAGATATTTGATACCCAACGCAGGCGACGCCACCAAGGTCATTAAACAGCAGATCATGAAAGTCCTAGATGCTCTTGAGAGTTCGTAAAGGGAGACGACAGCCAGCCGTGACACAAGCTGTAAGAAGAGTCTCTGTCTGCCAGGAGTGAAACCGTCTCCCGCTCTCCCTCGGCTGTCCTCCTTCCTGGACGGATCCAGTGCAGTGTTGACTGTGAAGCCCTGTGTTGTCTGTGTTTGGGACATGAGGGCACACTACTGACTGCAGGCCTGTGGGACAGGCTGTGTGTGATGAAATACTTAGGTGCTCCGCAGTCATCCAACCATTCTCTTACACTAATTTAAACAATATTGGTTTTACTGTATGTTTTTCTTCATTATTGTTAAAACATGGGATCTCATTTCAATGCAATTCCACTTTGACAACTTCCCTCTGGCCTTAACGTAGCGTACTGACCGATCACTACTCGACTCCTTTAACTCAAAGCCCATTTGTTTTGCAGTGGACAGTACCGCAGCTCAGTCATGTCTCTTAATTTACTTTTCAGATGGGTTCAGAGTAGATTTAACGATTATTGTTAGCTAGCTCCAACATTGAGACGCACATCCCAAAAAGAAAAGCAGTGCTGGCACATGAGGCAGGTTTCCTACCGCAACAACTGTTTTTGATAACTTTTATTTTCCAAGAAGGCAGCCTTAAATAGAAATTATTTGAGGATGTTTATAAATATGTGATGTGTATATAATGTGTAAACTGCTCTATATCAGCACAGACCTTTGCAATGTCCTTTTTGAAAGCATATCCTATAAGAATATGCAGTGGAACTTTAGCTGGCTTCTTAACCAGCTCACACGGTTTGAAGTTCCCCTTTCTTTCTAGAGTAAGAAGTCTTTTACAGAGTTTCTGGGAGATAATTTATTCCCTGCTTTCGCATATAATAATGAATTTAACCTCATCTCATAGCAGTGTGTTGTAGCTCTCAGAAAGCATTGTTCACAGCCCCTCTGGATTATATTACAACAGCAGGTTTGGTGATTGTAGTCATTAAGAGCCTGAGCACCTCAGTATTTTCCCCTCCTATTCAGATTCAGTATTTGAATGATTTCCCCCAGTGAACTTAATAAAAATATAAATCCATTATGTTAGCATCTGGAAGGCTGTTGCTGTAATTGAACATGCTAACTTTGACATATTCAGAAAGAAACGATTGCTGTAACTAGGACTGTGCTTTGCACTTTTAGGCAGAGCTTTGAAAGGAATGAAAAGATGATTTGTAAAAAGGAAAGTTATTATATTATATCTATGTTTTCAGATCAGTCTGTCTTTGTCCATTGTATTAGTGGAAACTAAGCAGTTTCAGTTTGCTTGCCACTGTTGCCTTCGGCCTCATGCCTGTGATGTGTGATATTGGCACCAGCAGTGGCAACATATCACATTATATTGCTGCTTCTCCTCTAATCTTAAAAATCTGTTTTTGACTTTTCCTCGCTTTTTTCTCCCTTACTATTCATTTGCATTGAAGTCTAGTTGTGTAGGCAGCCTTGGTTTTGAGTGTCAAAGCCTCTGAAGTGATGCATCACCTTCCTGACAGCTCCAGTTGAAACCTCTGTCCAGAGAGGGTTTGTCCCGTTTATCATATAAAACTTAAAGAGGGGAGAGGTCAGCCTAAAACATATGGCACATTTAAAATACGGGCAACAAAAACCAAAACTTGAATTAAAGACTCATAAATCTGGTCTTTCTTCACTCCAGTCGTTCATAGCATTCCTGTGTAATCCATGCATTGTCTTGTAATTTTGTGATATTCTTCAGTATTGACTGAAACATCCTTGATCAGGAGTCTTTACATTACTCTGTAACATCACTGACAAAGGATGTCACCATTAGTCGAAATGCAACATGTCTCAACTGTAATTTGCACCTTACTGTACTGCTATTATTTTCTAAGCGTTTCTGTTTTTAATAAATGGAGATTAATCGACTGCACCTGTGGATGTACAGTCATTCATACATTGTTATTTGACACACCTACATTTAAATGATGGCTGTATGAATGGTTAGACCTTTCACACAGCATGGGCAAATGTTCCCTCTATGTTGGAAAGCTGCTATTTGCAAAGCAGTTGCTGTCTGGTGTTCAGATACTAAAACAAAGAAAAGCTTTACACTGGTGTCTTATTTCAGACTATTGTAAACAAGTCATAGTGGAACAGGAATATCAGGCTTTCTGTTGTTTACCTGCTTTTTTTCCTAAATGTGAACTTGTTGAACACAAACTAACAAATAATCCCTGCAAGAAGCATAACAGCCAGTAACAATATGAAGAAGTCCGGTCTGTCCCTCTTCTCTTTATCTTCAGTTTAATGCATTAGGATTAAATAAAGGTCCAAACATTATAATATATATTTACAGTTAGGACCTGTTAATAATGACTAACCCCTGTGACTATCAACGATGTTGTGTTTTAATTAAGATAATACTTGTTGCTGATTAACCAATGAGTAGAGAAGAGAACCCGGATTGGCGGTAGAAACCACGCCCCCCTGTTGACGTAGCTTCGCCTCAAACTTCACAATAAAGGTGTTAAACTTTACATAAACTACAGCATGTGCCGTAGCCGTAGTAATAATAAAATATCAACTGTCTTAGAGGGACTTTAACTTACAAGAACAATCAATATTAATCTGCAGGCGTTCTTTATCATCGTTTTGTATCGCTGCGTTGTGTTGGTCGTAAAACCCTGAGGTCGTAAAATCGTGCCAGGACTACACACTAAATATAGGCTCTTATTTTGAAATCCAAATAGCCACCCGGAATCACATGCCCTGTCTGTGTGCTCTGGACTGTGAAACCAAACAGCACTACTCTGCATACATGTCTACTTTGACAAAAGCAATGTCCAGTAAGTACAAAGTTCTCTGTTTATTTACTGAAGCTGTAGAAAGAAATGTGCACATACAATTATTAATAATTATAGTTTAATAATCCCCTCCTCTGCACAGGTATACAGTAACAATACAATAATACAATGCTCCTCAGAGTTCCGTCTGGCTGTGGTCCAGCTGCAGGTGTCCAGCGTCAAGGCGGACAACCTGAGCAGAGCCCGCAGACTGGTGAAGGAGGCTGCGGGACAAGGCAGCAAGGTGGTGCTGCTGCCGGTGAGGAGGAGGAGGAGGAGGAGGAGGGTCTCTGATGGGGGGATAGTAGGGGAGGCTGGGGTCGGTTGTCACGCTGCTTGAACAGCCTGCTGGGAGATGGTCCTATCAGATATATAACTTTTTATATATTGCAGGGTCACTTTATTAAGCAGACCAAATGTTTGAAGTATTAATAATGCTGCCATAGGCCAGAATATGGTTGTTATATTCTGTGTCCAGTATTAAAGTCACCACTCACTTTGCGGCTGCTTTAAACTGAGGCTCTGTCTCATCTGTCAATAATACAGGAATGCTTCAATTCTCCATATGGAACCGGCTTCTTCTCTACATACGCTGAGAGGATCCCAGGAGAGTCCACTCAGGTGCTGTCAGAGGCTGCCAAGGAGAACAAGGTGTATCTAGTTGGAGGTAGGGAAGCCTCTGTGGTCAATAGGGCAGTGGAAGTATTGTCCTCCACTGTAAAAGTACGTTTGAATGTTTGTCTGATGAGAATCAGGTCGATACTGACGGTTGGAAGGCTCCTGCATATATTTACAATACAGTGTTATATTGTGAGACTAGACTAAAAGACCAGAGCAAAGTACGGGAGCCGGGACTACTTCATTGTCCTGTAGTTTGTGTTCTCAAGTTAATGAGAGTGAAATCAAAACTGTGCTAATTTTAAAACTATCACTCTTGTTTTTATTTATTTTTGTATATGTAATTTAAATTGTGTATAGTGTGTATAAAGGCATTACGGCAATATATTCTTCTCCATATACAGTGGAATATAGTGTGTGCATTAGGTTTTGGTATTGGTGCTACAGAGTTACAAGCTAACAGGCCTTTTCCACCAGTTAATAAATAATTTCAGTTAAGCCACATTAAATATTGTGTTTTTGGTGCCACATTAACAGCTTTAAAACAGTGGCAGCAGCTACTGGCATATCACTATTCCTCCCTCCATGTAATGCATTAGATACGTTTAAAGTTTGAACAGCAGTTGAACTAAATTAATGATGATATCACTGCATGTGGACCACAGTGTTAAATATTTGATTAAATGAATCCACATTTGGGCTTTATCAAGTGCTTTTAGAACATATAACCAATAATAGGCCTTTTTAAAAACATTTAGCAGGAAAAGCACAGGCGTAACTTATAAAATGAAAGATCTCAGAACGGTGTCTGGTTCATGAGCTGTTATTAATTACACCTGTGATTTTCCTCTTATGACATGTCAAAATGCATGAAGTTCTCTCTGTGGGAGTGTGGGAAATCAGTAATATTGGTAGATGAGGCTAATTGTACACAACAAGAAAGTAGATAATTTTCATTTAACGTCATCACACATCTAGCACTACTAGCACTGTTTAGGTCAAACTTCATCACCAGTTTGGAATAACACACACAGAAGGAGGTGAAGCATTACTGACACGTACAGGACAGACGAGCGTACTGGACTTTAAAGTTGAGGAATGATGTAAAAATTCAACATTAAGTCGTGTAACTTCTTCTTGTTCACAAGGATCCATCCCTGAAGAGGACGGTGGGAAGTTGTATAACAGCTGTACAGTGTTTGGGCCTGATGGAGAGCTGCTTCTGAAACACAGAAAGGTATGTGTGTGTCAACTACAGTAGTTTATTTAAACTACTTACTGACCTCATAGAGATTTTTAGCAGGACGTTCACCCCATCAATGTATTTCTCTTCATCTTTTCAGATTCACCTCTTTGACATCGACGTTCCAGGGAAAATCCGCTTCCAGGAGTCTGAGACGCTGAGCCCAGGCAACAGTTTGTCAATGTTCGAAACACGTACGTCCCACCGACTCCTCTCTTCTTCCCTGCAGCTGGCTGAGCATCATTTCAATGTGTCCCATCTGTAATTTCTCCCACAGCGTTCTGTAAAGTGGGCGTGGGGATCTGCTACGACATGAGGTTTGCAGAGCTCGCGCAGCTCTATAGCAGGAAAGGTAAGCGGCTGATGAGACTGTTCACATGGCATCTACTGTTTTTAAATAGTGTGCAGGACAGTTGATCTGGTTGTGCTTTTTGTCCTCAGGCTGTCAGCTGCTGGTCTACCCTGGAGCCTTCAACATGACCACTGGTCCAGCCCACTGGGAGCTCCTTCAGAGGGGGAGGTCAGACTGAGAGAGTCCCAAAAATACTTATTAGGAAATAAATATTGATTAGTGTGAGCCAGGCATCTTATTTGGGGTTGATTTACGTCACTCATGAGACAACACGATATTCCAACCTGCATGCATGAATACATCCTGCTCCATGTAATAAGATAAGAGTGACATGAGGGGATGTAATAAAATCTGTGGAGGAAGAGGAACAGAAAGGAGGAAGTATGTCCAAGCATAATAAAACGCTCGCAAATGAAAGAGAGAATTCTTTCAAACAGGAAGTACCTTGAAAAAGAGCAAACAATTTTTGCATCAGACGCAACACCAAAGAAAGCGTTCTTCTTTGTGCAATAGTGTAATAATGATGAATTATTATGTCTTTTATTGTCTTCTTTCGCAGGGCGCTTGATAACCAAGTGTATGTGGCTACAGCGTCTCCTGCCAGAGATGAAACTGCTTCATATGTCGCCTGGGGTCACAGCACTGTTGTTAACCCATGGTACAGTAAGAGCATGTTGCCTGTTGTATCCTCTGACCAGCTCATCCTGTGTGTGACTGTTCAATGTGCAGTGAGTTAGTGCCAGACGCAGCGGTATCGAGGGAGCTGTAAGTGGATGAAAGGAACACACAAATACAGTGTGTCAGTAGGCAGAGCAAAAGCATGTGAGAGTCTCTTTGAAGGGAAAGATGAAGAAAAAGTGTTCTGATCTTTTAATATGGGAACAATACTCCATTGCAAGTATAATTTGACCCTTGAATGAAGATTCAAAGTGTCACTTAACTTAAAGCACAGATGTATCTTACCTTAAAATCCCAATCCCAAATGCCCAATATAACTTTCACCAAATTTAACTAACAGCTCGTGGTTACCGAGGTTTACCTTTACTTTTGAAAAAAAAATCTTATAAACAAATTTAAAGCAGCTACAAGGAACTTTTATTTTGTGTTCTGACTGCACCTGTGGACAAAAGTGCTGGTGTTTCCATCACCTCATTCATTGATCCCTGGCCAAAATGGAAGTACTTGAGTAAAATACAAGAACCTCACAACTACAACTGGCTCAGTAGTTAATGTATTTGATGACGAGCTGTGTTTCTCCTTGGATATTGGTGTCATATTGTTTCTGTCGTATCTGCTGCCTGTCTGTAGGTGGTACATTTAGCAGACTTATTGTAATCTGTTGTTGCAGGGGAGAAGTTATCTCAAAGGCTGGACCAGAGGAGGCCGTGATTTATGCTGATATCGGTGAGACGAGCAGTTTTTATTGATCCAAAGAGTTTCAACTACAGGACTGAATTCTGTGATCAGATTGTGAGAAAAATAGGATTCCAGAGGATTCAAAATGAATCTGAAGGGTAGTGGGATTTGTATGGATGTCGTTGTTTCTCGAGTCTGCACTAAACCTCTCTGTATCCTCTCTGTGACCTCTGTTCCCAGACCTGCAGTATTTAGCCGACATCCGTCAGCAGATCCCGATCACAGCTCAGCGCCGTGATGACATCTACACGGTGACGTCTGTGCAGGAAGGATCGAGCTGAACGCTGCGACCTTTAGAGAGAAGGTACGAAGGTACCGGCACAAACTATGCAACGGATCTCTGCTGCAACAGAGTCTTCTTCTCCCTGAAGCACAAGACTTAATCGTCTCAATTGTGGAAACGAGAGATGCAGTTTGGATGCTCAGTAATTCACTGGTGCCAACATGTTTTGGGCTCCACGACGTTCTTAAGACACTGTGTAACTGTAAAATGAGTTGTTGATCAATAGAAAATGGATGACAAATTTGATAAGCTGTTAATTGTTTACCTTATTTATCAATTAAAAATAAACATTTGCTGGTTAGAGTTTCTCTGGTCATCATCAGTTTCATATTATTGGAACATTTGGAGTTTCACGATGAAGTGTTTTTTTGTCTTGTTTTTTGGCTTATAAAAAAGAAGTTTTGATTGTGGCTCCGGACATTTCAAATGTAAAAAATATACAGTTCTTCATTGTCATATTTTCTGTCATGATGCAGAAACACTAACAGATCTTTAAAAAATTCAAATAAAACAGCTCCACGAATGAATATGAGCATCTTTATTAAAGCTTGAAACAACAGCAAACAAAAGAATGTGAAGTGGTGAGATGCTTTGTTAACTTACAGTAATTTCACTTCTATCTACATCGTCTATTTAAAAACCCACCACTTGTACTGAATATTAAGTGGTCACAACAAACACGTATTTACAAATCAGTGCACTGTTGCCTCACGTCAACAGAAGAAAAGTGGGGATTTGTCCTCTCAGACTTTTACACGTCCGTCTCCTTCGGCTTCATCGCCTCGGTCTCCTCCTTGAACAGATTTCGCCTTTTGTATCCTGATGACAGCAAACAATTTCAATAAGATTGAATGGTTGATGAGGTTTTCAGCGGTCATAAAAGCACATCACACACAAGCACTTGCTCCCAATTAAAAGCAAGAAACATTTCTTTCACATTGTCTTCACCAAATGTTCCATTTTTCCATAATTGAGTGTGTTTCCATACTGACACTGAATAAAAGGACGGATTGGCCTGTAGCTTGATAGGTGTTTATGTTGTAAAAGTGGATTCTATGAAGTATTTTGTGTCTAATTTCAATGTTTCAACCCACAGCCTGCAGTGATGATGTGTCACCAGCAGCAGGTACCTACCTCTGTCAGCCTGTTGGTGTTCACGCTTCTTCCTCTTACTTATCCTGTCCAGGTGAATCTGGTAGGCGACTCCTGCCACCACCATGACCCCAACCACTGCGCACAGACCCGTACTGAAGATCCACATGGCCTCTGATGCTCGACTCACCACCGGGCTGACCCCAACTCCATCTTCCAACAGACAAGAACCAGAGATTAGTGAGCAAGTGGTGTGTTTAACTGACTCAATGAGCGGATCACTCACAGCTTGTGGATGTCAAGGTTTCATTCATGGACAGGTTCTCTATGGTGCACGACACCATGGACTCTTTGGGAATGTTGACCTTCAGGTGGCTTGTGATGTTGTACAGATGGGAGTCTGGGAGTGAAAGTGCCAGGGTCCTCACTGAGCCTTCAGGGGGCTCATTGGTGTGGTTGATGCGCCAATGAACTGCAGGTTCGGGAAAACCACCACTAGAGTGACACAGGAAGACCGTCTCCTCCCCCTGCGCTGCTTCTTCCCTCAGCAGCAGTGGGGAACTGAAACTGGCTGCAAACAGTCAAGACAAAACAAGAGTTAGTTCCTTTACATATTCCTCTGAGTACTTCCTGTGTGTCTGACACTGACCTGCTATCCTGAGGCACACGGTGCACAGCGCAGCACTTTGATTCTCCTCTGAAATGATGAACAGACTGTAACTCATGTTGTGCTCTTTAGGATAAACTGTGGGCAGCTCCAGAGAGAAGTTTCCAGTCCGTGCAGCATCAGCTGAGATTGTGGCGCTGTTGACGCTCAGTTCCTCCACATTTGAATTGTTTTTCCACACTGATCTGAGCACCACTTCATCGTCTCTCCTCCACTCAATGGAAAAATTAACAAAGGTTAATAATTTAGGGTACAAGCAGGGCAGTGAGACCGGCTGCCCCACTATGCCAAAGACGCACTCTTCCTCTGTAGAGAAAGAAGTGAAAGATAAAGAGAAATCACCAGTGAGTTTCAGTGTAGTTATCTCTAACATGCAGACCAGACACAGTCATCTTACCCAGGCTGGCGCAGAAACAGAGGCAGCAGAGCAGCAGTCCTGTGCGCCACAGTGGCACAGGCATCGTCCGCTGCGGACACGTTTGCGCACACAAGACGCAAAAACTCTCCAAAAATATAATCCTCTTTAAAGTGGAAAACCAAGACATTACTGAGTTATATGCCTGACTCACTTTGACTCCCTATCTTCAGTTCGTTCTCTTTAACAACCCCAACTCATTCGGACTATTCACGCTAAAGGAATTCATTGTCAGTCATGTTGCGACTTGTTGTGCCGTACCTGCTCTCTCTCTCTCTCTCCACCTCTCTCTCTACCTCTCTTGTCTTTCTCTTGATCTAAATGGCATGCGGTGCCGCCGAATATATCGATCCCTACGCATAAAGAAGTTAATAAACTCAGCCCTCTCAGTGTCGATCAGCATATATCCTGTTGGGAGCCATATTATGGAGATTGGTCCAACCTGTTTGACTTCTTTTCAGGTCACACACCCACAGGCTGTGATGTAGGCAACACAGACAGCAATAAAACAAAGTGTAGGGCAGCACAGCGGACTTCGTTCAAATACTTCACTTGTCCAGGCGTCTGATATTAAACGTAATTATATAGCCTAGGTGACTTATATAGATTTTTTTTTTATAGCTGTAAATTTAATTTCGGAAGCTTTGTGCATGACAAAAAGGTTGGATACAGTATTTATAAAGTTAAAAAGTGTTTTATTTATTTACAAACAATTGGCCGAAAAATGAATAAAAACTAGGCTACTTAAATAACCTACTTACTGGAAATGTATTCCCCTTTACACCTTTAGACATATTATCTAACAGCTTTCTTCTTCTTCTTTTTTTATACCAATTATATAATTTATTGTTTTATTGTAGTTACTACTTTCAGTTCTCATATTTACTGTTGCAGTTGTATGGTAATGAACTACGATCATGTTTTAAGATACCTAGACTTTTGTATTTAGTAAATAAATAATGTAGACAATCTGCTCTCTCATTGGACAAAAGTTTATCAGACAACTAAGTATCTAATGGCTTTTACATCCATGGTGGTGCTTCACTAAAAACAAAAAACTCAGACCGACACTAAGCGAGATAAGACATTTAGTGAAGTTAAGATAAAATTCAAATGAATAATCTGAAATCAGATGGACCAAAAGCATGAGAACATATTCTCTCAGAGTCTCTCAAAGTTTAACAAACAGAACATATTACTTTAAAAGTTACTGTCAATGGTTACAACTTTAGTGAACTTGAAAGGTGCAGTGACTCTGTAGTCCAGCAGGGGGCGGACTGAACAGGTGAGACGAGGGTTAAACAACTTTAAACTTTTTTGTATTTGAGGAAATGTAAATGCTCCGTCCGCTGATTTATTATTCGCTTTGTTTATTTATCGCTTGTTGATTGTTCAATACAATTTTAAGAAATTCGTGAGCACTCAATGACAAAGGAAGTGACGTAAACAGGACATAGGAAGACAACTGTACCGGGGGAGTTCGCTCCCTGTGTTTAGTCTCCAAGGCTGATTCTTCCTCCCGCACTGGGTACAAAGTCTCTCTCCAGTGGCATTTACACAACAACCACAAACCTTAATGAATGTCTAATCGACACATTGAACTACGGGTAAGTCAAAACGTTCATTAGGTAAAAACAAGCGGTGGTTTAGTAAACAACCGGTCAGTAAACGCCTCCTGGAAGACAAGACTCCGGACAAATGTCACAAAAACATGTCCGACACAACAGCGTCAGAAAGGATAACACGCTGCCTGCATTAATATCTAATTGTTACTGTAAAGTAAGGTTTATTTATTAAGTTTGCAGATAATTCAGACGGTATATGAACAATACTCCTTGCTACAGCAGGTGGCAGTCTGCGCTTTGTGAGCCTTCAGTGAGCCAGAAGAGGGCTCATGTGTGAGCTGCTGGCTCTCTTACAGCACAACCAGTGTACGTCGCTTTATACTGTCTGAATCTAACTGCAGCCCCGATGACAGCAGCAGGAGAGCCTCCGGAGGAAGCATGGCAGCAGTGAGGAGGATTCATCGGTGCTTGGGGGCCTGCACTCAGAGCTCCCAGCGAGCAGCAACCCCCCGCAGACCCCTCCTCACAGCTCCCCACCATGCAGCTGCTGTGAGAGCTGCCTCCCCCCTGCAGGTTAGGACGTTTGCACTCTCTGCCTGCAGGCTGAGGAACACAGATGACTTTGGTACAGGATTTACCGAGGAGGAGGAGGAGGAGGAGGATGATGAAGAGTTAATTGATGACAGCGAGGTGGAGGAGCTGTTTGAGCAGCAAGCAGGCATCGGAGAGGGTCAGCAGAGGGTGTTCATCGTCCACCCTGATGTAAAGTGGGGAAGCAGGAAGCAGTACCTGACCACAGGTAACAAGCGTTCAGATAAAGTGTGTGTGTGTGGAGCATGCTGGGGGATTAGTCTCACTCACTTTACTACTCTCTCCTCGCAGCGGAGCTCATGATGGCCGAAGCTGTGGGGCTTGTGAACACTTTAGACAGCTGGAGAGTGGTGGACAAGATCATCCTCTCCACCAAGACCCCAGAGAAGAAGAGGATATTCGGCAAAGGCAACTTCCAGTCCCTCACAGGTAATATCCACCCTGTGTCCACCTGTGAGTCTGGGTCAGTGAGTGTGTCCTACAATGATTTTCCTGTGCTTTTTCCTTTCTCCAGAGAAAATCCGTCAAACAGCAGGAATCACTGCGGTGTTTGTGAATGTTGAGCGCCTGTCTCCTCTGTCTGAGGTGAGCGTATCTGAACACCGCTTCATGGCTGCATTCAGAAAGGTGTTGTGCACTGACAGCCATTTTTTAATCCATTCAGAGGGAGCTGGAGGAAGCCTGGGGGGTTAAAGTGTTTGACAGATACTCAGTGGTCCTCCACATCTTCCGCTGCAATGCCAGGACTAAAGAGGCCAAGTTACAGATCTCTCTGGCAGAGATCCCCTTGTTAAGGTAACTTTGCCCCCAAATATCCCATCATTTATTCCCCAAATTTGATCTAAATTATGTTTTTGCTATCACGCATTTGGATTTGAAAACGTCTCCGTCCGATGGTGACAGATCTCGTCTGAAAAATGAAATTGCAAACTTGGACCAGCAGGGAGGAGGATCAAGATACATCGGAGGTTCAGGTAACACCCCCGACACCTGAGTGGTAACACGTCTGCATGTGAGAGTAACTGAGCCTGTCAGAAAGGAGGTTCAGCTTGCTGATTGGTCCCTGCAGGTGAGACACTGCTGGAGGTCCAGCAGAGACTGCTGAAAGAGCGGGAGATGAAGATTCGCGCAGCGCTGGAAAAACTGCGGAAAAAGAGGCACCTGCTGCGATCTCAGCGCAAACACAAGGAGTTCCCCACCGTCTCTGTGTTAGGATATACAAACTGTGGTGAGAAGCTGGATCATTGGTTTGGTATCGCTGTACTTTGGGGCTCAGATTGATGACAGTGACCACACTTTGTTTGCTTTGCATTGTCTTAGGAAAAACGACCCTGATCAAAGCACTGACAGGTGACAGCGGTCTTCAACCCAGAAACCAGCTGTTCGCCACCCTGGATGTCACCGTCCATGCCGGCCAGTTGCCCAGTCACATGACTGTTCTGTATGTGGACACCATCGGCTTCCTGTCCCAGCTGCCCCACCAGCTCATTGACTCCTTCTCTGCCACCCTGGAAGACATTAAATACTCAGTATGTACCTGATACTCACATCAAGGGTGTTTGTGTTGTACAGTAACGCAGGCTGTTTGGCTTTCATATCCGCAGTTTCAGTGTGACTGAGTGTTTTCTTTCTCGCACCTTCAGGATCTGCTGGTTCACGTCCGAGACATCAGTCATCCAGAGACGGTGAATCAGAAGGTGAACGTACTCAATGTCCTCAAGAACCTGCAAGTCCCTGACAGGCTGATGAGCTCCATGATAGAGGTCCACAATAAAATTGACCTTATTGACAAGTAAGAGCAAAAATCCCATGTTGGACACAGATTTTAAATTCTATTTAGAATGTAAAATAAGACCAAGATAATGCTTAAAGAACCAGTGTGTAGGATTTAACGGGACCTAGTGGTGAAGTTGCAGATTGCAAGCAAATGAATACCACTAGCCTTCCAAGTGCGTAGGAGAAACTACGGTAGCCATGAAACTCATGAAAGGCCCCAACTAGAGCCAGTGTTTGGTTTGTCCGTTCTGGGCTACTGTAGATACATGGCAGTTCAACATGGTGGACTCTGTAGAAGAGGACCCACTCGCTCTGTAGATAAACAGCTCATTCTAAGGTAATGAAACACAACGACTCTTATTTCCAGGTGATTATACAGTAATGAAAACATACCTATGACTATTATATTCTATGTCTGCCAGTAGATCCTCCTAAATGTTACACACTGCACCTTTTAAGGGAAAAATGTATACTGTTGATCAATCTATAAGATCTAGAAGGTCGATATCAGGATGGGTTGAATGTCTTAAAGCATCAGAAAACCACAAAATGTAACTTATGCTACTGAATTTAGGACAGAAATGACCATATTTAACTGTACTCAAAACCATATAGTACACTGAATTTAGAAAACAAAGGATGTCCTGCATTCATAATTGTATTATTGTTATTAGTGGCATCATTTTATTGACCTTTTATTGTGTGGGCTGTTTGAATGGGGTCGAGCCAGGACTTGGTGTAGTCTTTAGAAGAAGAAACAAAGTCAAAGTATCCCCTCTCGTCCCCTCTCAGCTATCAACTCACAGAGCCCAACACGCTGCCCATATCAGCCCTGGAAGAGCGAGGCCTGGATGAGCTGAAGAAAGCAGTGGAAGACGTGATTGTGAACTCGACGGGAAAACACATTTTAGACCTCAAAGTCCACCTCAGCAGTCCGCAGTTAAGGTCAGAGCTGTTTTTCCTCGCTGTGTGTTTATGTTTAGAATAAGAGAGCATCCACAGTAAATGTGCGTCTTCATCCACAGCTGGCTGTACAAGCAGGCCACCGTTCAGGACGTGCAGGTGAATGCAGATGAAGGCTCGGCTGTTGTCAAGGTCATCATCAGCACCGCCGCTTACGGACGCTACAAGAAACTGTTCACAGGCAGATAGTAAAGCAGGGAGGAGAGGGATCCTTCCTGCTGCAGATCCAAAGAACTGACTGACTGCAAACTGTACCACAAACTCATTTAAGACAAAAGACTGTGTATGTATTGTACAGTATATTAAAATATCTGAAAATATAACAGTACAGAATGATGTACTTGCTTGTAAAGACATAGATTGCACATACATATGTAGATTTAAAACACCTTAATTGAAAAGAGAAATACAGATTTCTTTCCAAAAACATTGCTTTAAGTTAAAGCTCAGACAAGAGGAAATTAATTATACTGAAGGCACTCAGGGATCCGTTCCCCTGGGATAAAATCACAGCTAATAATGTTTTGTTTTTATCTGACGGCATGCTTCCTTAGAAGTTTTTGGTTCAGTGCGATGACCAGAGAGCAGATTGGAAGCGGCCCCACAAAGTCTCCTGCGATGATGTTGAGGCTCTTGGGGTCCGACCCAGGTTTCTGCTCTTCCAGCCATTTCCTCAAACACTCCCAGTTACTGAAGGTCAGCGTCTGCAGGGATTGCTTCGGGTTCTCGGTGATGTATCTCCTGTCGGCCGTCAGGTTCAGGCCGGAGACAAAAAAGCCCTCTGGGGTAAAAAAAACAAGATTAGCCTATGTTCACATTGCAAGCCTTAAAACTCAATTCTGATTGATTGCTGAGATTTGTTTCCTGTTTGATGTTCACATTATGTTTTGAATGTGGCCCATATCAGATTCCAGTGTGAACAGGTCCTGAAGTGACCCTCACGACCAGTGTCCATCTACAGTGATGTAAAAGACTGTTCACACTGAGGTCGAAAAGAATCAGACCTGTAACTGATTTGGACTGCATATGAAAGTGGTCAAAATCAGAATTGAGAATTAGAATTTTTTGCTGTTCACACTGTCATAAAGAAAACAGATCTGAGTCAGTTATGAGCAATGAGCTGATTTGGGCCACTTTTACCTGCAGTGTGGACGAAGCCTTAGTATGTTGGTGAAAATACACCAGGGTGACAGAAAAGACACGTGAGTGTAAATGAAACTCACCTGGACGTCCCAGGTCTTTGTTCCAGTCCAGGTAACTGATCACTCCTTGTGCTGTGCGCTGGTTGGCCCACCAGTAGGGGATGGCTGGCCACAGCTCCTGATGTCGGGCTGCAATCTGGGAGTCATAGGACAGGACGACCTGGTAACCAGATGCCCACAGACTCCTCAAGGTCAGGACTGGTTCCTGTGGAGGGCGGGTTAGGTCGTGTAAGGCATTGTGCTGTTAACACACCATAAATCAGCTGCACAAGGAAGAAGACTAACCTTCTGGGGGCAGAGTTTTGAGCCAAACAGCTTCTTCAGGGAGAAAATGAACGCCTGATGGAGTTTGTCGCTGATTCCCTCAAAGTGGCTACAAGCGAGGATTACGACCTCCTTCGGGTGAGACTCCAGCCAGGTGGCAACAGACGACAGTGTTTCCTGTACAGGAAGGACATTAACTCTAAATGTGTTCTAAAAGCCCAAACTGAAACTTTAAATGAATAATTACACTCACCAAAACTGTTAAATGTGTATAGATGACGTGTGTGAAGTACAGGTCGCTGGAGGAGTCGTTGGGTTTGTGTGCGATACGGAGGTCAAAGAACCGAATCCCCATCGAAAGTTGCTCCTCGATGCTTTTGTCCTGCAAGCAAGAGCAGTTCATAAAAGAAGAATTATTCCAGTTATCGTTCCCCGTTTCCCCTCAGGTGTAAATAAACTGCAGGTTATAAACTTCTTTTTACAAATACAAAAATGTGAAATTATCTTATTATCTTATCGGTATCAGCCATGAGAAGCAGTTTATACATACAAATGTATAAACTGATGTTCCTTCTAGAAAGAAAGACTCATCCCTTCACTTTATCTTGGGTGAAAAAGTGACTTTCTCATGTGACGTATCAAACTTTTTTTTTTTTTAATCATAACTTAAAGCTGCTATAATTCATATTTTTATATTAACAATGAATCAGATGGCTGTGTGTATCTGAAAGTAGTCATTCGTAGTGATGAACCCTCAGAGGATTATCACTCAACTCTGCAGTTCCTCTAAGCTCTACAGAGCTTTTTTAGTGTCTTTAAGCTCATTGTTTTGGTTTTCTGGCCCCAAACTTTCCGTTCCCATCAGCTTATGTACAGCTGAAGTCGGCAGCTGTTTTCAGTGATAAACACAAGATCTCTTCCAAGGTCAGTGGCTGCCTGAGACCGCAGATACAGATACAACAGGATAAACTACAAATCCTGACAAACACGTCTCACTTCCAAATGACTTATAGAGAGTCGGCAGTACTTTGTTATTTCTGTAAGGCTCCCCACACCACACCTACATTATCTGTTATAATTAAGACACTTCCACCTTACATACCTGTGTTGTAGCCCATCTAAAAATGGCAGGTCTGGTAAAGCAGTAGAAAAGTTTATCCAGGAGCCTGAAAAAGTCCGATTCAGACCAAACCAGGGGGGAGTTTATGTCCAGACAGTAACTCATGGCATCATGGCTCCCTGGGTAAAAAGGTGTGAATATACACGTTAAAGCTTTAAAGGTTCCTCAAACTGAACTGGAAAAGAGTTTCTGGTACTGTACACCTAACCACAAATGCAAAACAAAATGTCTGTGTGTGGGGGGTTTGTTTAGAATGACTAGTCTTGTTGTGAACTTAAATTTTTAAATAATTAGGTAAACCAATACAGGTGATTATAAAATAAACAGATGGAGGAGGCAAAGGCAGTGAAATAAAAAGAAAAGAAGAAAGTATGCAAAATTAACACGAGGGAACATAAACAGTCCCAAACCTAAAGATATTCAGTTTAGTGTCATAAAAGAACAACAGCAAATATTCCCATTCACTACAGACGCTGCAATCATAAACGAGTTTACAGTGTGACTTGAATATTTGCTGTATTGTTCTCCTCTACAGCAGAAACATCCAGCACTGGTAAGTTACATTAGTGACAACAGTGACAGAACAGGTGTTAAATGTACCGGGTATGGCCAGGTTGGTGAGCGCAACGTCCCACAGCTCCTCGGGTAGAGCTGACATCCAGTCCTGGCAGCGGAGGTCCATGTCGCACAGTCCCAGACCTGCAGGAGACTCACTGAAACCAGGTCTGAGCTACACATCTGACAAACCCGTTTAGGTTAGTCGTCATATGGTCGATCCTGTCCCCGTCCATTATCTCATTCCTCTAACGCTGCACAACAAGAGGAGGAGGAGGAGGAGGAGGAGGAAGAGGAGGAGGAGGGGGGATGAAACTTTGAATTTCCTTTCCTTCTGCGGTGTTGACTGACAGCTTTGATTCACTGTGTCACCAGAGCAACATGGCAGCTAATGTGGGGATGCCGCTGTTATAGGACACTTGTATTTCTCTGTATTGTATGTGTCTGAACACATTATGCACACTTCACCCTCACATCCCTCTTCCTTTATCAGAACAACTCCGAATACGTCGCCATGACGTCTGATAGGGGGTGGAGCCAACGTTGAACCGGAAGTTTAGCTAAATGAATGCAGCCTAACTACATCAATGAGAATATAAATGAAATACACATAAACACATGAGAACACTCTTCAATTCAGTCCTGCAGAAAAACAACTCCAACATTATGATACAGGGAAAACACAACACTGTTCTAAACTATTTAAATATGTAAAATATATATACTTTCAACCAAGTATTTAGTTTTTATGTTTTTTAAGCTATGAAATTATGAAAAAAGTGTACAGTTCATATGTAAAGTTGGAATCATCAGTAGTTATTTTAGGTAAAAATACAACTGCGTCATGAATAAAAGAGTGGAAGATGTTTAATGGCAGATGTTGCCTCATAAAAATAATGTTACAGACTAAAAGGTGTCAGTGGTGGGACTTTTAAGGTTTGGTACCATTTCTTTAATAACACTAATATGAGGTGTTTAAAGTGACTTATTCTTATTTGACCCAGATCATTTAAGATGTACATCTTTATATTTTTGGTGTTTTTTCTGTCTGTTACTTTTTTTTTACTTTCTTTGTTTGTATTGATTATCTGATATTTTATATAAATCAATGTAATACGATATATTTAAATAACAACAAAAGAAGAAGAAGAAGAAAGAAAATTAGGTCATACTGGAAATCCCATATACCATTTTTAGGTTATGTGTACTTAGAGCAGCATCATTTCAATTAATACAGGACAGATTTAACAAAGACAAAAGACATCTTATGGTAACATATAGGCTATTATATATATTATAGAATTAGTTGTTCCCTCAGTTATGAACCATATGGCTTATTTTCTATTAGTACAATGTGATTTTATTTATCTCAGAAATGAGTTACAGCGTATGTGAGAATGTAACTTCTTCAAAATGTTTTTTAAAGGTGATATTTGTAGCTGCAGCTTCCATTAAATGACTTTTACTGTGGTAAACATTTTAAGGAGCAAAAGACAAAGTGTTGATGTCAAGTTTATTTACCCATCCTTCCATCACATAAGCCAAGACAATCTTTTTCTATTCTCTCATTCACCCATCTCACAAAGCAGCTGCAGCCGCCATGGAGGAGAAAAACACAAGGAAGCAGAACAAAGTCCCTGTTTAATAAGTGCAGCATCAATAAAAAAACAATCCATCAAAACCACATCTGAGATCTGTAACTGTTTGGATATTGGAAAAACATTCTCTGTAAGGACGTTGTCACAAGATCAATTATAGACTTTTCAGTTATTAATTATAATTACTGATTAAATCAGTTTATACATTTCAAAATAAATGGTGATGAGGGAATTATGTTTGCCTCTGAACACAGTGAGAGCTCCGGTCACTCTTTCAGTCAGACCTTGTTTAAGTTGTGTTTGGCTTTAAATAATATTTACATTGACCTGTGGACGAAATATAAAAGTATTAGACACGTTTGTAGATGGAACAAATTAAACTGTTAGATATTTTTATGAATGAACTTAAAGTGAAATTTAAATGAAAAAACTTTATTTATGTTTGTTATATTTCTATCAATTTAATGCTACTATAATGGAATAAAATAATCAAACAGCAGCAGGAGCTCTGATTGGCCAGACCTCTGCAAACAGATAACAGTGGATCAATCAGAGCTCCTGCTGCTCTGGGGGTTGGACTTCAGTTACACTGTGAACACATCTTTAAATTATATCCTAAAATGAAACAGTTTACAAAATAGAAACAGTAAAAACAGAAAAAGTGAAACAAGAATATGATTGGAAGATACATAAAATAACATCTTTTTAATGATTACATTTTAAACCACAGAATTGTAAATTGGCAAATTTTAGGATCTTTTTAGTTTAATAATGCAAATTGGACCAATTCAAATTGGGTTTTTACAAACTGAGAAGTTTAATTTAATTTCAGTCTCAATACTAATTGCATAATTTAAACACCATTACCTACCATGAACAGTAGAAGTCATTATCTGAATATAAGTAGTTTCTTATTTTACAATTTACAATGTTTTACACTGAAATGAAATAATAGAGCTTTACATGGATCTTTTTGCCTGTTTGTCATCATGTTGGCTACAAAGATGGAAATGTTTGGACTGAATGGGCTGAATGGATCCCAAAAGAGCAGAGTTTCAGACTGATGATGTAATACAAACCATTGTGAGGGAACGTAAAAGCATTGAAAAGGAACACATACTGCGAGGGAACACAAAAGCCTTTTCCCCACTGTGGCCCTTCAGGGACTGAAAACACCACAGGTCAGTTGTTTTATGTACATGAAGCAAACGCTTTGGAGAGTAGAGATTGTGATACTCAGCACAGGCATCTTGGAAGGAAACATTTTAACAATAATTTGCACATCTGAATGATCAGTAAATAAAAGTGTGATGACTTGCTTAAAAAGGCTCATGTTTATTGTAAAAGCTCATCTTCACAGGCACAGCGGTGCAGCATTATTTTAAATCAAGGCTGAACCTGTTGGCTAAAGTATATATAAGTAGAACAGTCAAGGTTGGGTTCATGCAAATAAGTTTTCCATGCATTTTGCATAAGTTCTTCTCTACATTCTCTACGGATAAATACAAGTATGATAGTTTATACAGTTTAGCAACTTCTTAAACTTGCTGCCCACATGTCATAATTATAAAAGTTTGTGGCCTACGTTACGGTCCTATGTGCTCCTTGAATACATTGTTTGTGCTTACTCATCTAAAATGCCTACATTAAGGTGAGATTAGTTGTATCATTATTGCTTTGGCCGTAACATAAAACTGGCCACCTCTCTGTCTCGTGAAAACTGATATAGTACATTGCATAAATAGTGAACTGAATGTAAACAAACAAGTGCAGGTCAAAATACCAAAAAGTCTGTTTTCAAGCAGCTTTAAGATCGAAATGTACATTTCACTGCCTCCAGTAAGTGCATTTATATTTAGATGAATAATTCAAGTACTTGAAGTATTTTTCTGTCACTCTTAAAAAAACAAGCTTGTGTGTATTTCATGCTGTGATTCACATTTCTTTTTTGTAGAATAATGCAAATTGGTTAAAAGTCACGAGGACCATTTCAGTAGTTTTTCATTCAGTGCAACCACAGTAGGTACAAAGTGGCTCTCGGTGATAAAGTCCCCAGCAATAATATTGAGAGAGCCGACTCTGGAGCCGGGAGTCTGCTCCTTCACCCAGCTCAGCAGCGTGGGATATGTGGACATCACCAAGTCCTTTAGGGACTCTGTTGGGTGTGTGCAGATGTATTTCAGATCCTCTGTCAGATTAATCCCCGTGACGAAGAAACCTCCTGAAACACAAAATACGCATATGAAATTTTATGAGCGGCGTAGGTCAAATGCAGTGTCAATTAAAAAGAAATGAATCATCAGTTTTATTCCCAGCCTGTGTTTGGTGATTGAAATCAACAGCAGATTACCTGGTCTGCCATGTTGTTTCCTGTGTTCAAATGCCTCAATAAGAGCCTCAGCTTTGCATTTGTTGGCCCACCAGTAGGGAATATGTGGCCACAGGTCGCTGTGACAGCTGGCAATACTGTGTTCATAGGACACAATCACTGAGCAGCCTAAAGCCCACAGGTTTCGAAGAGTTAACACTTCCTGAAAACAACAGAATAACCGGTTGAGCTTCATATTATGTCAAGTTATTTTTACACATTATTTAAAGCAGGTCATTCAACATATTACAACAAAGCTCACTATTGTGAAAATATTATATAACATGTAGCAAACAGCAGTTTCTGTACATTTTTTGAATCATCATTATATATAATCTTTGTTGTTCGCAGCAAAACAACAAATTAAGGCCTCTTCTTATCAACTCTTTGCACGCATCTTGGGCCTTTGAAATTATATTCCAGAGGGATGGGGATGGAGGGCTGGAAATTGCCCCCAGGCCAGCGATTTGAAACCCCTGATTTAAAGGATAAGACTGACGTTATTTTAGATTTTACTTACTGTCAAAGAAACCCATGAAAAGATATAAGTGAGTTTGATTCTCAATAGAGAGCTAAAGACATGCTGTCACGTCCAGAATAGTTTCTGTAAAACAGTGAAATCTCTTTCTGAAATATGAAACATGTTCCTGAAGTTTACTTTCCATATTCTAAGAGAGAAATTATCAACTACAGCAGCTGCTGTAAGAAACCTCCGTCATTGTAAGCCACAAACACTCACAAATATATAGTTTCAACAGCTGGGCCCTGTGGTTTTTAGCAAATGTTACTCAAACAGGACTAAATAGTGCATTTGCACAGTGTGGGGTGTAATGGGTTTTAGACAACAATTGTACAGAGGAATAAGATATGTCAAAATTTGGCTACAAAGACAACATTTGCTAATAGGATCAATCTTTGTTGGTTTTGGTCTGCTCAGGGGATTCACTGCCATTAAAAAATGTATATTGTGGCAACTCTAATTCTATAGTCTTCACTGAAAACTGGAGAAGTTGTACCGTTTTGGGGCAGAGTTTGGAGGTGAATATGTTGCGTATGGTTGTGAGTAGCAGCGTGTGGAGCTCTTGGTTCAGGCCGAGGAAGTGGCTGAAGGAGAGGATCACCACCTCCTTGGGATGAGCGTCCAGCCACTCTCTTATCTCCATTAGAACGGTCTGCCAGGAAAACACAAGCTACCATTTAGTCTGCCTTTACAGCAGGACACAATAATATAATGCACGATTCACAGCCTTATTTTAAAAGCACACGTATAACTTGTAACATTGCCAGCTTCAGATATCTGGTAGGACCGGTTTTTGGCATTCACACACGGGTCTACAATAGTAAGGACGTCTGTAACAACCTGACACATCTGTTTGTTTCTTCTCACCCCCTTGCAACTCTGCTGGAGCAGAGGTGAGTGAAGAGCTTTCTGATTTATCATACAAGCTGTCAGAAAGATTTCCAATCGTATTCTGCAACCCAACAGGCTTTTAAACATGTTGAGGAGTGTAGAAATATCCTGGAATTGCTCACTGATTGACTTAGTCCCTATAGGCCAACTAGTTTCCACTGTAACATGATGGATAAAGGTCCAAAAACTTCACATTTTGTTCCCATTAGAGCCATGCTGAGAAGATGTACGGAGATCTGAACTGTAAAACTGCCACCAGATCTAATACATTGAAAACAGTTTGATGCTCCTGTTCATATGAGAATATTTCCAGAAGATTCAAGAGTTACAGCGTATGTGAGAAAGTGGCTGTAAGTGAGACTATGTAACCTCAAAAAGAAGAAATAACACCTTCTTCCTCTTGCTAATGAAAAGCTGAATTCATAAACTGCATCCTCATTCAGTTCAATTCACTCTTTAGTTGGTTTGGTGTGATCAGTAGTTTATGGTGGCTGAGGTTAATAAACTTTATATAAAACTCTATAACAATAACTGACGTTACTGAGTGAGTTCACTGACTTCTGCTACTGTTCCATTACATTTGAGCATTCATTATCATCCTGTAATCCTGTCTCATCGAATGTTTGCTGAGCATGAATGTTCTTTATGGTTATTGCTGTAGAATCAATTTGCCTTTACAGAATCATAAATTTCACTGTAGCAACAACTTTTTGGACATTTGTGTCTGCATGCCATTACTTCACCTCCACAGTGAGCGTGGTGTATACACCGTGGTAGAAGTACAGATCAGTGGAGCTGTCATTGGGCCTGTGCGCAATTCTCAGGTCACAGTATCTGACCCCACAGTCCAGCTGCTGCTTTATAGTGTACTCCTGCAAGACAAGGGATGCATAATTTATTATATAAGGTGCAGCTTCTTTGTTATTAACAATGAGTTACAACCAGCTGGTACATCTATTCTGATTTATTACCTGGGTTATAGCCCACTTGTACACAAAGGGGCGAATGAGGGGCTTCATGTATTTGTCTAGCTTTTGAAGCATGTCTGGCTGGGTGAGGTCAACAGGGGATCTGTCATTCATATCCAGACAGTAGGTTATTGCATTGTGGCTGCCTAAGTTGGGAAAGGACAATAAACACCATCATTACAATCAAAGCAAATAGACAAAACAAAAGGAAATGAAGCAAACACTTATTTGCCAACACGTATGCACATATAACACAATGCACTTCAGACATAGATTGTGTTTTCTGCTTTCACAGCATGTTTCTCAATGTTGTTGCGTTGTCTGAGTATCTGTATCTGTGTTAAACTGGTGAAGACATTTTCCTCAATTTGCTTGTGTTGCGTGTATTTGCATGTGTTTTCTTTAGCTGCAGCGCACTGAGCTCTCAGGGTTACCCTACATAGGGCATCATTCCTATGTTCCCAGGGTCCTATGTTCTCTAGATCTAGGGTGAGGGGCTTTGGGATCTTAAGAGCCAGGGAACATACACTCCCCTATATAGCAGCTAGAATTACAATTAGTAAAGAGAGATTGAAGTGTTGAGTGTACTACTCCAAACAGCCTACTTAATCCACACTACAGAGGGCTGTTATATGGCAGCCTACCCGGGATGGCCAGGTGGTACAGCGGGGTGTCCCACAGAGCACATGGCAGGTGAGACATCCAGCTCTCCATAGGCAGCTCTGCCAGACCGGGTTCACTCACTCCGGACATCCTGAGCTCCAGCGTCTGCAGGCAGCACAGTGAATGGCACACAGAGGGACATCATTAAAGCTGCTGTTGTGTCACATCTACAGGGAATTCTTGTTTGTTTACTATAGGTATCACATAAATGATGTTCAATATCACACACAGTAACCCCTGAGCTGTCACCCTGTTTATTTCACACTTACTTGATCAAACTGCTGCCGCTGCTTCCTCCAGTCGCAGAACCAGCTGAACCAGCCCAACCACCACACAGGGGAAATGCGATGACTGAAACTATAGGCGTGTGCCAGAAGAAGTCTCCCATCCCACAGCATTACAAAATATCATGGCTCTGCATAAAACATGCATGGTGAGATCCGGAGATAAAGCGTGGCCGCACAGTCTGGTTACCTTTTACACCTGCATAGCCCGGGATGACGAGGACAGCGGGCCCGGCGCATTTTAGCTCCAGTTATCGATTATCCATAATGAATCGAAAGTCCACGCATGATCCGCTGGCGGGTGCATGGACGCAGGGTGAGCCCCGTCAGTGCACCGGGTGTTTGTCGGTCCTGCGAGGTGCAGCAGCAGCAGCAGCAGCAGAGTGTGCGGCGGGCGGGGAGGGCGGCACCGCGCCTGCTGACAGATCAGCAGATACAGAGAGGCTCTCCTCTTAAAGAGCCCACTGGAATGATTCGTAGGACTGTGGTCGGAAACTCCCGAAAACATGCTGCAGCCCTGCCCAAATCCCTACAAGTGATGTCACGGCAGGTATTTCCCATCAGCTGCACGGGGTAAAACACCTGGTGTGACGTCAGGGACGGGTAGCAAACAGAGGCAGCCACTGTTAGCATAGCATAAAGAGTAGATACAGTCATCACGTTATTCATATTTATTCTGATGGTATAGGCTATTGGATCCTTCAAGGGGTCAAAGGATCATTCAGAGTGCTTGCGATATGATTAAAGATGCACTTTGGAGTTTTCTTGTAAACAAAGTTATGTTTACTTTCAGTGTGTCCTTGATTTGCAAAGGTGGTTTTAAAAAAAAACGAAAAAAGTTAAATGTTTGCATTAATGTGTGCTGGCTCACCAGTTTCTCCTTCCTCGCCTTTGTTGGCACATCGCTACGTTTCTTGAACATTACTCGTTGCACGTCGCCCACATGCTCACACAAAAGAACAGCTTGTGAAAACATTGCTCCACAGCGCTACAAGTGGTCAGAAACTCCACAGGGTACCTTTAAAAGACACATTTCTGCTACACGGGCTAATTGTTTATTTTTAATACTTTGCTTTTTTTATTCTGTAACTCTGGAAACTGCTTCAGGCCTCTAAATGTCAGACACAGCTTTGCTTTGAAAGGTAACAACAAGACAGAAAGGTTGTTAAGAGCTGGCCCATCTGTTATAAAACACTGTTAGTGAGGTGTTTACAGACAGAATTACACTTTATATTTACACCAGTTATACTCACATGTTGTGTAAATGTGTCAAATATACCACAGTGTGGCTCATACACTATGAGGCTTTTGTCTTCTAGCTTAACACTCACCTCGGCTGTAAATAGGTCATGTTTTTAGAACACGGACTTGTGTACTAAAATGTCCTTACCAAGAGTAAACTGATTAAGTCGTGTGTTTGTTTGAGATAATTTGGTCTGTCAGGTCTTTCTCAGCTTCTTCAGCAGGTCAATAAACCCTGAAACAGCACTAACCAATGTGGTGAAACACAGACAAACTCATTAATGAGCATGAGAACCAACCTTGCTGACTTTGGGGTCAAACCACACCAGAGCTTTCCTTTCTCTGTCTCTCTCTGTTAACAGCAAACACTTCAAAAGTCAAAAGTGAAAGCACAGGTTTAATTAATAACCTTAATTATGACTAATTTAGTTTAACTAGTTACTGTCTCAGTATTGTACATTCTGTCTCACTGACACACCTAAACTGAATAGAGCCTTTATTATAAGTTATGAAAAGGCAATATGTCTGCTGTGAAAAAGGCTTATACACATATTCTAAATACAGCTTACCAACTCCACTTTAATACACACTGTGTACAGTGGCTGTAATGGATAGGTGTGGCAATGCTGCCATCTAGCTTTCCACCCACAACTGATAAAAATCATGAAAGCCTACTCAGGTTTTGCAAGTGGTCAGTCATCATTAATTAACTCTTCTTTCCTAATACTCACCCTCTCACAAACTAAATTGAAATACTTTTTACACAATTGCTGCTTGCAGATAAATTACACTTTAATATTCTCATATACTTTCTATCACATACACAAAGAACACAATTATTAATTTAACAAATTTATTTAAAAAATGCACTTTCCACAGTAGAAACATAGCATGTGAATAACATGAAAGTCCCTCCCGTTTAATTGAAAAATGGATGTTTCTGAAGTGTGTTAGTGTTAAAATGTGCACCTGTTTTTACAATTTACAATCCACAATCCAGTCATATTCTGTATAGTAGAGTGTATCTGTTAAATTATTACAGTTTCAGAGGTGCACCACCGGGTTGATGCCACGCAGTTTGCCACCACTGCTCTAAACCCCACTCTTCGTCATGTCTACAAATGGGACAACAGATCCAGTTTCACCTGCTCTCCTGCCTCATTTGAAAAGGTAATTTGGCCCAACCTTGTTCTAATAGGTCTTTTTCCCACGGTAGATGCTTGGTCAGATGATTTATTCTTCGATCAGACATCCTTATTTTGTTCATTTTATTTTTGACACCATTAAACACTGATGTGTTTCACAAATTTGGCCTCTTCTAAAATGATAAAAAAAAATAAAGCTTTTTTGTGGTACAAATTAGTTCACACATACTAAAGAAGTATTTCACTATTGAATTGGCATCTGTATAAAAAAAAGTCCTAACAGTGTCCAGCCCTAGTAAAACCAGTTATGCCAGGTCATTTATTATTAAAAAAAAAGTGTCACAAGTAACAGAAAAGACTGCAAATATGCAAGTTCCAAAGGTAATTTTCAGTTAAGTCTGTGATGATTTGAGACCAGTAATAAAGGCAATGGATTACATATCTGTACTCAGTCTTTGCTTTTATGCATCCAGGTTCAACTACGTTACTGAAGGATACATCAGGGAATGTAATTATACTCTCTTACACATATTTCTTTCCATTTTTACACAACTTGAATGCTTTTCATGATCACTTACCAGATTACTGAAGGTTCTAATAGTGCGAAACTGCATTCCTACACATAAAAGGCATTTGTGTTCATAAAAATGACTCCACTACTTGACAAATGTAAAAGATCACCAAGTCAGTGTATAACCTGGGGAAACACTGTAACAGACAGTGTGCAAGAAACAGGTGCAGTAGATACTACAACTCACTACAAAAGTCCCATCTGGCATGTCGGTTTTATTTTCTACAACTTTGATTCACTTTTTGAAGTATCAATAAAGTGGAACGTGTGTGATTCAGTTAAACATTTACATCCCAATCTTATGTACAGCAGTTTTAGTCAAAGGCAAGTTGAACCTGTGTGCAGCAGGAGTGTTTCATACAAAGTTGAGTACAAAATGTAATGCTAGCCACAATGAAAGGCAAGCATGATAATCTCAGAAGACTGACAGATTTTGTTCCTCTCAAACCAACATTAACACACAGCTATGCTTCTTTATGGACCTCACTGGGAGATGTTGTTGATGACCCTTCGTGCATCTTCTGCTTTATGCAAGCAGCGCCGTTAGCACTGGGTCTTGGACCTGGTCCCTGATGGAGGTGTGTTCACATAGACGGCCTGGCACTTGGGAAGGTCAGGAGAACAACAGTACAAACAGCTGTCACCTTTGCATGGGGTGTCTGGAGCCCAGCGAGTGTTTCCCATGACTGACTCCTTTCCTTGGAGCGTCTGGCTGAGGCAGCCCGACCTGCCGCCGTCTGTGCCTCCCTTTGGCCTCTGGCTCTGAGTCACTGAGCTCCAAGTCAGGACAGTATCCGTCACTGTCCTGGTACGATCTCGCGTTTTTCACTTTGTGTTCAGTCACGGGTTTATCCCACAGTCTCTCCTTGGACGAGCCCTTTCGGGACAGTTTGTCAGAGGCCCGCAGGTCCTCTGTGCTCCGCACCAATTTAATAGTCGCCTGTTTGAAGGACCTGCCAAAGTGCTCCATGGCAGACTTGCGAAAGCTGCTCTTGTCCAAAGCCTGATTTGAAGCGTCCTGGTCACTGGGCGTCTGGCAAGAACTGTCCTTCTGAGCCACAAACTTCTCTAAGAGGCCGTTAGATTTAACCATGCACGCTCGTTCCTGGTCCAGTTTGCCGTTGCTGTTGGATGAGTGGCCGTGGAGTGCAGCGTGCAGGGCTAAAGGTTTGCCGGTGGGTTTAACAGGCAGTGCAGAGCTGCTGGAGTGGCCTGAGGAGGACAGCCGTCCGTTGGAGCGCTCCTCTCTCCGACCACGTCCATGCATCTGAGGCTTCCCCTGACCCAGCCCTTCACCTGCATGTTCAGTAACATTGCCACTATTGTCCGGGCAGAGCGGCCCATTACCAGATTTGGAACTGGGATTTCCATTTCCAAGACTTGAGGATTTGGGCATTTTCAGCTTCAGAGTTATCCTCGGAGGAGGACGAAACAGCACGCTCTCTGCTGGAAATGAAGGAGGAAGGCCTGGTGACAAAGAAGGATGTGCAACACTCAGCTATGACTCAAATTTCACAACTAAATATTAGCACAAAGCAACAATATTATTGGAATCGATTGTTTGAATTCTAAATGTGTGCTTGTAGTTGACAACAGGTGGCTCACCAGCAGAGAGCTCTTGGTTCACCAGCTTCACGTGCAAGTTGAACATCTGCTCCTGGGCTTTACTCTGCAACAGCTTCAGCTTCTCCCGCCGACTCACCATGTAACACAAATTCCTCACCTGCACAATGAGGAAAATCAAACACTGTTCATTAAAAACAAGAACTACACTGCATGACTGAAGCTTTTCCTACTTCATGGCCATGCTTACTGTCTTTCATACATACTTTGCATGTGCAGAGCCTATGAAAGCATTCACCCTTGTGGACGATTACCAACAGAAATAATAATAATAGAAAGTTAATATGCAGCTATTCAGAAAAATCGTTAATTTAAGACATTTGTACATTTGAACATTTAACTAGTTCCAGCTTCTGCTGCTTTATCTGTCTAATAAACCACATATTTTGGGGTTTGGACTGTTGAAACAAGTAATTAGAAGACATCACCTTGGGCTTTAGGGAACCTTTTCACTGTTTTCTGACATTTTTACATTGGCAGGATAAATGAGCATGAAAGTAATTGATATTCATGGCCCTACATTAGGATTCACCTCTGACGTCAGAGGCAACAATTGTGTCTTTGTTGAGTAGTCAGGTCTATTTTAGCCCTACAGTTTTTACCTCCATTTTTCTTGACTTGACTCTGAACTGCAATTTTCAAGTCCTGCCACAGATTTTGCATTAGCTTGGAGACTGAACTCTTAATATTGTTGTTGTGTTGAAGCCATTTGTGTCACTTTGGCTTTATGTTTGGGGTTCTTGTCTCACTGTTTTTTTCCCTCTCACACATTTTTGCATCCATTTTACTCTTTACTTTCACATGTCTTCAAGAAGCCTGCTGCAATCTTTTTTTCTGCTGATGTGTGCAGATTGATTTGTGGAGATTTGATTTAAACTGTGATTCCATGTTATAAAACAAGCGAAAGAAAGAAACACTAAAGAAGGTAAATACTTACTAGACCGTTTATCTAGTTTTTTGTACGGTCAGCTCAGGAAATTCAATAACTTCCCAATCCAAACCTAGAATATACTTTTTAAATCATAGATCAATGCAGACTTTCTCAGTTATTATACAGCACGCAGTGTTGTGTTATGTGGGAGATTTCTAAAGATTAGCATATTTGTTTATATTCTGAAAATTAATACATGAAATATGTAATATAATGTGCTGTCTGACTCCTTATGAAGAATGCCCATTAAACAATATAAAATCAGGGTAACGAATAGTGGGCTGTTGTTCTGGACTTGCTCTGTAACCAAAAATAGCCAGACTCTGCACTAAAGACTGTAAGACTGCCGTATAAAAAAGCACCCACCCTCTCTAAATCCTGCCGCAGGTGCATGAACATCCGCATGCGTGTATGGATGCTGTCCTCCTGAGGCTGCAGCACCAGGTTCTCCTCCTCCTCTTTAGGGGGCAGCAGAGCTTTGTTAAAGTTAGCTTTCCTCTTCAGCTTCCAGTACTGATAGATGAAGTCTGCCAGGCGCTCGGACAGCTTGAGGTCCTGGGCCACCTCGTCCAGCTGGATTAGAGTGTAGAATTCCTCCTCCAGCTCCTGTAGTCTCTGCGCCCGCTGGCCCACCTTCTCCGCCTCAGCGGGGGGTTTAGAGCGAGCTGGGCTCAGGCCAGATTCCCCAGTTTTAGACTTGCTGTGCTTGAGGCAGAAAGACTTGAACTTGACCTCATCCCCTTCATCCAGGATAGTCTTCATCTCCAGGCTGTGCTCAAAGGCACATGTCACATGGAAAGGAGTGGTGCAGTTCTTTACCGAGCACTGTGAGGTGGCGGGGGCGACAGGTTATTATGTTTACATGAACTAGAACTAAATTACAGAGAAGAGTAACATTTTAAAAATTACATATTTTGCAGAATCCCAATTTCCCCAGTAACTTGAGTTTACGTGATTAGTTTCATAACTGGATTACTGTCAGGATGGTTCTGTGGTAGACGTCAGAAAATATTTTATTAGACACATGGAAGGGCATTGAGGCATGCTTATTTGTCACCCTGATGAATTTACGAAGCACATTTAAGGAGCTTGACATTTTGGTAATTACACTTGATGAGAAGATTGCTACCAATCATCTCTGTGTGCTAAATATCAGCTACCCTGGCTCCGTCCAAAAACCAGCCAATCAACACCTCTAAAGCTCACTATTAAAAACAGGTTATATCTTGTTGGTTTATTAACTGTGGTTTTACATGGTGATTCTGTGCGGGACTATTTCCTGCTAAGCTAACTAGCTGCTGCTTCATGTTTAGCTTACAGAGATGAGAAAATAATCGTATTCACTATTAATATAAGTTTTGTTAGTTGCAAACCGCTGCTGGCTGTGCACAATCACAATGGGTGTGGTGTCTGTACAGAGAGCATAAAGTCATGCCATAATCATAAAATGAAAAGCGTTCATATAAAAGCGCTCACAGTGAGGAGGCAAATGAACACTCACCTGGATACATGCACCTGTCTTCAGTTTACACAGACTGCAGATGAGAGACCAGCGGCTGGGTGGGATGTGGGAGACTTTGGTGATTGGTTCCATCCGCTCAGGACAAGCGATGCTCACCTGCAGAAGAGGTAAGTGTACGGCATCGTGAGAGTTTGTGTAACATTTAGTGTAAAACACTATAAAGAGGCCAGGAGCAAAGCAGAGGGTGTACAGTATGTGTTTGTTTAAATGTACCTCTGGTATCCACAGGGCACAGCTCACGTGTGCCCACTTGGTGCCTGCACGTGTAGCCTTCATGGCACCGCCCTTCTTAGGACACAGAAGGCACTGGGGGTCGATGGCGAGGACACACGTCCTACACAGCCAGTTTCCAACAGGCACTTTGACTATACCATAACAGGCCTGTGAGGAGAGCAGCAGATTGGACCACTTTGTGACTGCTACTTAAAGTCAGAGTGTAAATGGCACATTTATTGTCAACACAATTTGAACAGATTCATTATAAATGAGGAGAAATTGTCAAATGTGTATCTTAAAATCAAATGCTGAGACAGAAAATTATGTTTTGCTGACAAATCCTTCTTTAAAAATGGGAAAAACATCCAATAAACTTCCAATACTGGCAGCTTTATACAAATGTATATATTTGAATACTAGCAGCAGAGCTCACCCTTAAGATGATTCAATATAGCGATATGAGCTAGGACAAAAACAAACGATTTAAATAACTTAAGTTGAGAATTGAATTGGAATTCTTGATTTGGAAATAAGCACTATGAATCAACGTTTTTACCTTTAATTTATCTGATAGTCACATGAGACATTAAATGTATATTGTAACTGGATAATCTCTGTACTTTTGTGTTGTGCAACATTTGCCTTCTAGGCCACGTCTCTCCTTCGAAAAACATTATTTACTAATGGCAGCAGAGTTGTCGCTAGTAACTGATCATTTTTACATCATCAAAATCAGCAGTGATAAGTTGTCTTTTAAATCATTCATCAATTGATCAACTACTGAACCGACAGTTTGCCTGTGTGATGAGAGGTGTACTCTGGTTTACCTGGTGCACACAGATGTTGCACTTGTCACAGAACACCATGTCGTTCCCTTCTTCACTGTCGGGGGAGCGGCACACATCGCAGATGACGTCCTCGTCGTACTCAATCCCCAGGCCTTCCACCGTATCGATGGCATGGTTCATGTTGTCATGGCACTGCCTCTCCAGGGCCTCCATGGTGCGCTCCATTGTCAGCTCGTCTATGGGCTCCTCCCCTAGGAGACAAAACCCCACATGGTCACAGAAACCCCAGCAGACCGCTGCAACATCATGAGTCCAAATCTTAATGCTCTTATTTCCAGCTTAGGGAGACAGATGTCCATGTTCATAGATACTGTCCAACAAATTGCACAATGTGAATTTCATGGCGGATTATCCCCTGATGATCCTGTTCCTTACCCATGCGGTCAAGCTCTCTGTTGAGAGCGTGCAGCCAGTAGAGGTCCATGTCGTCCAGGTCGTAGCGACACATGGCCTCTGCCAGCTCTTTGATGTTGACATAACCTGGTTCTGTTGACTCCTGGCTCAAGCACTGGATGTACTTCCTCTGGTGGGTGTAGAGCACCTCCTTGGGCCTCTCTGCAATAGCTCTGAAGACAGAGGACACGATCAGAATCTGTCAGCGGAGTAGCACATTCAGACTTCTTTGTCCAGAGTCAGACCTCTGGGACGGTGTTACCTGACAGACGGCTCTGGGATGGTGTCTGGACTTGCCAGCACCTGGACTCCCTTCTCCCACTCCTGCTTCCAGGTGTCTGCCAGCAGGTAGTAGTCATCTGGGGACACATGGTGGGAGTCAGGCAGCTTCATGGCACTGATCAGGTCTTTTCTGAACACCTGCAGGAGAGGCCACGACACACAGTGAGTCACACACTGGTCCTCACGTTTAACAACACTCAGCACAGAGCCTGGCAGCAAGGAGGGACGGGAACTTACTTCAGCCGGTTTCTTCTGGTTGGAGGCGGGGGTTCCAGGTTTACTGCCATACTTGTTGGAGGAGCAGAAGGACGTAGAGGGACCTATATAAAGAAAGAGGGTGTGAATAAAAGAAGAACAGAGAAAATGAAACAGTCTGGTTTAGGTTATGGCATCCCACAGATGGAGGACTCACTCTCATTGTCAGAACTGTCGCTGCTGCTCGAGGACCTGAGACGTTTCATCCTGTAACATCCTGCAGAAGAAGAAAGAGCAGACATTGAAGCATTTAAGACTGTAGGAAGAAAGAGTATATTTTAAATCATTAACAAATTGAAACTTTTTTTAAATCCTTCTTCACTGGACCAGCAGAGATATGAACCAACAGTGTGCAAAGACAGAAGATAAGTTACTCACCATAAATTTCAAGTTGAAAAGCATGCTAGTAGATTTCTCTGAAACCCTTAAATTGCTTAATTTTGTGCCTGCAAAGAAGAAATATATGTCAACTCAACCAGTAAAATATGCCTGTGTAAATGAAAGATGTAAAGGAACAAAAAATGATTGTAACAATAGTTGGGTCTGAATTTGCTAAATATTACAAATCAAAACCTCTTTTTTGCATTTATTTTTGACTGTTTAAAATAAAGGAAAACTGCACAGACAGACAGCACAGGTTCACAGAGTGTGTCTTTAGTCTACTGAACCACTGGGGCGACTCATTAAAAGGTTTCTAAATACTGAGGGACTCAAACCCACAGTAGCCCCAAATACAGTACGCTGTTTCAACAGACAGGACATGCCTCACATTCCCCATGAGGACAGGAGGGGTAGGAGGGGAAAAGCATGAAGCCAATTCCGCTCCATACCATATTATGAGTAAAATACACTGATGCCAACTGCGTAGACAAATATACAAGCAGTTTGTTGCTGGTTAATGTCCAAAGTGGCTGAAGACATAATTCAGTGTGATCACAGTAACTTTCATGTCACTACTTGACCATCAGCAGTCGTTCCAGTATGTTTCTTGACTAAAACGCAGCGCTATTTTTAAGATGAAATCACTCAACACAAACACACCACAGTACACTGTGTGTTCACCTCCACAGCAGAGCCGGCTGACGCTGCACTCTAATCGTCTGGCATCTGTTACTGACATGAGTGTTTCCATTTCTGAATGAAACAGTTTGTGTGTTCAGTTCAGTCAATACTGATAAATAAGGATAAGTGATGAATAATGTGACGTTTGGCTTGTTCAAGCATAAAGCTACACTTCTGACTGGATCAAGATAAAAGAGATGGTACGCAGATCTGGATAAAGCTTACTGACAATTAACACTCAGACACGTATATAATATTATTACCCATTACTGCATGTTTCCATTCAGTGGTTTCAGTTCTGTTTTAGTATGACCTTTAAAAGTACTCCAGCAATGAAGCGACTAGTTGACCGACAAAAAAATGGATTGCCAACTCTTTTGTTAATCGATGCATTTTAAAACAAAAATACCAGACATTTACTGGTTCCAGCGTTGAGTTTTGGATTGTAAGTCGCACACAAGCAGCCTGAAGACGTCAGCTTTGACCTGGGAAATAGTGATGGTCAAGTTTTACTGTTTGACATTTTATGGACTTAAAAATGAATTGATGATAAAAGTAATTCTTAGTTGTAGCACAAATATCTCTCTTCATGTTTTATTTCAATATACTGTACATTTAGTTATTGTCGGATTACAAATGTGGACAAACTGAGTATGGGATCTTGTACCATCTACTACATCCAACAAGTAGTTTGTATAAAAAGTTAACAATGCCGCAGGAACAGGGAAAAAAGATCACCACAATTGGTGGTATAATTTCACTCCAGCCTTACCAACCAAGGCTGCACAATATAGTAAAAAAATAAATCATACTGCCATTAATACGATTGTTTGATGATTCACGATTAGTGGGAATGGTCATTTTTGCATCACAACTTAAAACTAAACTATTAAAATCCTGATGATGTGACATTTGTTGGGATCTGTAACAAACAAACATGTCTTCTTACATCTGAAGAACAATATTTGTAGTTCAGGGAATCTCTGCAGCTCTACAGTACTTCATTATGATGCTGTTCTGTCACATATTTTAGCTTCATCAAGAAATTGCAGCTTCTGCAGTTTGTATATAGCACAGATATCTGCATCCCTACTACTAATGTTAATTATATTAAAGCTTAGGAGCAGACACCTCCACTGAAGGAGTCACCAGAGGTCAGCACAAAGAGCCACTTTAATGCCCCCCTGCTATCTCCACACACACACACACACACACACACACACAGTAAACTGGCTATGGATGCGCACGGATATGACATCACACTGTGAAGAGACCCCGATATATGTGAGTGACAGGACACAACGACCGCCGCCTTGTTTACATGTCTTTCCTCATACATTGTGCTGTCCTAACTGTACCAATGTGCTAACTGAGACTGCACTGGGCTACAAGGGAACTGTGTGCTCTCAGAAGAATAAACCCGTAAATAACAGAGAGCCTGCCCTGCCCAAAGAGCCTGGTTGGCGCCAAACACACACGCGCGCGCGCACACACACACACACACACACGCACACACACACACACACATACGCACACAACACACACGCGCGCGCACAGGCCTGTAGCGGGCTGCACTGCAGGCTGTGGAGAAATCAAACATGGGCGCCACCATCATACAAAGATGTCACTTCCTAGAGCCATTAAGACGACTATTCACACAGCTGAACCGGGTTTACTGTTCACTGCAGGGGACAGCGAGGAGTCACACACACGGCTGCCCCACAGTCGCCAACATGAATGTGGTAAAGGAGCCGAAAGAGTCCTGGAGAGGCAGAAAAGGAGCAGGCCCCGTGGCCTGGATAGCCCATCCAGGGCAAATCCTGGCACACCGAGCCCCACTGAACACACGAGCATATTGTTCACATTCCTCCCCTCTTACCTCCGGTCGGCGCTCTGCTTCCCGCTACACTCCACTTCTCCGTCCACACTAAACTTCCAGCACACACCGATAAAAACAGAGGCTCCGGTTCTCGCTGTAGATTAAATGGAGTTTTTTTTTTTTTCTGTATCCCACCAGTGGGAATCTCCAGGGTTGCAATCTGTCCACCACCACGGACGGCACAACAGCTCTATTGTACCGCGCGTCCCGCCGGGTCCTAAACCCCGCCGCTTTCCCTCCAGCCTCGGTGCGCTCGATTTGCCTCCTGGCGTTGACCTCCATTCATACACCACAACACGGTTCTCAATAATGATAACGCATTGATATTAAATAACCAGCCAGCTACCAGTGTGCTGTCAGATATTCTACAGCTTTAATGGGACTCTGCCATCGTTATAAAGACAGGTGTCGTTCAAGAGTAGAAACAACAAATTACAGACAAATGTGCATTCATAAAGACAAATTGTTCTACAAAAACTGGATGCTCAAGTACAAAAGGTTTACAAATACAAAAGTACATCACAATTCCCTATGGATTATTTGACTTAAAGGCAACTGTACAAACCAGTTTGATATATCAGGCTATATTTAACTTTAACTAAATCTGTAATGTGTCTCATGTCATCACTGATAAATGAATAAAGGACGGGCCCCCACACAGACTGGGTGAGGTCAAGCTGTTAGCCATTGACAGGAACTATCAATAGTGAGTCAAATGATTAAAATGCTGTGTGGAAGTCAAATAGCTGAAGTGAAAGCTGCAAACTGTCACAGAGGAAGATTTGAACCCATGCTTTAGACAATCACTGGAATAATAAAACATCTAGTTGGATGGAGATATTCATAACCTTTTAGCAGCTTAAGACAAAATACACACAGTCAGAAAGGAGTATTTTACATTTACAACTAGTTCACAAATGTTAAATTGCTCAAATAAAACTTAAGGAGTTCTTTATTTTTTAAAAAGGACACTATTATCAGGTTTCAAACAGAATGTTCGTTGTATAATATAATCTTTTTCTTTTGTAAATGTCAACTGAGTGGCTTTGCGCTGATGATAGTGAGCAGAACTAAAAGTACACCAACTCAGGAGGACGGATTATTAACGATATTGTGATTATAGACTGTTGTTACCTGCACTGGCTCACGTCTGTCACCATATAACCAAGATCACAGTAACACACTGCTTTGTTTCAGTCATCTCGCTTGTGAAAAGCCTGCTAACAAAATGAAGTCACGTGTAATGAAACTTTTACTAAAAATTATAATAAAGAACATGAATTTGTCTATACAAAAACATTCAGTAGAGTATAAAACAAATATTACAAATTTAAAAAAATGATCACATGAGTTGCCTACATCTAAAACCCAGCAAGTGTTTACACTACTTAATGTAAACAGATCAGTTAATCTGGATTAACAGCAAGATACACTTTCACAACTGAACTTTGGCCTAACAGATATCAATAAAGATGTAGTTATGGTCTACACAGCATGTCTCAAATATACAAGTTTTAAACAAGTCCATTATCTAAACCACATACACAAATAAATCCTCATAAGAAATAAAAAATATGATTTTTATATATATATATAAAATATTCTCCCTCAGGCATTCTTGTGCTCATGGTTTTTTCACTGCAACGACGGTTTCAGACAGAAAAGAAAAACAAAGCTTTAAATAAAAATGAAATACATTGACAGCAAAGAGCTACATTCACAATTGATGAAAGCAACAGAATTTACAAATACATTCATAGAAATATAAATATTCACAGCACTCTTAGCAACTAGTGGATGTTAAGTAGTTTACAGCAAATGTTTTGGGATTTTAGTCTGCAGACTGCATGGTTGATAAACTGTTTAATCCAAGGCCTTATCAAGTACAGTCCTTAATAGTTTTGTTTCCTACCTAAATTTTAAGGGCGAAAACAGGCAAATAATCAAACGCTACTCATATTCAAACTGAGCTGTACGGCGGGGAATTAAGGAAATCAGATTCCATGTCTGACAAGCACTTTATACCCATTCACAAGCCCATCTGCATGTCAGCGAAGTTGAAGAAGCTGTCCACATCTCGAGAGGATGTATTCTTGTTATCAGAGACGAAAATCTGTTGAATAAAAAAAAAAAAATCGTTTTGCTAGGTGTTTTGCTAGAAATAGAGAAGTGATCTGTATCAAACTAGAAAAGGCCACAACTACAGTGAAATTACCTTGGTCCCACTGAACACTTCATGAGCGATGTTCTTGCAGGCTTCCACAACTCCGTCACCGTTCAGCTCGAGGGCAATGACAGGACCTTTAGGAGTAACACATGAAAGTCAACCTACAGTACAACAGCAGTTCTAACTAGAGATGTCCCGACCCCATTACCAAACACCAGGTCCAAATTCAGGGCTAATAAATTACATACAATATTGGACTGGGGGGGACAGACATACACCATGTTAGGCAGTGTCGGAGGAATTTACAATACTGACATCGGTATCATAACAGTCCGAACTACATTGGTAATTTCCAACATACAACTGCTGTACACTACAGCTAAACACAGGTTTCCTTCAATGCAAAATGTTGTTACACAATTTGGTTATAAGACAGTAGTGCTTTCTACTGAAACAGAGATCCTGACACATTCTGATATTGACAACCAAATTTGAGTGCTGATTCAGTTGATTTCTGGGTTCCAGTTTGGCACTGGGAAACTAGCAGTCAGCAATGTTGTCATAATAAAATCATATTAACATGTTGACCAAGTAATTTTTTTAGCTTCTGAAAAATAGCATGAAGTCTGAGAGGGAGTAAAGTGTCTTTTAAGCATTTGGGTGGAAGAGGGAATCCAAAAGAAACAGCTGAGTTTTTGATATGAGAGCTAGAAAACACTACAAACAGACCCTCTTTGACATTTTAAAACACACAGTGCTTGTTTCACTCTGCTCTGCTATAGTATCAACACAACCTAATACCCTCATAACTGTAAATGCAAATGAGCCTGTGTAACTATAGGTTTGTCAGATAAGATCTAAAAAACCTTGCTGAGTTCCTGAGTTGCTGATATTTTGGAAATATTTTAGAGCCGAAACAACAAAGCAAAAAAGAAAACTACCTTTGGTGATCCACTCCACGAGATCCTCTGCACTGTTCTGAAACACTCTCTTCACGTCTTCAGGTCGCATCGACACTTCCTTAGTCTGGATCAGCACGAAACCTTTAGCTGTTGCCTGTGAAAATGAGATGGAAAAAGTTACACAATAAAAAAAAGGTTTGCAGCAAACCACAAACTACTTAACAAATCCTCCACACACACACACACACACACAGATAAACTGTAAAGAGTCTTCCGGTCTCATGCTTATGTGATAGAGTAATACATATTTTGGTAACAGCACAAACATAACTGGAATGCTTAAGTAACAATACAGCCAGCTTAGCATGGTGGCTTAGCATTTCAGATAAAGTTCAAAGTCAGCTAAACAAAAGAGCATAAAACAAAATTGGAATAGAGATACTAAGGATGTAAAAAGATTAGTAAATGGAATATGTAAGAATCCCATAAAGCAATGCTTTATCACTAGAGGTGGAACTGCCTCAAAGGGAGAAGTCAACATTTTAAACTCCAAGTTATATATATTCAGAAGAAATAATAGTAAGAGTATAAGCTTTGGTCCCGATGCAGCTCAGCTCATTTGGCTGATAACCAGCTTCAGATTACTGCAAAGAATGGCAGAAGCTAAAGCTTGAGTTCCTCAATGTTTAACCTTATTTAGTATATTCTTTGTTAAACTTCTGCTCCTTTTATAAAATGGGGCAGGCAGTGATAGTTAACACTGGGTTTGCTTTTTCTTGCAACTAATTCTGCATCCTTTTAAAGCAAACTGACTGCACCCAAACAGTGTATGATCAATAAATAAGATATGATACATCATTACCACCACCATCTTTCCATTCCCATCATAAAAAATATTTTTGAAACTAAGTGACCTCATGCTGTCGTCCTTTTAATTCCCCTCACCTCATCAATCATTTTGCGGGCGTTTGCAGTGGTGTACTCTCCAGCGAAGAAAACAAAGAGGCAGGACTCTTCACTGTCCTTGCGTCTCCCTCCCTTTGTCAAAGGCACAATGCTGCGTGAAGGGTCAGAGGAGATTCGAACAGACTTGAATTCAGACTCGGAGTCTGGGGCCGGTACAAAATCCAGAACCGCTGAAGCCTCTGGCAACAAGCTCCAGTTGTTCTCTCCAGACACTGGTGTGAAGTCATGGATGTTGCTCCAGTTGTTGTTGAATATGCTGAGCCCGGCGTCCTTGAAGTGGAACGCCAACTCGGGGTAGTAGTACTGAAAGCAGCCAAACTTCATACCCGTAGATGACTCAATGATGGGCTGAGTGGCGCAGCACAAGAACACATCCATCTTTTTACAGTCCCGTGTGCGAAACTGCTGACAGGCCACCACGCACTTGATGTCTTTACAGTCTCTGAAAAACACACTGCCCTTGACAGGTCCTAGAACAATGCGGCAGTTGACGCAGTCGTCGATGGTGATAGTCGCAGAGTGGTCGAACACGTAGATGTTGCAGTTCTCACACTCTTGGATGACAAACTGTTGCCCGTTCAGTTTGCCAGACAGGCGGCCCACCGTGACATCTTTGAGCCCTGTCAGCATGTAGTCTTTCGGATCAACCTGTGCAAAGAGAAAGGTGACTGGATGAGTATTCAAACATATTTAGAGATGCACCAAACTACTTCTTATGAACCCCACTAGTATCTAATATATTTTAACTCCCACCATCAAATAACAAAACTGATATGTCTGTAAGAGCCTAACATTGATGTAGACCTTTTAGACATGCTTATACCAATTATGCAATGGTATCTATATTTAATGTCCCACTAGCATTAGTTGTTGTAGATTTGCATGCATGAAGGAAATGTATAACTTTACTTGTTGTTTACTTTTAGGTGTGTACCTACTTTCAGACTCTACAACCGGATACTGCGTGTTGTGTGTTATTTGGTCTACTAAATTTAGTGAAACATCCCATGAGTCAAAACGGAAGTTGAACCACCACTTGGCTAACGCCTGTAATCTCTGAACAAGTTAAATGCGGCCAGTCGTGTAACAGTGAACTACACGGTGTTGTAATCCTATAATGAGATAACGCTGGATGCATTTAGTGACAGAGAGAAAGAGAGGATGAGGCTGTGAACCTAAAACCCGACTGTTTTCAACGTATAAAGAGCACTGCATGCATCCTGGGTACTTAGGTAACATGTAAAGCTGAATATTTAACGACTGTGTTACAGGATAAATGGCTGCTGCGCAATGAATCTCAGCAAGTAAACAGTGCAGGTTTACCTGGCTGTGCGGCTGTAGCACTCAGGAAATCAGGTTAGAAATACAAATATCCACATAAGGTAACGTTACTGGTTGGTACAACAGGGTCACTGACACACACACACACACACACAGACAGACACACACAGACACACACACACAGACACACACACACACACACACACACAGACACACACAGACACACACACACACACACACGCACACACACACACACACACACACACAGACAGACACACACAGACACACACAGACACACACACACACACACACACACACACACACACACAGAGACACACACACACAGAGACACAGACACACAGACACACGTCAATGTAGCTAGCTGCACCTCTTGGAGAACAGTAACGTGAGCTAAAATAAGAATAAAGCGTTTTTAGCAGTCAGGTTTCGCTAACGTTAGTTAAGAGTTTATTTTATTGTATCACTTTACGAGTCCTCTGCGTTACGTTACCTTTTCTCTCTTATCCCAGCTGTACTGCTTCGGTGCCTCGTCGGTGTTGTTGCCAAGGGGAACCGCGTTGCTTGTCGTCGTAGTTTCGACAGTCGTCGTTGTCGGCGTTAGATCCTCTTTCTCGGAGGACTTTCTTTTGGATTTTTTCGAGAAGAAGCAGCCCATTTTGGTCTCTCAGTTGCGACTAGATAAGACCAATTTTCCAACCGCAGCGTTAGTCTGAAGAACACGAGAAAATGTGCGGCAGAAGCTTACGTCCACTTTAGTTGACAAGATTTTTTTTTTTTTAGCTTCCTGTTTCCCAGCTGCGTTTCGCAACCAATCGGTACCGTGGTAGTCGTTACAACAGCCAATCACAGGCCTGGATAGAGTTACGGGATCACGTGGAGGAGGTGTGCACTCATGAGGCGTTCGTGGTACAATTATAAAAGAGACTTCCGTAACCAGATTTTATTTAAAACATATTTTATTGCGTGTTAATGTACATAAAATCCAATTTCACAGACGTACAAAATATTTTTTACAAGTCTAATTTAGTACGCCACGTTTTGTATGGCGTATATAAACACATAATAGCTGCTATTCTGAAATAGATAATATAATATAGTGTTTTTATACATGATTCTATTAATTCATTCTCTGTGTTTTTCTGTGGCAAAATACAGTTACACGTCGCCAATCATGAATACTCTCAAATTAGATTGACGTCGCCACTTTCATCAATGGTCAGTGAGGCAGCAGGCCCAGGCAAAATCAAAAACCTTTGAATTTACCAGAGTACCTCAACGCACCGTCATCTCCACATTGGGCACACCTCTCCGGGTGTTGTCTTTACCACAAAACGCAGCTTATATAAAATTACTAGCTCATATAAAAAAAACCGTATATAAATAGTAATATCATGCGATGAAATAAAACGAGTGAACGGAGTCCAGGATCAATGCGCTTTCTACACACCAGCCAGGTTTGTGTATGTATTTGCAGTGTATAAGTGTGAGCTGTAAAAAGAACACACTCATGCACAAACAACATGTAACCATGTCCAACCAGACATCAGATAAGCTTGCAATTTAAGCCACTAGGCCACTCTAATAATAGGTAATCCCCGCATTATGCCCGTTGTAAGAGATGCTCTGAAGTCTTACCTCTCTGTACATCCCCTTTCTATTCTGTGAAACCGCATGACCATTGAGTGACTGATATAGTGTTCAAATACAAAGTACCTCTGCAGTAGGCTGGGTATGGTAAAGGCCCTGTTAATGGAGCATCAGAGTGGGCTGTGACATTTCCTACTGTGTCACACATTAGAGTTATTTATGGGTGAGAAAGCAAAATACAGCACTGATAAAATCTGAACTGAAATCGTTGCTGAGGTAGGAAAAACAAGCTTGAAGACTTCCTTTACCCCTAACAACAGCTGGTTTTGCCAGTAACAGTGCAGACAAATGCTATGCTAAAACACCATCTGATGCATGTGGTGCACTGATTAGCTTCTAAATGAAATGTATTTTGAGGTGCTACTATTGTATCCGTTTTAAAATTCATTTCAAGATATTCACAGTCTTTTCACAGCCACAGTGCTTTCTTCCTCACAGGTGCAGCAGTTATGCCTGCAGTGGACCTCACTGGGAAAATATATGGCAGTGGAGCAGTCCATATATCAGTGTGAAACCAGCAATATATCTGTTATAGCTCATGATAGCTCAAGGGATGGCTGGATTAACCAGTTAATTGGCCCTGGGGCTGTTGGGCGCACACACACACACACACACACACACACACACACACACACACACACACACACACACACACACACAGACACACTCCCATTACCACTATGAATCCAGTCACCTCCAAGTTATATAATGAAGTCAGTCATTAATAAATACAACTTTATTCAAGATATACACAATGTGAGTACAGTATAAACTAAAACTGTCAAACTGGTATTTTTTGGGTCACTTGGGAGCAGTGCAACAAGCTGACATATGGCCTTATAGAGTGGCTCATGTGTTAGCAGAGGGTTGTCTATTTACACATCCAGTGTTTCTTTCTGCCTGAGAAATATGTTTTTGGTCTCCACCAACCCCTGAGGGAAATATCTGACCCCTCTGGTTGCCAAATCCTCCACTACATACCTTGGCAAGTTGCTAACGTTGTCTACAGCGGCTTTACCAGAACATTGCCACTGAAAACAGCTGCCTGTGTTTGGGTAAGAGTTTGGTGAGGGTGGCCAGTGTGAAAGAAAACTGTAAAGTTGCAGCCATTAAACCAAAAGTATGAGCTGAAAGGAGCTAAAACGCTCTATATAACTACAGGAACTGCAGAGTCAGATATTAATTATCTGTGGGTCCATCACGTCAAGCATTACACATGACCTTTTGATCCATTGTTAATATAAAAATACCGACTAGTGCAGCCTTAAAGTCTTAGGGACCACAGAAATGGGCCCCCCTAAAAGATATTGCTCTAGTTCCCTCCCTCCCTCCTCCCCTCCAGCTGTGGCTCCCTGATATCATCCCACCTCCCACCCCTCCACTACCACTACAAAGGCCACCTTAACAAGAGCGGATATTTGCTTCTACTCTCCATGTAACAGGCTGACTTTTAACATCCAAGCCGAGGCCATGTGAATTTCCTGTTTTGATGAAGCACCAAACTGCGTGTTCATCACAATCCCAGCACAGTGACTCAGTACAGCTTGAAATCAGCCGACTTTGAGGCTGCCTGGGAGACGGTGTGATCTGGTCTCCTCCACAAGGGCAGCGCAGTCTCACTCCGGAGCGGCTTCGTCGACCTTTTTTCTCATCGCGCAGTGTACCTTTAAAAGGTTGAACTCGCCGGTCTACGAACACTGGATTGTTTTCCCACTCGACTCAGCTGTGCGTAGCTTCCAGCAGTGACATGGCATAGAGGCGGTGTGCTGTGAGCAGCAGCAGCAGCGGCATCCTGCACCATGGACGCTCTCCGACGGCCGAAGCGGAGCGCAGTGTTCGCGGCGCTGGACACGATGCTGCCCGTGTGGATATTACTGAACGCGGTGTCGGGACTGAAGGCGGAGGACGACGGTATGGAAGAACTTGCCACCGAGAAGGAGGCTGAGGAAAGTCACCGACAGGACAGCGTTAATTTGCTGACATTCATTTTACTGCTGACCTTAACGATTCTCACCATATGGCTCTTCAAGCACAGACGGGTCCGCTTCCTTCACGAAACCGGACTGGCAATGATTTACGGTGAGGCTTATAGGATTATATGTTGAATGTACAAACACACACACACACACACATACTCACTCTCTCTCTCTCTCTCTCTCTCTCTCTCTCTCTCTCTCTCTCTCTCTCTCTCTCTCTCTCTCTCTCTCTCTCTCTCTCTATCACACACACACACACACTCCTTCATTACCACCACCACCACCTCCCCGCAGGCTTTGCATGATTCAGTCTCCCTGGTGGTTGTGCGGCGGCTGCTCAGAGGCGATGGGGAAGATAAAGATGAAGATACAGAATCTGGTTTAAGTCTGAACAAATGCACTGACGCGCCTCCGCATTTCCACCAGCTCACATTGCTCCTAATTGGCTGGGCCAGGGCTAATTTCTAGAAGGTGCTGTCTGCTGCTCAGCCTCGTCTTAAACTCTCCACTAGGCTGCTGTTATGCAGCTTCATCCCTGACTGACTGGGAATCAGCAGCCTGACATATCCGAGGGCACTTATACAATGTCTGTGGTGTAATAAATCAGATTACATTGACCTTGATGTATAATGTATTGATTTAGCTCCCAAGATACCATCTAGCATCTTTCAAGCTTTCAAAGAAGAAACGATGGGATACATGATAGAAAATGCTTCATAGCCTAACTGAGAATGCTCAGTTGGGGAATCAACAGGGATCAATCTGCTCTCCCAGCAGCACAGACAGATACATTTGAGAGAAGAAACTCTAGATTTCACTTTTTTCTTTATCGTCTGACTATATGATACAGATAAATAAATAACGTGACCACTGCCACAATGTGTGTGTGTGTGTGTGTGTGTAATGTCTTTCAGTAGTAATGTCTCAGAGCACAGCTGGCCACAACATCTGTATGTTGTTTTTCTTCATAGCTTATCAGAGTGATTCCAGTCAGTCAGTGCTACAAATGTCACTGATTAACCCGAGTTCTCATATGAAAAAGACAGACTTTGATTCGTTTTTAAATGCTAGGAAAGTAAACTGCTAAAGTGCTTTGGCTGTTTTTGTAGTTTCAATTTCCAGCTTCACAAATATGGGCCATGTCCTTGTAGTGGGTCAAAAACAGAAACTGACAGTAATATTATACCTCAGATTTACTATTTGCAGAGGTGGGAACGGATAATGAACACAATGGATTATATGTGCACATACCTAATGTGTTACATGCATAATAAACATGTGGGATTAGTATCTTGAACTAATATCATTATCTCTCTCAAGCCGTCAGAACCCCACACTTTTACAAACATTATTTTGGTGGATTCAGTTTGATAAGATGTAATGATGTTAGATCACACTGTTTGTATTTTTTGGACTGTCACAAGGATAAAAGTGCCACCAAGCGTAAACCTTGTCACAGTATTGATTTGCTGTATAAAGAGCAGACTCTACAGAAAACCTGGTGTTTTCAGTTGGTATGTTCACTTGCTCACTTTGGCACGGCAATCAAGACAAATCAATGATTCGGAATATGTTGTCAGAAGTTGTTGGTGTCCATTTAAAGAAAGAACATGATGCATTACTCCCTAATCCGAAAACATGGAACTTCCCCTAGCTGGAAAAAACCTAACATTTGCCAACTCAAGCCAAAACTTAACTGTCATTTGAGTATATTTTGCAAGAAAAGAACAGGCGGTTTAATTCTCAGTGATTATTCAAAGGCAACAACCCTGTTGCAAAACTGCTACTGTGTGTGTGTGTGTGTGTGTGTGTGTGTGTGTGTGTGTGTGTGTGTGTGGTTAGGCCAAAGCCAGAGTGTGATGTACGAGGTTAACCGTCTGCTAAGGGTGAGCGCAGTGCTGGCAGCATTGCTTTGCCATGTCTCCTGCAGATAACTGCTGTCTGATCAGAGGATTTATGTTCTCTAACTGCCGGCCTCATTCCTTTCTTCCTTTCTTCCTGGCTTCAGCTCTCCCCACAAGCTTCTGCTCACCATCTCCTCATTTTTCTTCCGTCGCTCCGCTGCTCTCGGTGTGTCACTGTCTGATACTGGGGGCTTGTGAAACAGAAGCACCTGGAACATTATCTAGCACTGAGCAATTCACTGGATGAGTTTGATTTTGGTGCCATTTATTTTTGGATAATAGTCGACCTTTGCCTTAGATTCATTAACTGAGTAACTGAAAGAGCTACACCCATGAATAACAAATGTCTAAACCTGTAAATTACACATGCACTTGTTTGTCTTCCTGTCATCTTTTTCTCCTCTTATTCCTACAGGCCTGCTGGTTGGTGTGATTCTGCGGTACGGCATCCCTGCCACCAGCTACCACAACAAGACACCCCCAAGCTGCTCGCTGAAGGAAGGACCTGTCAGCACCCTGCTGCTTAATGTCAGTGGCAAGTTCTTTGAGTACACCCTCAAAGGGGAGATCAACTCCAGAGAGATTCACAATGTGGAGCAGAACGATATGCTGCGCAAGGTAACAGTTAGAAAATAAACATCAATTCTTCATTTGCCATTTTTACCCTGTTAACCCTTTTTAAACGTATCATCTTTTCCAGGTGACATTTGACCCTGAAGTATTCTTCAACATATTGCTGCCTCCAATTATTTTCCATGCTGGGTACAGTCTAAAGAAGGTGAGGTTTACATTTGTGACTGTTTTAAGAGCTGAATTTGTATGATGCACCGTAATGTGAGCCAGGTGGTCGTATGTGCTGCCACAAACTGCTGTCTCATTGGACAGATGGTTAGCTAAGAAAAACTCTCATTGGCCACACCGAGAGCATTCTGTGTTTGCTGAACATAAGTGGTCCTTTCAGGGGAAGTCCAGAGCAGATGTCTTTCGTTTCCTCTCTGGCGTTTACGGTGGCAAATAGAAAACGGCTGACGCTGACAATATAAGTAGTTTCTGCTTTTATTTGTTGTAGAGCAACAGATTTGTTTTACTTAGAGAATCCTGTGGTGGCTCTGTGCTTTTGAATTATTAATCTATGACCATATTTACTGGTCTGAGAACTTCAGCTATGGCAGGTGTTGCTTTCTGTGTATGAGAATTGTGGGTTGTCTGTGCTTCAGTGAGCCGACCTTGAAATAATGGAGAGTGAAATGTGTTTAAACAACTGGTGACATCTGATCTATGTTCTCATCGTGTGGGTGCACCTTTTCCAATTACAGTGATAGATGATATCAAGGAGAAGTCAGATTAATGAGGGGAAATGTCCTTGTGCTTTGCTACAATGCAGAGCATATATAGGATCTGACCATGGGTTATAGTGAGCCATGCTAGCAGCGTGGCTTTATGGATGGCAGTGTCGGTCTATGGGTTTACCTCTTTGGTCCAGATGGAAATAGCTCAGCAACTACTGGATGGGTGATGATATTTTCTGCAGATATTCATGCTCTCCAGAGGATAATGACATTGGTGATCCCCTGACTTGTGTTTTTGTACCTTTTTAGAATGAGCCTTTTTTTATCTCCAGACACCGCGGGTTGCCTTCCATTGAGTCTGCCATGTTTCTACAGTGGCCTCGAACGGACAAACTCAACACTGGCTGTTGATAGAGCCTTTTGTGTTTTTCGCAGCCACCGTAGTTTCTCCTACACATTTCACAGTCCGTTGTCATTCCCAAGTTGTCAAATGAAGATGCGAGCAGTGTTCAGTTAGTTGCATCTGCAACTTCACCGCTAGATGGCATAAAATCCTGCACACTTGTCCTTTAACAATAGCATATTAGCAGTGTCATCGTGAGCATGCTAGCATGCTAAAGTTGGCATCTAGCTCAAAGAAGTACGTCCTGATAGAATCCATAGATTTTAGGCCTTCGTCTTGTTTGTGTCCCAAATCCATACTACATACTGATTGTACAGTACACACTACACACATTGTCACAGTACTACTACAAATACTGTTTTAGCAGTTAGTATACAAAAATCAACATACCCTTATTAATATTTAAAAGTTTCTGCAAAGGTGTGTATTGACAGACATTTGTGTTTTCCTGGGGAAACTTTAATTCGGCTCCCGGCCACATTTCAAGATGGAATTTGCTGATTCAAACATCAGACCTCGGGAAATAGGAAGCAGGAGGTCATGTTAGTCTGTTTTTTTCAAATACTTTTTTCTTTAAATCATCATCTGTTGCAGTGGGAGTTCATTTGAAGCACAATGTTAACAGCTTTAGAGAGAAACAGAGAAAGATTCAGTGTGTGGCTCTGAAGTTTGACTCTCTCTTTGGTCGTCAACTTGTCCATTAATCATCCGCTTCAGATCACTGCAGGAAAACATACAGTGTTTGTAAGTGATGTGCAAATGTTGGCGTAAGGATCTGTGCTGCCAAAGCAGATTCCATATATATCTTGAGCATAAACACCACAGTATTTCTTTTTCCTTTCTGTTTGATTCTTTTCTGTTTTATTTCACAAAGATCACTCCTGACAGTCTCTCAGGAAAAGGCACATTTCCTGGTGCAATCTGCATCAGCATTTTTGTTTCTTACTGGCTGCAGAGAGAGTTGTGGGGAGCTCGGTTATGAAATGGATCTGAAAAGGCATTTTTGTTGTGCTGCTTGTTTGTTTTACAACCAGTCAAACAGCTGAATCTGTGTTTGTGTTTCTAGTCATGTTTGACAGGGAGTTACCCACCCGTGGCCGTTACTGACCTGAAGCTTTTTTTAAAAATCCTTCAGTGTTAAAAGACATTTGACTTGTAATAGGAAATATATGTTATATATTATGGATATATGTTCAGTGTGAGAATGCACAGTTTCTGAGTATGGAACACCAATAAGCTAACTGTGCACACGTTTTTACGTTTCCTTGCTCTTCTTTTCCTTTCCTTGTCTTATTCTCCCTTTCCCTTTTCCAGAGACACTTCTTCAGGAACCTGGGCTCCATCATAACCTATGCGTTCCTTGGCACTGCCATCTCATGCTTTGTCATTGGGTGAGCGTTGGCCTTCCTTTCATTAAATGTCGGTTTAAAATCAGGAACTTTACATCCTGCTGTTGTGTGTTTTTGTTCTCCTCTCACCTGGATGTCTATCTTCAGAAATCTAATGTACGGTGTCGTCAAACTGATGCAAGTGGTCGGACAGCTGACGGACAAGTTCTACTACACTGACTGCCTTTTCTTTGGTGCCATCATCTCTGCCACAGACCCAGGTAGGACACATGCACATGCCGATCAGGATAACGTGATGCAGTTTGTGGCTGATGATGTTGATTGAATCTTTTCCCCTGTGTGTAGTGACAGTGCTGGCCATCTTTAATGAGCTCCATGCAGACGGGGATCTCTATGCTCTGCTGTTCGGGGAAAGTGTTATGAATGACGCAGTGGCCATTGTGCTTTCATCGTAAGTCAAATGTCTGCCTTAACAGAAATCTGCAAAGTCAATACTTTCCTTCCTTCTGCACCAGAGAAAGGTCTCTGTCTCTGCATCCTTTTTGAGATTTCTTTCCCTCCTGATATTGAAATTCAACACTGAAGTGTGAGACAGAGCAACACTTCTTTGCATCACTTCCTCTCCTGACAGACAGACAGCACTCTGCCTCCCTCTACTGGAAGATTAAAATCAGAGTTTTTTTCTGACTAGTTATTTTATTAAATTTTTCCAGACATGTAATCAAATAAACAAATTACGGACACAAAGACCAATTATAACCAATTCAAAACATGATTATGAAATTGGTAAATTTATGAAAAATCTGTGCCACACCATGTTTTTTTTATATTTCAGGTCTATTGTGGCCTACCAGCCCAGTGGAGCGAACACACACATGTTTGATGCCTCTGCCTTTTTCAAGTCAGTGGGAGTTTTCCTGGGTATTTTCAGCGGTTCCTTTTTGATGGGTGCAGCCACAGGAGTTGTCACCGCTCTCATATCCTTATTCTAACACCTACTGTGAAATGGAAACATGAAGTCTAAGTTCCAGATAGATTTGAGTTTCTTGGGACAGTCGGCATGTTATAATTGTGATTAGCAAAGATCCAAAACAGTGTTGTGTCTTTAACTCAACTCCCACGTCACCAAGTTCACCAAGCTGCACTGTTTCCCGCTGCTGGAGACGGCCCTCTTCTTCCTCATGTCCTGGAGCACCTTCCTGCTTGCCGAAGCCTGCGGGTTCACAGGTGAGCTGTATAGGCACGAGGCAGACATACATTTATTTCATATCCAAAAGGGAGTGGTGGAAAGTGACAAAGTACAAATACTTCATTACTGCACTTAACTAGCTTTTGCCTAACCCTAACCCTAACCCTAACCCTTTTAATGCATTTGACTTTGATTTAAAAACATTTTTTGCATCATGGCATGCCTTCCCAACATCAAGACCACTATCATGCATGATAGATGAGAGAGAGCCTCCACTCAAAGTTTCAAGGAGCAGCTGGTAGAAAATGACCATGAAACCAAGAGAGCATTTCAGAGCCTCTGCCTTTTCAGATTTACCTGAGTAAAGAAGTTGAATTGGTACTTTTACTTTTACTGGAGTCTTTTTTACACAGGTATTTGTACTTCTAGTTGAGTAAAAGGTAACAAAATGGGAAATAATGTGGAGAAAAGGTGACTCAGACCATCATCAGCACAACTTTTCCACACAATAACAACTCAAATTGACCTTTTTTTTGTATCTAAAGAGCCTTTTCTAGTGATCTGTTAAACCAGTGATTAAGTATTGCATTCTATAAAGTTGGTAGACAGATTAAGAAAAGGGTGATCGAAATATATCTTTGCTTATTGTCCTTAGTCTGGGCCAATTTCCAAAAGCACTGGACCTATCATTTCCCATAATGCAACTCAAATGCTTCTTTCAGTAGACTTGCCCTGCCTATTAGGTTTTCTGTCAAAGAAATCATGTCTCAGAGTAATTCTTCTCTTGACTGGTAACTCAGTGTCCCTTTTTAAAAAGAAAATGTGGTCTTTCAAAAGAATCTTTCATCGTTAATATATTTTTAAAGGTTTTTCCAGAAAACGTATAACTAATTTCATGATCATTCACAAGTGCAGTTTATGTAGATAGAGCCTTTTAATTCAAAGCTCATTCACATTGTTGATTATGCTGAATAATGTAATTATGAGCTGTTTAAACTAAGCGCTGGTAAACCATCCTTAGAGAACTGAATCTGTCTGTTATACAAATGAAATGTGACAGGGACTTAAATACAGATTATGCAGCAGATGAAGTGCACAGATAATTCAGTAGCAAAGCTTTAAGAGGACTGACGAGCTAATGTTTGATTCTCATGTTTCTAAATAGGTGAATTGCTTTACATCCCGCTCTGTGTGTTTGAGTCACATCATTAAGGCTCATAAATGTATGTTTGATGTTGTCCTACAGGCGTCGTGGCCGTGCTGTTCTGTGGCATCACGCAGGCTCACTACACCTACAACAACCTCTCTGAGGAGTCCACAAAACGCACCAAGCAGGTAGCATCCAGCCACTGCCTGCACGCGCAGCCCCATTTATTTTGAACTGTTGTTTGAACCCCCCGATAGTATGAACAGGGTGCTCGGCCTCGCTGCCAGATGGCTCAGTGATCAGCCTGCTGTGACCTTAATCGGGGTTGTCTGAGGACATCCCTCCTGACATGACTGTTTAGTTTCGCAGAGGGGGTTCAGTCTTGAGGACAGGGTGCAGATTAGCATGTAGACAACACACAGTGTGACATTTTGGATCAGTATCAGTGTCTCTCAGGCTCTTGTTATTATGTTTGAAAGAAAGCTAGACATGCTTATTGCAAAGGTTCAAATACTTCACTTCAATTAAAACAGAACTTCCTCCTGCTCTTAATGTGCTGGCTTGCTTTTTAATGTGTCTATATGTCAGTGTGTGTTTGCCCTTGTCCTGTGCCTCCCTCTCAGAGCAACACAGATGCACTCAGCTCTGTAATCATCATGGCAGCCAGGCAGCCTGGGAGAGGGAAAAGGGAAAAAAAACAATTCCCAAAGCTTTTGTGGATTCTGAGGGAATACGTAGATGAGAGAACCAGGCAGAGGACTTTTTTAAAGCAGTGCCGTGTGGGAAACTTTTTGTGAAACAGTCTCACTAAACCTGAACATTTTAAGGCTCTTTTTGTGCATTTCTACTTTCTATTGTATTATTGCTGTGTTTTCATACACCTCTAAATTGAATTTATGATGAATCTTATATTTTTTCATGCAGCTCTTTGAGGTCCTTCACTTCCTGGCTGAGAATTTCATCTTCTCCTACATGGGTTTGGCTCTGTTCACCTTCCAGAATCACATTTTCAGCCCTATTTTCATCATCGGGGCTTTTGTATCCTTTTTGGGCACAACAAACACGTTCTTCTGTTTCCATTTGGGACTAACCCTCTTGTAGAAATACAATTGTTCCACAGCTGTAGAGTTGGATCATAGTTTTTTTTGTGCTATTTACATCCACAAAGACAATCAGATTGTTCTAAGAAAGAGTTTGCTGCTTTACCATAAAGTTCACTTTCAGGTATTAGTCTAGTCATGAATCTCTCAAGCATTAAATTGTTCAGTCAAAGACTTCCTGACCTGCCTGTCAGATTGCCATATTCATTGGAAGAGCATTCAACATTTACCCGCTGTCCTTCCTTCTCAACCTCGGCAGAAGGCACAAGATCAAGGGAAACTTCCAGCATATGATGATGTTTGCAGGTATTGAAAAGACACTGATTTATTTTCCTCATCAAGTCAGGCTAGATGTGATTTAGGGGTTTATTTATCTTTATTTTCATGATCAATTCACCTTTTTTTTTTGACCAACCGTTTAAAATCTATTCAAATATAAAGTCACTGTCATATATGACAAAGAAAAACAGCAAACTGTCAGCTGAGAAGTTGGAGAATGTTTTGAATGTTTAATAGATTATCAAAATAGTTGATTTTATGTCAGTTGACCAGCCAGTTGCAGCTCTAATGTTATTGGATGGTTTTTGGATGTGACCCTCTGCAGGTCTGCGTGGGGCAATGGCGTTCGCCTTGGCCATCCGGGACACAGCCACCTACGCCCGCCAGATGATGTTCACCACCACGCTGCTCATTGTCTTCTTCACTGTCTGGGTGTTTGGGGGTGGGACGACACCCATGCTGTCCTGGCTACACATCAGGTGCTGTAGAAGAAAATCTGCTTTAATGTTCAGCATCTCTGCTGCATTTGAATAAAACTTATTTACACCGTAAACCGCCCAAAAATACATAAAATTAAGGCATTACAATGTTTCTACCTGTTACTGAGTTTGACTGAGTTAGTACCCTGAACCTGTTATCTCACTTCACAGCTTCTGGGTTACTGCTCTCTGTCTTTGTAGGGCAGTTATATATTTGCTCTGTTTGTACTTGTTTAAAGCATTATTATTTGCTCCTGCGACACGTAATTCCTCTCCAGTTGACATTATTACATTTATCCTGTGCTGCCTGGTGGTATTGTCCAGGAGATGGGGCCAGAGTTCTCCACTGCTGCTCACTTTCTCCCATGTTCTTCCATCCAGAGCTTTCAGGTCACAGGCACTTTTGTTGAATCTTCGAAGAAATCTTGAAATGTTTCACTATAGGTTCTTCACTCTCAGGTTGATCACTTGAACGCTAACCCATGAAATCAGGATTGTTCCAGAGCCAGAGGTGATGCTGAGTCTACAGTTAGAACGTAGTAGGATTGTTGCGTTGGCTTTGGCACTTTGCTTGCTTTAGCTATCTGTCCGTCTGGAGCCCAATCTCACTCACTGTTGTCTGACCACGATGCAGTGGGAGCTTCTATTTGTCATGACAAAGCGGATTATAGGCTGGTAATGTGTGTGACAGAGGTGGCCTGAGTGAACAGGCTCTGTTTAATATGAGTAATGCCTCCTCGGTCCAAGCAGGAACTATTATGTTTGGTGGAGGTTTACAGCGCTGCCAAAATCTCCCCCATGAACTCATCGCCATGGTAACAGGGACATGTAGTGCATGGCAGGCGGATATAAGCTGTGCTCCGTGATCCTGGTATCATCCTCTGTATATGTGCATAAATTTACACATTTTTACTCTTTATGGGGGACTACTCCTGAGGAGACAGAGGACATTAAAAAAGATGACTGTTATTGAGTCGGATTTTCTATCCAGTTTTTAATTTAGTTACATTTGTTATTAGCTATTTTTTATGACAAAATCCTCAGGCAGTACTGTTGAGGCAGTGAGGCTGATGAGCAGGATGTGATGGAGGACTGGTGCTGGGAAAGCAAATGTCTGCTGTGACAGAAGACGCTGCTGGTTAATGTTATTGGGTTTTGATGGATGGTCTGTAAGCAGGCAGGCGTGCAGTTTATCACCAAGCCCCGGCCGTGCAGCCATCGAGAGGGAAAAAGATCTCTGTGCTCACGCTGGGGCACAGAAGAGCTACTTATCTGTCAACTCCAATGCTTAAAAGCATCAGTTTATTTCAGTGTAAGTTTTTTGATATAATGAGCATTTTGAGGAACAAATGCTGCAGTAGATTAGATTGATTTTGGTCAAACTTTACTGTATAAACTTGGAATGGTAGAATTTTAAAAAAAGAATCAAGAAGTGTGATTGCAGCTGAAAATGAGCTGTTAAAACATTTGAAATAGTTGAAGTCAAAGTGGTTTACAGAAATAGTGAAACAAGTTGGACTGGCTGTGCAGAAAGGAGTTGACAATGCAGTTGAAGTTCAATCACTGAGAGGAAATGAAATCAAGTCAAAGTGAAATAAAATGAACAGTGTTTGTAATCACAGATTCTATTTCTACTTCAAGCAATAAGAGATGAAAGCAGAGAGACTGTTATTAACATATACAGTAAGCGCTGAAAGCAGTTAAGTGGTCAGTTGAAGTGTTCCAGTCATTTCATCCAGTGTTTTTATTTTATTTTAGGCCTGAACATCTGCTCATCCTCTGTGCCAAGTCCGAGGATTAGTGCATGTCCCCAAAACAGAGGATCATATTTGGATGAGACTGTTGCCAAATTACTGTATTTAAAACACTGTGGTCACTGTTATCTACTTAAACTCTCTTTTATGTCCTTAGTCCCCCATTTAAGTAACACTGACTTGACTGTGACATGTCTCTTGATCCTCAAAAATATATGGATGATATGCTTTTATCTAATGTGTGAAAATATATAAACTTTGACAATTTCACACCAAAAAAAGACAATTTTGATTCTTGAGAAATAACATGTAATCCCCATTTTTATCTAATGTCAAGATTAAATGTTAGAGTTCAGAGATTTGTTTTGCACTGTGACCGTTCCTCATATGAGTATCTAACACACGACATGGCTATTTTTACACACACTAAAAAAGAATATCTAAATATACCACCTAAGACTAACTTTACTGAGTGTGTGTGTGTGTGTGTGACAGCTTTGGGGACAGCAAAGCATTGCAGGAAGAGCGACGTCAACATGGACAGTGGGAGTATTTCAGGTGCTGTATCTGAATGTGAACAAACTTTCTGACAGTAGCTGGTGTTGGGAAAGTGTGTGGTTGCTTCAGATGGGACTCTTTCTATTCACTGATTACTTCTGTTTTTTTGGGTAAAGCGGAACATGGGGCCACAGAAAAAGTTGAGACTCTTAAGAACATATGAAATATTTTGAGAAAAAAGTTTTGAAAACCACAGAGGAGAGAAATCACTGTGGCACACACCTGCCCAGCTCTGGTGAAGGTGTTGCTGCTTGAGGAGTTACTGTAGCATGATCGAATGGTTTATTTAAGACTTTCTCGGGGGTTGTGAAAACCCAAGCCTTTGTTCTATCTCTGTTGACTGTCTATCAGTTTTTCACACAGCGGTGAAAATCACAAACCACGCACTGTGATCACACAGCAGCAGCCCGACAGATACGTGTGAACTGATCTAAAAAGTATGTGCAAAAGAGGAACACAAAAAAGAAACCAAGAGTTGTGTCACAGCAGTTCCTCCACTTTTACTCTGTTCGGGATTGCACGTCTTCCCTAGAGGACAGAGACGCTGCAAATAAAATGGCTAGTGAGGAATATTTGATGGATTTAAGGAGGCGAGGGAATGTTTTCAGGATTAGGATTAAAGGTTAGTGGGTGAACTGAAGTCAGTGGAACACCCGCTTACTTAAATATGTGTGTGCATATGAACACGTGTGAGGGGTCTATACTGTTTCTTATCAGAGGAAACGTGTGCTGGGCTGGGCCTCTCTCTTCTGGGGCCCCCAGCAGTTGTGTCCTAATCTCAGATCCATTCCTTGCAGATCCTTCCTGAAGCAGTGCCAGCGGGCTTTGCACCTCCTTTGTTTTGCAGGTTTATTGACCTCTGCGCAACCTCCACCTCCTGAAGATCCTCTGAATGTGTGTGTGTGTATAATTGAGAGAGGAGAAAGTCCTAAAAGGCAGTTGGATACCTGTGGGCTGCTATATCTCAAGCTGTTTAGGTGGAAAGAAGAATGAAAAATGTTGTTACTCATTCAGTCAGAATGGATATTTGCTCTGTATGGCTGCCATGGAAAGTTCTAAAGATAACCACGCACATTAGTTTGACCCCTTACTGTACAGTGTCAGTTGTAGTTTCAGATGTAACCATGAAAGGCTACATATCTCCGCCATGGCCTCTGTCCATAAGGATTAGACTCAACTGCTCCAGAGCTTATGTGAATTAAAAGTGCCCCTTTAAAATCTGCTTGTGTTCAGTTTAATCCTTCTCTGTTGGTAAGAGACACCACAGGGAATTTTTGGCCAGCTGTGAAGACTGAATGTATGTGCTCCAGTACTCAACTTTTTAGTTTCGCATTTTGAGATTTTGATCCAAATCTTATTTCTGTTCTTGGTCAGCAGCTGGTTAGCTTAGCACAAAAAACTGTGGGGGGAACCCAATTTGGTTCAATATTAATAATTTTAGTCTGTCGTTTATTAGTCAAATCTGGTTTGGTTTAAGGTGCAGTGTGTAACTTTTAGGAGGATCTATTGGCAGAAATTAAATGTAATATTGATAGGTATGTTTTCATTAGTGTATAATCACCTCAATATAGAAATTGTTGTGTTTTTGTTACCTAAGAATGAACCGTTCAGATTTATAGATTACACGGGTCACCTTCCATGGAGTCCACCATGTTGAACCACCATGTTTCTACAGTAGCCCAGATTGAACAAACCAAACACTGGCTCTAGAGAGGGGCTTTGTCTTTTTTCGTAGCCGCTGCAGTTTACCCTTTGTTGGAAGGGGAGGTTGAATCAAGAGAGTTGCGTGCTGCAACTACACCGCTAGATACCTCTGAATGCTACACAATGGATGTTTAGGAGAAAAATGAAAAAGCGTCATGTGTTTGGTGTTAAGCACAGTTACACATGACTATTTTAATCACAATAGCTTTCTTGCATGCTGAAATGTCTCTGTGTTACGGGGTCAGGGGAAACTTTACGGTGACTTTCCGTTTCGGTGAAAACCTAGCTTGTTTTTAAAGTTGTGGTTTTGTTTTTTGAGCAAAAAAGTAATGAAGTGTTTCAAATCTCTCCTTCATGTGCTTCACACTGAATTATATAAACTGTACCTTCTTCTCTTATCTTTCTTCTTCTGTCTGTTTTCCTTTGGTGTGTGGGCTTTCAAAGCAACTTCTGGTGCAGAGCCACAAAGACAACAAGTCTGTATTCTGCGGGTGTAGCTGTCACAACAAGATTGACACAGAAATAATCCTGAAAGAGAGCTGTCTATAAAATGTCAAATGCAAACTGCATAAAGAAGAGCAGAGGTCACAAGTAAATAAATTACAGACATGCAGTATCAGGGGCTGACAAATACTGCTGATTGGTATCTAACCAGATATGAGCCACATTTAGCCAGCAACAGTGTTTGCAGTCATTTAGTTACTTTATAGTTAAATAACATCACAAGGTGTTAATATTTTCATCTACTTTCTTCCTCTGTTTCAGGGTTGGTGTGGATCCAGATCAAGACCTGCAGCCCTGTGGAGACAGCTTCCAGGTCTTACAGGGGGTGAGGATCTCACTGAAAACTGGTTTATTATTGCTTGAAGTCAGTGCGGCTCTCACTGCTGCAATGGTTCTGCTTCTGCAATTTTATGTTGACGCAGAGCACAGTCAGCAAGTCCGAAGACACATAACTAGTTCAGTTTGTCAAGGAAAATTGATTTGAATTTGCTGAACAAGACAGCGGAAGCAGAATAGCACAATTAGTTCTTTAACTCACTTTTCAATCATTTTTTATTTGTGATGAATCTACTTTATTAAGATGCACCCCACTGTCTCACATAGAGAGTGTCAGCATGGAGCTAGGATGTGTTTTAACTACTTCTCAGTCTAATGGGGAGCAAAAGTAACAATTATATAACCATAATAATTATGATAATCATGATTTACGATGAGAAACCAAACTCCGCTCAACCAAAAGTTGCTGACTGTTATCATCCCACTGGAACCAGAAAATATGGCATTTATTAGTAAGATTATGATGGAAAGTATTTTAACTCTAAAATGTATGAAATGTACTTTGATCAGATAGATAGATAGATGGATAGATAGATTCTTTATTGTCCTTTTTCAGGAAATTTGTTGCCACATCATAAATACAAACTGTCTATACTTGTATCGTCAGCACAGCACCACGAGCGAGCACTTTCATTATATACTTAAAGACTGCGTTCACTCATTATACATCCCTGTATAACAATGGTGGAAGTGAGGAAACATTGTGGAGCACAGTAGGAAATACAATATCACCTGTAACAAAGGGGAATGAAACACATAAAATGAGACTTACGTCCATGAATCTGCATGCTGGTACTCTCCTCAGAGTTTGATTATAGCTGGCTGAGAATTACCAGGGTTGTTTTAACAACATGTTGGATCCAGATCTTTTTTCACAGCATATCTTGATATTTCCATGTGTTTCTCCAGGATGGCCCTCAGGCTGAAGGACAAAGTAAAACCAAACAGGAGAGTGCGTGGCTCTTCAGACTGTGGTATACCTTTGATCACAAGTATCCTTTCTGTGCCCGACTTTACAGAACCATTAGCTTTTAGGACACAAGGTCATTGATTGTTTGAACTAATGCAGCTCTTTCTGGTAATATCAGTTCTCACATCCAATCAGGATGGTTTTCCAGGGATTATTTTCCCTTTGTACACTGTATAAGCCATCAAAGTCACAATCATAATTGCTGCCTTTATTGGATGAATCCATAAATGTTTGCTGTCCCTGAGTCAGACTGGCTGCAAAAACAGAGGAAAGAAAATGTGTTTAGCAGCTCATCCTCCCATGTCCTCCCTCCTTCTCTCTCTGCTCAACAACTGCCTCCCCAGGTGGCTGATTGTGTAGCTGCTTTTGAGCGGGGCAGCTGTGTTGTACAGTGGAGACTTTTCCCCCTGGTGACACGTGCTAGACGCAGCTGAGGCGAGCAGGGTGGATTTCTTTCATGTCCCAGCACTGCGGAGGCTGAAGTAAACACACATGACGCAGGGCTTTGGTGTGGAGAGTTTAGTGATTTTATTTATTTCTGGTGTAGCAGACTCAGCAATGGACTGCTGAGTTTGATTTCTGTTCAAACATACATGTTCTGTTCTGTCAGGGCTGCCTCCCTCCCTAAAGGGACTGGTGACCAGACCAGCTGAACAAGGAACTTTTTCCTACAGAGCAATACAGCTTGACTAATTAAAAAAAAAAGGCAGAGGAGCCCGGCGGTTCACTCTCTGCTGCACTGCAGAGTCACATACAGACTCCTGCTGGCAGACATCCTCAATGTTATTGAGCCATAATTTATCATTTTTAATGTTTTTATGGTGAGTTACTGCCGGAAGAGAACTTAGGAAACGACTGCCTGCAAGGTCTGTTTTTATCAGAACAGGCTGACAGTTTAAATGTTTTTTTATATTTGAATTAGCTTCTGCAAATTTAATTTGAGCACATAGTTGAGTTCTCCTTCTACTTTTTTATAAATTAATTTATGCAGACGCAGAAAAAGCAAGTGTGAAGCCTCATGCCAAGCTAGCAAAAAACCTGGCAACAGTTGTTCTTATAACTGATCTATAATTCATAAATGATGTATTAACCCCAAAGAAAGGCATTAGACAGGTGAGATATTAGGAAATTGTACAGATATTGGATATTAACAATATTATTAACTATCCTCCATTCAACCAGCCTTTGCCCAGTGTAATAATAATATAATTATTGAGCTCTTCGGGTCGTTTTCCTTAATAACTGCCCAGTTACCTTAAGCCCATTCTGACACACAGCGGCCCACCTCTCACCTCCACTCTGCCCGCCTACTGTGGACCACTGGCGAGCTGTCTGACCAGCCCCCAGGCATACGAGGTGAGTGTCCACAAAGCTCTTCTCACTGCATGTTGTCCAGTTAGAGCATTTAAAGGAATAGTTGGACATTTTGAGAAATACACATGTAGTTCAATATTCTCATGACAGAGACATTTTCTATGTTCTACTCCTCTCTGTGTTCATTATTCATTTATCTAGTAAATGAATCTGTAAAATATCAATAATAATAATATCAACTTTCTCCTTTCCTGTTTTTAGATAGGTATGCTATGTGCTAGGCTAATCTATGTTGAAAAGACAACCACAATATGAAGATAAAGATAAAAGCGACATATACATAGTCACATGTTAAGTTGCTAATGTTAGCAAAATGTTTAATAACGGGCGCCCGGTTAGCCCTGTCGGTAGAGCTGGCGATCCATACACGGAGTTACTGCAGCGGCCCGGGTTCGAATCCGATCCGTGGCTAATGAATGATGTAGATTAGTAAGCTAGTTAGCTAGTGTTTCGCTAACAATAGTTCACGTAAGATGTGAGTACATGTCACTTTGATCAGCTTCAGAATGTGGTTGTCTTTTCAACATAGACGAGGCTAGCACTGATCATATCTTAGGAGGAAGAAAGGGGGCGGGACTTTGGTCAATTTATTATTATTCTTCTGTGTGAGACATTTTTCTACATGCAATGAAACTTAAAAATACCCTTTTAACTGTGAAAAATATTTAAATGTGTATATATAAATATAAATGTATGAATATAAAAATACTTTTGAAATGAGCTATAACCAAAGCATTCTGTGAAATCACTAAAAGGTGGTGGTTTTCTGTTTCTTTTTTCTGTTCAGACCTTATATATACTGTCAGTGGTTCAGACCTGTGCACAGTGCCTCAGGAAGGCTCTCTGTGAATACTGAAGGTTTTTCTCTCAGGAGAATTGTAATACTGTCAAAGTATTCTCAGTGCCTGCCAGTAAACAAACAAAGCACATAGAAAATGGACAGTCAAGAAGCCTTTTTGCATTCAAAGGACACAAAAGGCCCTTTTCAGCACCACCTCAATGATGATCACTGTTCTGCGCTCCAATATTTTAAACAGAGAAATACCCATTGACGGAACCGTCACACTTGGATTCAATCTGGCAAATTCTCCTTTTCATTTCATGTGAATTACTTCCAGGTGGAGGCTTTTGGCTATTATACTCTCCCTTCTCAGTGATCCAAAGAGCCCTTCACTGTCGGGTTACAAAATCTAAATTCCATTTCTTGACTGCAAAATAGTCATAAAATGTCTTTCATCAAACTGTAAGTCTCTAAACGTTTAGTTCTGTCTCTGGATCCACAAATGTTTTCCTCTGCTCGTTGGTTGCTGTTGGTTTTCTAGTACAAGGCTGCCAGCCAGGCGAGCCATGAATTTAGGTGGTTGTTCATATAATCAGGCCTCTTTAATGCCAAGTGGGGAGAGACCGGATTAAATAAAGCTCCTTGCTTGGTTCCTCTTTGGTTATGGGTGTTATGAAATGGGGAGGGAATAAAAGGCTGCACAAAAAGGGGAAATTTGGTTCTCATTGACCTCAAATTGGATAACCTTTAAAATATGGTTGTAGAATATACTTTTAAGGCTAGATAGCTTTAAAAGGGCACTTTTTTAAGCATAGTATATTATTTAATTTTCAGCAAAAGTTACTCAAACAGGAGTAATTAGTGCATTTGTTGGGGACTATTTTTAGCTGTGGATGAATACATATTTGGAGCTCTGGTGAATTTTGACGGCAGCAGGAAAGAAAATGTGGAAACAGCTCAAATTAAAAAAAGTACAGTGCCCACCTTCATGTGCTGAAGAATTATGTCAATATCAAGAATCAGAGCTGTAGCTCAAAAATACTTATAGGATGAATTTGTTGGTGTTTTTTAGGAATTTGTTACAATAAGAAACAATACACAATATTACCAGACATCCTTAAAATCAGACATGCCATCATTGTTGTCTATATTCTACTTTCCTCCCCTTGTCTTTATTTCTTTGACGCTGGCTTGATTTATAATGAATCTAAATGTGTTTATTTTCACTTCCTTTTCGTATAACAGTTGTGTCACTGTTTTAATTAGAAACTAGCCCTACCCTTTTAACCACATACAATGCCTGATGGATTTATTAGGAGTTTTTTTCCCCATTTCCCCTCCCAGATAATTGTTGGAGGGAAGCAGTTATGTAATCTCTCTCTTTTTTGATCCCTTCATCTGAGTAATCCCTGCTGACCTGACGTTAACTCATCCTGTTCTCCCCGGGGACATGGGCCGACTATTGATTGTCAGCCAGTCAATTAGAGCTGCGAGAACCTCATGCAACAGTTTTACAGCCATCTATTACTTACCCACAATGCAATGTGTGCTTTTAAATTGAGTTGTCTTTTCTAACAAGTCCATTTCAAGCTGTCACTTACTCGTTCACTGTGGGGTTGGCTCGCGTGTAATTATGCAGCCTGTGGTTTCCTGTGGGTTTTTTTGTTATGAAGTCACTTTAATGCAGTTGCTGCATCACAGGACACTAAGTGAAAGTCTCCTCCTCCCTTTGTTCTGTAAATCCATAGTGTCCCTTATGATCCTTTGCACTGTTATTGTCAGTCTGTTTACACCACATGTACCCATACTGCGTGTCCTACATCTGTGCGTGTCACCCCCATGTTCTCCATCTCTCCCCTCATGTTCCACTGCGGATGTGTTTTCAGAACCACGAGCAGCTGAGGGACCACGACTCTGACCTCCTCCACAATGACGGTGACCTGACCTTCATGTTCGGTGATACTGCCATCACAGCCAATGGGGCGTCCGGCGGTGGGGGGGACGCAGCCGGAGGGTCGGGTTGGAGTGCGAATGGCAAAAGGAGCGGCAGCACTTCAGAGGAGGCGCTGGAGCGTGAGCTGGACTCCCGCGAACAGGAGCTGCTGAGTCGCGGCACGCGGCTGGTTTTCCCCATCGAGGATCACGTCTGACCCTCCCCTTCCTTTTGCCTGCACTGTCAAACCGCCCTGACCTGACCCCCAAGACCACCTCACCCTCAACTCTCTCCACATCCCGCGGGCAGAGTGTCCAGTCCTTCAGAGAGTGGAGACGTGGTAGTAGACAAGAGGGGAGGGCTCAGAGCTCCCTCCCGGCCCGGGAGCAAAGCTCAAGGAGCATTTCATCCTCATTACAGAGCTGGAGTTTGTTCTTTAAAAGATGAACTCTCCATGCTCTTATACTGTGATTCAGTTTTACTGATTGTTTCCTTTGCATAAACTGGAGGGAAACTTTTTATGCAGGATATGAGGTCAAAAACAAATCCTCATGTGAGATTCAGTCTGCACTTTTGAACATGTGACACTGTGTATGTTCAGCTGGATTGGAAAAGAAGTAGAAATATTGCTACTACTGACCTGTTTGTCTTCACATCACACCAGTGACCACTTAGAAAATGTGAGAAGTGGCTTTTTTGGAAGCACACCCCATCTAGATGCTGATTTAAGGCAACACTCACCTAAACATTGAATAGTTTATAGATAAAGAAAAAGAGTTCTCTGATTAAATGTGCACCATCTGAAGCTGTAATAGACCAGTGTTTGGTATGAGTGTGAGGATGTCCTTTGTTTCACACAAAAGCATCTGTGTGGGGGAGACTGTGACATGTGAGGAGCACAGAGAGGGACAGTGAATGAGTTGCCCTCTCAGCCACCGCAGACTGTCATGGGTGAAGTAAAAGGGGTGAAGAATGTGAGCATGTAAATAGCTACAAGGCTGAGCTTTGTTCCTCTTTAGTGGGGCTGCTTCTATCAGCGCATTACATCCTGTGACCGTTACAAATAGTACCTGTGTATCTTGTCTTTGAGCTGGTCTGGATCCTTTTCACAGTACTGGGCTGGTTTTCACAACAAAAACATGATTAAGGGATGGAAGTGTCTTGATGCGAATTATATTGTTTCTTATGAGATAATGCTGATATCCCAAAACTTTAAAAACTGGCATAAGATGTACACTCGAACACGGTTGATAAACAGTTCAACCCTACAAAATAAAGGGCAAGCCTTTATAATAATTTGGAATACTTTTCAAAAACTCTATATTGTCTTGCTGATTTTAAAAATACTTCAAATGATGCATCCTTTGATGTTAGACTGCAACTGACAATTATTTTCATAATTAATTAACCTGCTGCTGATTTTCTCTATTAGCTGTTTAGTCTATAAAATGTCATAAAATAGTAAAAATATCCCCCCAGTCTTAGAGCCCATGGTAATTGCTTGCTTTATCCAATCAGTAGTCTAATATTCAGTAATAACTAATATACGTAAAAGGAATAACGGCAGTGAATCATTACATTGGAGGAGTTGGAACCAGTGAAAAAAATACATTGTTGACTAATATGATTAATGAAACTTATGATTGACTAATTGTTTCAGCTCTATGTTTAAGCAAAATTTAGTAAGTGGTATGATAGCATGTGTGCATAATTCATTGAGTCCATATAGCAGCAGTGCAGCACCGCATAACAAAGACTGCAAAGTAGTTCTTCAGACTCCATTAGACCATTAATAAGATTTGCCTGACAATGTTGAACAAAAAATCTCAAATCAAGAAGAGCCATTGATAACAGTGACCGGAGATGAATGAAGGAATGCTTGCACATCCTCTACCTGCATCGACAGTGTTTATACTCTTAAAGAAATAATGTCTCTGGCTCCCACATGTTAGCCTCAAATACCTGTTGAATTTGTTAGCACTGAAACAGAACGATGAGGTGAGCTGGTCTCATAAATCTACAATCAACGCTCATTTCTGTAAATCTGGTGTCTCCCCAGTTTTTCTTAAACCTTAGTTGCTAACGCTGTTAACTGTCATACTAACGGACATAAACTCATCATTTGTTTTGCTCTGTTCATGTTGGAAGAAATCACATCAGTAGAGTATGATAGGATTGTGGATATCACATCTGTCTGTTAAATATAAAGCTACAGCCAACAGCCAGTTAGCTTAGCTTAGCACAAAGACTTGAAACAGTGGGAAACAGCTAGCGTAGTTCAGTCTGAAAGTAACACATTTCAGCTACAGAACCTTTAAAGCTAATTAACACATTATATCTAGCTTGTTTAATCTGTAAAAAAAAAAGCCAAACTGTAAAGAAAACGAGCTGGAATACTTCAGATAGCAGATTTTGTTACCTAGCCAGGCTAGCTGTTTCTCCCTGTCTCCAGCCTTTGTGCTAAGCTAAGCTAAGCTAAGCTAACCGGCTGTAGCTTCATATTTAGTGTACAGATATGAGAGTGGACTTCTCATCTAGCTGCCAGAAAGGTACTTGGCTTATTTCCCTAAATGTTGTAAATTACTGCTGTAAACATTGTGTAGCTACAACACATAAACATTTGACCGTCACTGCACACAAATAATGGTAATTTAGACACTTCCCTAAGTTTTGAGCTGATTACAAGAAACCTGAGCAGCCATTTTCCTGAAACTCAAGTGTACCGATAATAAATGGGGAACACATGTTGTTCTCTTTAAAGTTCTTCACAATAAACTAAAGTGAACCTCGTGCTGTTTCTGTTTTGGTACTAAATTAATGCATGTTGTCTCAGCATTAGATAGATTTCTTTGTGTATAGCAGGTGGGACAGCAAATATAGCTTACAGTATACAGAACATTGACATCCTTTCACCTGAGGCCCAGTTCCTCCCAGCTGCCCTGAGAGGTTTGAAATGAGATAGTTTAATACTTAATACTGATACTATTAATACGGATCTCCAACATGCAAATCATTGACACGAGACAGTGACTTTGGGCTCAGGATTTCACTTGCGGCATTAATCTCTGTTAACTGACACTTTCTACAACAGACAACTGAACCATATTGTTTCCCTACAGGTTGATTTGCATCACTCGATGTGAACTATAGAAATATATTATTTATAGCGCATCAATTACTCTGGTGACTTTCTAACCACATTTCCTCGCAGTTTGTAGTGAACCTTTGGGAATTCCTCCTATGCAGCATGATTATTAGAGGAAATATTGGGTCATTTGCACATTTTCCCCCTCAAGATGTGATATTTAGCTCTTATCCAATAAATGTAAATAGCAATTTAAATGGCAGACTATGCTGGGTTTACAGAGCAGCACACAGGCCCTTTACACTGGTGGAACAACAGCTGTCTCTGGGGGAGAAGGAGGAGGTTTTTCTAACACATTTTGTGTTCCCTTTACCACGTCTAGACATCTGAACTGCTCCCCGTTTTAAATTCACCACACAGCACGTGTCGCCTTTTGTTTTCTCCCTCGACTGCACACAGTGGCTGCTGCATTTATGCATGAGTACATGAGGGCAGGTGTGAAAGGCTGGATTGTGTAAGTTGAATTTGAGGCCTTCATGTGAGGGAGAAGCCCCGCACAAGTTTTATGGCGCACTGAGGACCTCCAGGAGGAAATGAATCTAGTTATGTAAGCTGTTGCCAAGCTGTATGCACTGTGGGTCATTCAAATTCTAGCTGGAGTGAGAAGTAATGTGAAGCCGTGCTCTGTCTAACATCTCCTTTCACAGTCTGAGGGTAGCAAAGCTTGTCTGTATCTAGGACATTAAAATAATAAAATTCGCCTTTTGTCTAACCAAACCATTTCACAATCTCTTCTGATATGAAAAGGTTACACAGCCTCCAGATACACCTTCAACAGTATAACTTACAGCAGATATGTTATCTCTGGATTGTGCAAAACTGTGATTTTTGATCATGTCTGTTGAGAATTTCAAATTCCTGCTGTACAAACGCAGAAAAAGAGTGCAGAAAAAAGACTGAATAAGAACTTGCATTTATCGACATGTCCAGGACAGAGTGACTGGAGAGTTTTTCTTCGAGATGTGGGAGTACTTCATGGATAATTGGTGGCTGCAGGCAAATATACGAGCAGAGTTTGGCACTTTACCTCAAGCAAAGGACACTCACAGGACTCTTATATAACCTTCATGTGCACTCTATCTCCAGACTGTTGTGCTGTCAGTTGTCTTGCTGGCTATATTTACATGCTCTCTGTACCTGGGAAATATGAGATGTAGCTCAATTGTCAATATGTGCACCTGTTGTTTCTAGTAGCAACTGGCTGCCTGGTTCTACCTGCCATGCCTGCATGTCAACATGTTAATAAAAATCGTCAAATAATGAGTGACCCAGTTGTGTTCATTTTAATAATTGAAACTACATGTGGTCATTAGGATGAGATACTGTTTATGAGTTATTACTGGTTATATTATTGCATTTAAGTCAACAGAGGCCTAATCAGATCAACTGTACATAAGCTAATTATGATGACATGTACAGTTTGTGATTAATTAGGATTTACATAATACAGTATAATCTATGGAGGCCCATGTGGTCTCAATGTATTTAGAATTCTTCATTCATATATCTAAATACTAACACACACACACACACACACTAGAGTACTGTGAGTAAGCACGTTATGATGCCACATACAGTTCAAATTTACTGTAATGCAATAAAGCCGAATGCAGGTGTGTTTTCAAGCCCCCATTCACTACCACTGGATCTTTAAGTCAGCCAATAGTAAAGGTAGAGTTTGGTGGCATCTAGTGGTGAAGTTGTAGATAGCAAGCAACTGATTACAGTTCAGCCTCCTAACTGTGTAGTGTGTCTGTGGTGGCTGCGAAAAAAAACGTGGAAGGCCCTATCTAGAGCCAGTGTTTGGTTTGTTCATTGGGGGCTACTGTAGAAACATGGCGGCCTCTGTAGAAGAGGATGTGAATAAATACAGTAATGAAAACATACCCATGAATACATTCTATTTCTGCCCGTAGATCCTCCTGAATGTCACACTAGACCTCCTAAGATTAATTAGTTTTCATGTGATTATAAAGTCATCCAAAAGTCATTCCTTTCAGAATCAATGGAGAATTCATTCTTAAGAAGATGCTTCTCTAGTTTTTACTAACCCTTTATTGAAGTCAGTTTAAATAGTCAAGTTATTTCTTTCTTTGAAAAGAGAACTTCTTCAGGCATTTAACCCACAACAATCATTACAGAACCAACTTCTAAAGTTGAACACATGGATGCTGGTAAACTTTTTACTCCTCCTAAACACATCCTCAACCAGAGGGGTGTCACAGCATTTTACAATAGTTTAGACATAAACTAAAAACAGTAAGAATGGCGCACAATATGAATAAGTACCGTCTGTTGTGCTTGTGAATACTTGCTAAAAAGTTCATTGGCAGAGGACAGAGGCAGCTCTCCAAGACACGTCCATGAGATATTAGAAAATTTCACACCCATGTGAGTGTTTTGTCAGTGGGGTGGCTGCAGCTGTCTGGATTCCTGAGGGGCCGGGGGCGAAACAATAGTTCCTCAGTCAGGCCTCTTTTCCAGAAAACACCGTAGCTTCTTCTTTCAAAGCTCTACATGGGCATTGTTAGTGAGAAAACTTCAGTTAAGTATCAGTAATGCTTGAGATTACTGCCTCGCTTAGTCATAGGCTGGATGGATAAGTGGCGCAGGTGAGAGCGAGCCTGGCGCTGCCACACCGGATCCTGGCAGTTATCTCCCAAGAAGGACCCATCTCTGGCTTTTTATGGCTCTCGCCTGCAGGGGATTTGTGGAGGGATTAGTGCTGCTAAAAGGACAGAAGGATAGAGGCAGGCCAGTGTAACAGAAGCACAAACCAGCATCAAATCTCTCTCTTCTTGTTTATGTCCGCTCCCACATCCTCTCTATCTGCATAGTCCCTGCTAGTGTTAAAAAGGTAACACTGTACAAATAAGCTGCCTTCTCCTCGTTTCAAATTCATCTGTCTGTGATTGGCTGCTCTTTCCACTTGGATTTTCTCCAGTTCACCGACCCGGCTTGCGAGCTCCCAGTGGACCACATTCCAGCTGCTTGTTTTGTTATTCCACCTTTTGCCCTCAGCCTCGAACACCAGGTCCCTGGAAGAGAACAGAAAATAGCTGAAGAAAAACCCCTTAAGTTACGACAGAGCCTCACACTGAAAGAGATACAGAGCATAAGGACCATAAACACGTTCAACAGAGTTAATAATGTCCATGTTCATGACCTCCATCTATAGCTCTATCAGGGGTTGGGGTGGAGGCAGTGCCATAAGGGACACCCACTGCCTCCACCCTGTTTCTGCTCCATGCTGGCGGCTTGCAGGCGGCCGAGCTCTAAAGGGTCTGCTTGTGAGAGCTGGCGGCGACAGGGCGGTGGTAACCCTGGGAGCGCTTCCCCGTCACGGACAGCCGTACACAATGATCCCCTTCTTGACAGCAGAGTCTGAGGCCCAACGACCCGCTGCCAGCCCCCCGCTATCCATGAGAGGACCCAGCATTGCCAGGAAGAAAACAATGAGGCCTCTATCAGACATCAGATCAGTTAGTCATCAAGGAGGGAGGAATATTTGTGTGACTGTCTCGCTCTGATAGCTATAAAAATCTGTTACAGTGCCTGCGTGCATCGAAACCTTAATCCAACACGTGATTCATTAACTAGTAAGAAAACTAAAAGGGAAAGCTCGGCGCACAAAAAGCAACAGCGATGCTGTTGACATATTAATAGGTTGAGTGCTATCTACAAAACAAGAGCAGAGTCCAATTTGATATACCTAGTTAACAGTTAATATGAGGTCGGATCTCATGAGAGCAATTACAAATCAACACATTCAACAGGTGGATTTCATTAAAGACAAGCAAAATCCTGGGTGTATATGTATATAAATAACTATATATTGATTTATTTTAATCATTATTATTCTATACATTTAATTTTCTTTATCTATGTGTAGCTTGAAGGAACTGAAAACTTTATTTTGTTGTACAACCGGTTGTTGTATAATGATTTTCTTGATGCAATTAAATAAAATTAAAGGCCCCCTCTAGACAACTTTTATGACATAAAAATACTCTGAATTTGGAAAATAATGTTTCTGTGATGGTTTTCAAACAAAAAAGTTGATTTCGCTTTTAAAAAAAATTTAAAGCATATGTTTCTTTCCTCATCACACTGGTGTATGCTGCCTGCTGGACGGCTTACAAACTCATTATGATGTCACAAAATGAAGCTTGTGTGTACATGTCTTAAAGATGAATGTCCCCTTAGGCAGACTAAAGTTAAAACAGCCTTCTAATGTCAAACTGCACATACAGTACGTCATTCTGCACAGAGAAGGTCAAACATCAAAGTGAAGTAACAAGCTAAACACATTATGTTGGGTTGGGTTGGGGGGGTTAATGGATCCAATCAAGCCCTGCTGCCCTGATCCCCATATGGACTCTCTGTTTTCAATTTGCCTCAGTCAGAAGGAGGTCACAGGTCAAGGATCAGCCACAGAGCACAGCAGCTGACATTTAGCCAAGTACGAAGGGTGTTTTTTGTAAAACCTCAAACTTCCTGCAGGTAAGAACTGTGGGGAGGGCATTCACTGCCTCTATCTTTAGTTTCACTCTGCTGATTTCAACCCTCACTGGCTCTTGAATTAAAACCCTTTGTGTGATCTCACCATACCTTGACCCATCGATTCCTCAGGGCACATCCTCATGTTGTCTTGTCCACGCTGTTCTTCTGATACCCCAGCTGCCTCATGACTTCGCTGCAGTAGGCCTCCACCTGATTTATCTGCTCAACGTTGAGTCTCTCCCTCCAGGCATATATCGCCTCTTTTGCGTCTCTGGATGATATCAGGAACGGCCTGTCTGAGGAATACCCCTGACCGTGCGTCATGTTCAGGGCAAACTTCTCCAGAGCCGGGAAGGAGGAGAGGTTGGAGAAGCGGTACAGCCTCTGGAGCTCCTCCATGGGGTGCAGGACCAGATCCTCGTAGCGGATGCGGAGGTAGTTCCTCCTCACCCAGGGAGGCGCGTTTATCACCAGCATCATGTCACTGAGCCAGTTGTCACAGATGAGCTCCATGGCGCTGGAGACGTAGCTCTCGGCCCGGTTCACCTTGCTGCTCGGCACCAGTAGCCGCTTGTACTTGTCGGCCTGCTTCTTACTCCTCAGCACCTGGATGCTCTCCTTCACCAGGGCCTGTTTGGACTTCAAGCGGGAGTTGTGCACGGCCCTCGGGTCTCTGAAGAGCTGAATGATCTGGAGGTTTATCGCAGGGTCTTTCATCAAAGGAACCAGCGTGCTCAGGTCCAAAACGCGCACTCCTTTGATCACCATCACCGGGTACTTTTTACACTCCCTTTCCAGGTCCCTAATGTCCCGTTTTTGGCACTTTGCGCACTGGTCCTCTTTCACCAGCCCAATTTCACGACGCTTGTGCGCATCGCATAGCGGCTCCGAGCATATCACCTTGTTCATTTTCCAGCCGAATATGAACGAAGTGGTGATGTTTTGCGTGCCGGCGTAAAGTTTGAGGACGGAGAAGTCGCAGCGGTACAAGGCGTTCATCATGTCCCGCACTGCGCCCTGGAGACTGGCCGCATCCCCCGGATACAGAGCCTGCCATATGTGCCACATTGGCTCGTACAGGTAGAAAACATCGGGGTGCTGGTTGAACAACTCCCCCAAAAACGAGGAGCCAGTCCTCCAGGTGGCATGTAAGTAGATGTGTATCCGAGACTGGCTCCGGTTGACGGCGGGATCCGTCTCCTCGCTGCCGTTAAGTTTGTAACCGTTATCCCACAGCAGCGCCAAATCTGGGCATCTGGGCTGTTGCTGTAGTCCATGTCTCGCGTGTTGAACGGATTTATCTCGGTAATCTAACACGTACGGGATTAGCAGAAGTAAACCTGAATATGCCAGGATCAAAACCAAGTATTTTTTATGTAGCCTCCTCTTCATTTCCTCTCGCCGGGAGGGGGCTGGCTAGCTTCTTTCTCTGAAGGGTCTGCGCTCTGTGTCTCTGTGTGGTAGCTACTGTAAAGTTATGTGTGCGTGTGTGTGTGTGTGTGTGTGTGTGTGAGGAAGGGGGGGATTAACCACGCCCCTTTAAAGACGAAATACCAGATTATTTCTGCCTCTTTTCCGCCGTCGGTAGGTGAAATAACGTTAACTGCTTTAGAGCCGTTACAAACGGTGTCCGTTAGTCTCTCTGTGAATGACGCATCAATGTAAATATGTAGAACCACGGCCGTTAATTATGGAATCTCAAGAGCCTTGTAGAGAAGAGGTTCCAACGGCTACCACCTACCGTAACCGGGATGGACGCAAGGGATTATGGGAAATGTGTGCTCCGTTTGAATTGTGTATTTAGTCGGTAGTGTATTTGTATCTCGAGACGTTGAATGTTGTCCTAGTCGACCTTTAAACACGAGCTTTTACATATAAAAGAAAATTAAGACATAACGTTATATACCATTATATACTAACGTTATATACTACTGCGGTTAGGGTTTGCGCATGCGTACTTTACATCGTTTGTTGTCAGGGGCGAACTCTGCGCGGTACCGAAGGAATCAATGGAGGAATAAATAAATAATAACTTAATAATAACTAAAGCAGTAAATGGCATTATGAAGCTAACGGTGTCTTCTTCGTGCTAACGTTAGCTCTGTAGCTTGCAGAATCACCAGGCTAGCAGCGAGCCTGTCTGACAGCGAGCTAACTTAACGTTAGTTCACTGCAGCACCGCAGTCAGCATCAACATGACACACTGGAGCACCTTCGAAAAGGAGACCGAGAGGGAAACGAAGAAGCTGATAAGATGTATCAGCGGGGTCGAGGACGAGGAGGACCAGAATTTCCAGCTGGCACTGAAATTTGCCTGGTCGAATTTCAAGTGAGTTAGCCATAGACAGGATGGGAGCTAGCGGGTCAGTTGCTAACATGTAAACAAACGTTAGCATTAGCCACAATCAGTGATGCTAGTAATAGTCTCGTTTCTTGACAGGTTTCATCGTTACTTGGACGTGGACAGCCATAAAGTCCAACGCAGTATAAATGGGTGAGTGAGTCTGTGGGGCTAGCTGGTCTTTTACTTCTTTACTGGGCACAACAGTTAGAGAAACACAGCAAGCTACCTGGGTTATGTTGTGTTGAAACAAACAAGTGAAACCATTGTTAAGCTACTGCCAAGGTCTTGCATATGATCAAAATCTTATATTCAAATCTAAACATATGTATTCGCCAAGAGCTTTACGAATAAGTGTCCAATAACTATTATCAATAACCAAATCTATCTATGGATGTTCCATTTTCAAGAAAAACTCAAAAAGCCTTTCCCAAACTCATTGATCTGATTGATTTTGCCATGAGGAAGACTGTTTTTCCCATTTCTGTTGAGGTCTTTTGCATGTCACTGTCATATGTTCATAATCTGCTGTGTTTTCCAGAATCTATGAAAAGCTCATGGTCCACTCAGACTTGAGTAAAGCAGAAAGCTGGATGAGGCTGACTGAAGAGTTCCTGAACTCACCTTTACCTAATACAGATGGAGCAAAGGTATGGGCTGATTAGTGGAGTGAGGGTCTGTGACCTTACACTGCCCTCAAGACAGTTACCTTTTCCTTCAGCCATATCATTTTAAAAATACATACAGAATACAATACAGTTTAATTGTTTTTTGCAGACTGATGCACACTACAGTTTACTGTCACTGCTGCTCTTCTTATCGGGGTCCCCTTCAAACACAGACTTTACAGAGAGACCCAGGGTAAAGGAGGCTGGTGAGTTGACATTTCCCAGATTTTCAGTTTTACTTGTGAAAGTTTACAAGTCCATGTTAATCATTATTGCTTAATCTTGCATCTGCAGAAGAAGAGGACAACTTCGACTGGGCTAGATATCTGATGGAGGGTGAAGACATAGACATGGGACCATACCCAGATACCCCTGTGAGTAAACCATAGCCAAACTCACCCTTTATTGATATGAATGACCACAATACCTGCAAGTGAATCAGGTTCCTTGTAAACCATCACAGATGTCTTCAGCGGCACCTCTTAGGTTTTGAATATTGCTATGCTGAGATCACAAAACCTCCTGTACTAATAAGAGTCATAAAGCTGTAACAATATTAACTACAGAGTGAGGGAGATCACGTTTTATACATGGCCCCACAGTCCTGAGAAGAGGTCCAGTTAGCCAGTATTACTGACACACCTGTATGAAGGTGTCCATGGTTGTGTAGGAGCTGTAAAGCTGCAGTAAAGTTACCAATCCAGCAGAAATAAAACCGTATTGATTGGCTTTTAGGAGTGGTCTGAGGAGGAGAGCGAGGACGATGACAGCCAGCAGCCAATCAGCAGGGAGGACTCTGGGATCCAGTTGGACAGAACGCCCCAGGAAGACCAGGACAACAACAACAAGACAGTCCCAGTTACATGGACAGGTGTGAACAGATCACACAGGAAAATAATGTTATAATAGAAAACAGATCATGGAAGCCGTTACTATTTTCGTAATGTGAAACTGAGATAGGACCAATGCACACTGAAGCCCTTTTTTAAAATGACAATAATCCCCCTTTGTGTGTTTCCAGTGGGGGAGCCTGATGCCCGGGCCTGGCTCGAACAGCATGTAGTGACGCCATACTGGGTGGCTCATGCTCCTCGTTTTCCTCACAGCTTGCATTTACACTCCAACTTGCTCAATGTGTGGTAAGACTCCAAACTGTTAAGTTGGACTTTAGATGATAGTATGGATGCACTGATTCACTTTTTCAGGGTTAACACTTACAACAGTGTTCTTGATATCAACAGAAGAGCTAAACAAATCAGTAAGAATAGCATTGGACCAAAATAATTTGATACCAGTTGAGACATTTTGCCTGTGTATCAGCGGACTATTTTAAAATAGACTTTGGGGTATTTGTGATTTGAAATGATTAAAGATTCTTACCCCCAGTGTCTGTCTTCTCAGGGATCAGCACTTGTATAACACTGATCCATTGTATCTACCCGAAGAAAAGGCCTTTGTCACAGAGACCCAAGTTATACGGGAGACATTGTGGTAAGATGTAATGATGATTTGGTGTGTGACTGTGCCCATTGTACAAACTTACAAAGAAGTTAATCTCTGACTTTCTCACAAGTTGTATCTTTCATTATCTCATAGACAACTGAATCCTTGTTGGATTTAAGAGAACGTTTTATTTTCATTTACAGGCTCATTAACATTAAGTGTGATCATTAATTTGAGCTGTGTGACTGCTATGTTGCAGGCTTCTCTCTGGGGTGAAGAAACATTTTATATTTCAACACCATGATGGAAAAGTGTCCGTAAGGAACAACGTTGTGGTGACTCATCTGACCAGTGTAAGTTTAAAATCTGAAATGTGCTTCTATTATATCTTAATAAATGTGTATTCTGTCCACTGTAGGAAACAAAAGTCTTTTCTCTCCCTGTGCTGCAGAACTGTCTGCACTCTGTGCTGGAGCATATTGCTGTGTACGGGCAGGCGGTGTTCAGGCTCCAGAGGTTCATAGACGAGGTGACGGGGTACAGCTCAGAGCCTTGCCCACCAGGCTCCAGTTCCTCCTACAGCTCCAAGAAGGGCTCCGAGCCTCCCTTCAGGACCTACCAGGCCTTTGTGTGGGCACTCAACAAGTACTTTACCAGCTTCAAAGAGGAGCTGACCACAATTGAGAGAGAGCTCATATGCAATGGCAAGTGCAAGTTGCAATGTTTAGGAGTTTGAAATCAATGGGGAACTCTTGATACAATAGTATAACTCTACATTACCCCGCAATACTAGCATAAGAAGACCCTGGCATAACTAGATGAAACAGTCTGTGACATGGTGACCTCGACTGTCAGCTTTTTGCACAATTATACTGTGTTGCTCTTTGAGGAATAGTAGTAGTAATTCAGATTGAGGAAGGTTTGTGCCCTGCAGCGGACAGGATGTAACAAGACACTAAATTCCCAATTTAATACAATTCATAACACTGGTTTCACATTACAATTTGCAAATTATTACTAAATGAATCCTTTGTTTCTTAGACAAAAATCTACAAAATATATTTTCTTTATCAATTTATAGAATCCTTTTTTATTTTTAAGGTAGGTAGGTGTCAACTGTGCAAAACAATCCATATTTCCGTTTCTTTGTAAAAGTGAAACTCAAGTCTTTGCACCTTAATACCACGATTGATGTCACAATTAATTTTCCATCTCACCCATTTGAATCTTCACATATTGTCTTCCTGTTTAACTGTATATCTCTACATTTCCACTTCTCAGTACCAGCAAGAGCTAACTTGTCTAACGTGTCTTTTCGGATTGCATCATCACTCAAACTTCCGCTGCCGTTTCTGAAATTCCATGTCATGTTAGCTAGCTGCAGCCGACAGATACCTATCAACATGAAGTGTGTAGTATAAGTAGTTTTTGAAATGTGAGGATGAATGTATATTCACCTTTAAAAAGTAGTTGTCTGGTTTCCAGCAAGTTGCTTAATTTCTATATTCTTTAAATCTCCTTATATAAGCAATCATGACATTGTGGCAGCATGTTTTCTACCCACCTGCTGTATTCTGTATAGTATTGCTGTATCGTACATTTGTCCCCAACCCTAGAAGTGAGTATTTGATTCATGATGGGTTTATTTCTGAGCCAGTGTTTGATGTTTTGTCTTCTTTTGCAGATGAGACGGTGACCCTGTCTGCAGTTCTGGAGCGACTCAACCCTCACTTGGCACAGATTAAAGTACTGCACAAAGTATTCTGTACTGGGGTCGCCGAAGTTCCCCCGGAGACCCCGAATGTCGTGCGGGCCTCTCACTTGCTCAACACCCTGTACAAAGCTATCATTGAGTATGACAGTGTGGGGGAAGCATCAGAGCAAGCTGTGAGTTTGAGTGTTAAGTTCAGTGAATTCAACACACAAAGCGGACTTAATGGATCTGTATGTATGATCATTACTGTGTGTCGACCTGTCTTGCCAGGTGGCCTTGTTATTTTCCCTGTGGACGGAGACAGTCAGACCATATCTGGAGATTGTGGATGAATGGATTGTTCACGGCCACCTCTTTGACCCCGC